ATCGGGTGCGCGACGCTGGATTGTCGACCGAATTGTCGACCACAAGGATCACAAGCCCCAGGCGCCGAGTAATAACTCGGCGCCCATGAAGAAGCGTGTCGAGAAACATTACAGGGTTCGCTGGTTGGGATATTCCCCGGCGGAAGATACATGGGAGCCATCGAGTACGCTGTTCCAAGATGTACCAGACGTGGTCGAAGTTTATGAGTCGCGTAGGAAGACGGCTATAGCGAGTGATGCTGCCGATTCCATCCCCAATCTCGCGAGCCGTGATGCTCGCGAGCAACAGAACTTTGACGACGAGTCCCCGAGCGATTCCGAGATCTATTATGAGGCTCGAGAAAAGTTGGATGGCATTTGCGACTATGTGGGTTGCCATAGCGATTCGAATATGGCGCACGTGGGGATCGAACCAGCGACATCACGATCAAGAACTCAGTGGTAAACCACTTCACCAAAGGAATGATAGCGAATGAAGAGTTTCGTTATGACTTCTCGCAATTCTGGATGATTCGCGCCGATATAACGGTATAGCGTCCACGGGATCAAGTGTGCGTCCGTGACTCGTGGTGTCTGTTCCCTGCAGATCGTACGGTTGTTGTCGTCAGATATAACCCTTGCGCGCGCGGCCAGGGTCATGCTGCTCAGTTGTGTGTTACTGAGCAGGTTCGAGGTTGTGTCGCTGCATTAGTGGTGAAAAGAATCATTTTCAAGTTATGTGCTTACGTTGTAGTAAGCACAACTTAAAGAGGGGGTGATGTAATGGGGCAACCTATTACATAAGTAGTTATAGGATTAGTACATAATTACATAAGTAGGAATAGGGCAGTATCCGATTAGCGGATACTGCGCGTCATTTTATTATTGTTTTATTATTGGGGTGCCAGACCCAATAATTAGCCAATAATAAATTAACTTCCATATTGAGTGGTTCCCTTGAGCTAGGGAACATATTCGCACTTACTGCGAATTAAAACTAAAACAAAAATAAAACAGAGTTATATTTACGAGATAATTAAGAGCGCTTCCTCAACGCCCTTTTAGTGCAAGACGGTAACGGGTCCTTAGCCCGTTACATCAGATGCAATACTATTCGTATATGCTCCATCCGCGACCACCTGAGCAGCATTTGTTTTAGGCCGGACGTTTGCTGCAAAAATATTTTTGGTACATGGGCGTGTGCCGAGCAAAATCGCTTGCAGTTCATCTCCAGTCACCAAAGCGATATGCATTGTGAACTTTATCGGAAATTATGGACTTAATAAACGAGACTGATCACGATGCGACATAAATTGGCTGAAACATGACTCTACCCTCCGCTTTTGCTGGCAGCGATTGCCAGATGAGCCAGCTATGTCAGGACGCTATGGCTATCGTGCGCAAGTATGGTCGACCGGATCTTTTGCGACTTCTACGTGTATCCAAAATGGCCTAAGATTATAACCGAGCTGGAACCAGGGCAATAGCCTCATGATCAGCCGGACTTGGTGGCAAGAACATTTATCAACAAATTGCAGGATCTTATGACAAACCTTTTTGAGCAAACATGTTTGGAACGGTGGTCAATAAGTTTGGTGATTGAGCTCCAAAAAGCGACTTTCCCCACGCGCACATCCTTATCGTCCTGGAAGAGGCATCCAAGCTCCGTCCTCCACAACATATTGATTCGGCAGTCTCCGCAGAGATCTCTGACCCAGCCACTCATCCTGATGCATATCAGACGGTCACAGGTTGTTTGGTCCATGGGCCGTGTAGCACAGATAACACCAATGCACCAAATGGAAGAAGTGAATTGCAGCAAGTGCAATTCACCTTCGAATGTTTTCGACTAAGACTTTCGCCGATCAAGATGAGTTACCGACGTCGTGACAATGGATGATATTTTGAAGATGAAAGGATCCGTCGTGTTGATAATCGATGTATTTTGCTGCATATCTGTACCTGTCATCCAAACATAATGCGCACATCTACATGAGGTGAGTTGGAGGCGAGCAAAATGTACTCAGCACTTTACGATGTTGACTTCAGACATCTTTTCATACTGAGTTGCTCTTCGATCTCCATCAAATATGTCTTTAAGTATTATACAAGGTCCATGATCGCACGACAGTGGTGGTTGAAGATGTAAAGATAGTCCAGCAATGCATCGACGCGCAATATGTTTCGGCTCCAGGGGCGTGCTGGCGCATCTTGGGCTTTAAGACGCACGATGACTCGCATCTAATTCAACGCCTGTAGGTCCATTTGCCAGATTAGCAACAAGTTGCATTCAACGCAAATGGTGATTTGGTGGATGCAGTGAACAACGACCGAGCATGTAAAACGACACTCACACAGCGGTTTGAGCTCAACCTCTCCAGCGTGTTGACCCGTGGCACAACTTACTTGGATTTGCCATCGCAATTCATCTGGAAAATTGAAATATCAGAAAACAATGGACGGTGCGAAAGCGAGGGATGTGCGTCGGCCGTCTTTACTTTGTAAGCCCATCATAATTACCTTAGTCAATGGAGTTAGATGATGGGTTCGAAGATCAAAAGGCAGACTTTGCTCACCATGAGTGTTGGAACGACGAGTACACATTGACCTGCGGAATGACAGGTACACATTGACAGTCATACTTAATAATATACCTGAGCCAATCGGGTGTAAAATGATGGGCCAATCTACTCTCAGCGTAGAATTCGCGCACCTATCCGTCAAAACGACGGACACACAATCTAGCGATGCGCTGCGTTAAGGATGCCTATATATATTATTAGCGTAGAATTCGCGCACCATGTGCGTCAAAACGACGGGGGAACATCCTAGTGTACTAAAGTAATATCACATATGTGATTTTCCTTACACCACATTCTACTATAGGAATATCACAGTTGTGATATTCCCTACACCTCAATGCGCAGAAAGAGGCAAAATGACAAGTGTCGGTGCACAATAATGGATGTTCTGGCATCATCATTAATACGTTCGTCAGCGTCGTTTGTCGTGTGGATGCAGGTCAAGAGTAAAAGTGGATAATGATTAAAGTGAATACACTTATTTGGTCTTACATGGGTAACAAGTATTGCATGCATCCTGACGGTATGCCATGTCTGCATTGCAATTGATAGATTGCATGTATGCAGGATAAAATGGTAGGGTTGCCCATGGCGGCTTAACATGTGCTTACCGCTTTGATTACCCCGACTGTTGCTAAGCCAACTGTGTGTCCTTGCTAACAGGCCGACTACTATGTAAGTTTGCCATCGTGGCGCTGAAGATCCGCAGAAGAGCTACGTTTTGGAAGCAGAGGAAACGTCTGCATCGCTTACGGGTCAGTATCAACTTGCCGAAAAGTGAAGGTTTCTAGCTGCCAATACCAAAACATCAGCCAAACTAAGCGCCCTCGCTCAGCTGCTACGATCGGAAAGCGATGAAAATTCTCCTCGTCATCTCCGATGGTCGCGATAGCTTTCGGGCTAATGAACCCAGCAAGGCAGCAAGAGAAACACGTGATTGTCGCTTGCCCTGCCTTCGAACCATCCTGGCTTTTCGGCCAAACGACACCAGGATGGTCGCGCTCCAAAATTTCCACGAAGAGGCGAGACGCACAAGAGAGGACATGCGGGCGAAGATCACCACAACAGCGCGCGAAGAGCTATTTCAAATGATACCTGCTGGTACCTATCGGTACGAGTATTATAACGTTCCTTGACAGTAAAAAAGCTTACCTGATCACATCATCGGCAGTGGCGGAAACGGAAACGCCATCATTAGACGCCCACATACCGAGTGCCTTCGCGCTGGCAACATTGCATGTTGCAGCAACGCCGCTGGATTGTGCTTCTGTACATTCTATGCAATACGTCACTGCGTGCGCAAAAACAGCTGGTGCGATTAAAGCAGGGACATGATTTGTCCTGGCTATGTGAGTGTTGACAGCTCTTTGGATGGCGTGCAGAGACGGGAGGAGACGCCGCATTTCAATGTCCTGGCGATATCCATGCGTACCCATTAGCCAGCGACTTGCCTCGCGCAATAGTGCAGACGCTAGACAACAGCACAAGAGACGCCGATAGCAACCCATACCATGTACTGCTGATGCATAGCTCGGAAGCGATCACTTTTTTCTGTAGCGTCGATCGTGCCCTAATCTCCTTGATGACCAATGAATTGTGTCCACTGCCACACGCAGAAACTTCAACTGCGCCGCTTCGCCCCAGCCCCGGTGCTGTCGACGAGGTGTTCGGTATGTGCTGAAATGATACCGGTCCCATCTGGATTGTGTTGTCTAGAGACGGGTCTATCCTAATACGAGCAGCAGGACGAGCAACATGAGCACATGAATCTTAGCCTACATGTCGTGCTTTAGCAACTCGAGCAAGCCATAGTAGTAAGATTCGTCAGGGCAGATTCCTTTAGTCATATGAATACAGCAGCAAGATTGATCCAGTACTGTTCAATGCCGTTCAAATTCGTGTCGTAGGCTGCTGCTTAAACGACAATAGTTGTGAGCCTAGCTCGTACATGCTGTAAGCATTTTACAATAAGAGCTAGAGTACTGCTATTTTGACAGGTTCCGATGCATAGTCTTTGAATAGAGAGGGGTCAGAGTACCATATCGTTGCGTTAGCGTGTGCACAGAGTGTTTGCTCTTTCACTGAAACCAAACGCGAGTGTCCCAAGTCGGGAAAATGGAACGTAGACGACGCGCTCGCAAAGCACGGCTCGGGAGCAGTCAATTCGGTGTCTCGGGTCGCACAATCAGCGGTGGTGGACTGCTATCTCAAAGCGCGTGCTCTTTCCATTCCCAAGATCTGCTACCCTATCCTGCATATCTGCAAGATCAATTCGTGCCTTTAGCAGACCTAAAATTGGCATTCACCAGTGGCAATTCCGTCTGGCCGATCGCGTCATCCCGTGAGAACATCGAGTCGATCTTGTATCAGTTGAAAATTTGCGTCGCTTGTGTAGAGTGGCTGAGGAAGGAGAAGCTGGAGAGCAACAAGACAGGAGACATGTCATTTGCCCACATGGTCGAAAACGCTGCAGCAGGGAACGAGTGGACACAGCAGCAGATGAGTGAAACGAAGGCGCCAGAGGGCCGTGGACTCTGGTCGCCCGAGGAGCATCAGCTCTTTGTGCATGGTATCAAGATGTTCCCGTCCGGGCCCTGGAAGGATATTGCAAGCCACGTGGGCACACGCACGGCTCGGCAGACAATGACTCACGCTCAAAAGTACCGACAGAAGATTGCGCGGCGGCTGCGTAACGTCCGCATGAGTGGCAAACACAACTTGCCGTTCCTTATGGACCAATCCTCGCGTTTTAATGCGCTGCTGAGTAACGACGAGCAATTCAATGACTCGATCTTGGCCACGTCGTTGGCCATTGCAGCCGAACACGACCTGGACTTGCTGGGTGAGACGGGCATGGACGACAATACGTCGCCCATGCAGAGACAGATGGGTATGAGCACTCAGGCCAATCTTGTCATGGAGCTCATGGGTACGAATACGTATCAGAAGCAGCTGCCGTTGGCAATAGACTTTTCCGCCACGGAAGGTAGTCCGTACTATCTGGATGATCCGTCATTTGAGCCGAGCGACATTGAGTTTGACAAGTGTATAGACTTCTTGATTGAGACCTTCCACCGTGAGACCTGAGGCAGCTGCCGTGATGCTCTCTGGAATCGAAGCGTATTTATTTGATGAGACCCGGCGAGCGTCTGGCAGCTGCGGGATGAGGAATGAAGGGAGCACTAGAGACAGAGAACGGGTGAGGAAAAGCACGCCGTGAACGTACGTGTGGCCGCCTCGAGAGCGTGAAGAAGTGTATAGACACAGTAATATATTATGATAAAGAGCCATCCATTTTGACAAACACTGGCTAGTATGCATCAAGCATCCAGCTTCTTCTTCAGAATCTTTCTAGCTAAATGTAGTGATGTTAACTACGCGATGCTGTCGGAGCGATTCATTGGCGTCATTTGATCGAGCAAAACCTTGAAGGCGATCGAAAGGGACGCTAGTCAAAAAGGATGACGAGCTTGGTCCTGAACGTTGTCAGCCAACCAGGGAGATCGATCTTGGTGCAATTCCAAAGTCGATGGATACTTTGTCATAAGCATGGGCGTATGACGTCGACATGCCACCTACAGACGAAGCACATTTGGTATTGCAGACTGATTTTCCTTGTCGTCGTGGCACATTCTCGTGCGCAAAGATTTGTCGCGCAAGGACCGTCTTGTCGTACGTCTCCCCTTTTTACTTGATGGTCGACTCTGTCGTTTTATAGTTCATACACAAAGCCGGCCGGGACAGATTGTCACGCCAGCAGTAAGTGAGCAAAACAAGTTGCGTCTCAGCCGAGAAAGTGTCGGTGTTTTTGGACTGCTTGTGAGCACACCCGCTTCCTTGAGACAATGAAGTTGTAATCGCGCGGGCCCTGGAAACTCGTAGCAGCCTACATCACCACGCGCAGTACTCGCCAAGCCATGACGCACGCTTAAAAAATTACCGTCAGAAGGTGAAGCGGCGACTCCGTACCATTATCTTCATTACAGTTTGATGCCATTCACTGACTCACATGGGTTCCACCACAAGAAACGACGTTATACTGCTCGTTTAGACTGGCAGCATCGTATGACAAGAGAAGTTAGACTCCAGTTCTCCTGTTATTGTCGGCGACACGATCGATTATGATTGTTGGCATTGAGGACACGTCTTTACAGATATCGTGCTGGGCTTTCGTTTCTCCGTCATGGTGGCTGACGATGCTATTGGGTTTACGTCTCTGATTGTGATGAGGTTTTGCAAACGGAAGAGACATTGTCGATGCACGCTGCTGCTGTGAGTTCAGCATTAGCGTCTGCAACACGAGTCCAAAGCCAAGGGCAGACCCATCACAAGTCAAGGTATCTAGAACAGATCTGCTAGAAATAATTGTCGGTGTGACATTATCGCAGCACGGAGATACAGCAATGGAGCGCGTGTGCATGGCCACAGCTTCTTACATGTACACAGTGAATGACGAGACCGTCTATCGAGTCCGATGCGGAAAAGTTGTTGATGAAGAAAGCAAAGCAGTCAGAGCTGTGCTTGCCTCGTAGTGGTGATCAAAAGTCGGAAGCGATAAGCGCAAGAAACGTGTTTGCTTTGTTCAGACCAAGCCTACCAATATTTAAGCATACATGAAGCTCTTTTTGACGGAGTGGCCCATTCATGGAAGAATCCGTTCTGCTTTCAAGTTGCTCTCTGCGCGCAGCCTGATCAGCTAATATTTCTTCTCGGACTTGCAAAGAGTTCATCACCTTCTGCATCAACTACGGCATCCTCATCTCTATCACCCAGACACTCGACAATATCATGCTGTAGATCCTGGGATTGCTGAAGGAGGGCTTGAAGCTCCAGATGAAAGGCACCAGCTGTAACCTCAGAGCGCGCGTAAACCCGTGGCAAATTGGAAGGTGGTCGTCGCGGTCGTCCACGCGGTGGTGCACGAGGTAGTGCAAACATATTATCGGCTGCAGGAGGAGGTAGTGCTGGGATCAAATGAGCAGGCGGATCGTGGTCCACTTGTTTCGTGGGTTTTGGGTGCGCGTGAGCCTGACGATGTGCGAGCACATCTCGCAGCTCGTTGACGAAACGTGGTTTTGGACCTGACGATGTTGTTGCAGCGTCTCTTTCCTGTCGCTTTAATAGCGCCTGTAAATCGAAACCTTCGTCGCCTGTACTCGTTCCTGTGAATACGACAGTGCAGTTCGGGTCTTCCAAAACTACAACCGATGACAGCTCTAATGGAGTGATCGGAGCGGAATGACAAACTCCTTCATCTTTGCTTGCTGCATCTCCACTGGCATTATCAAGATGATTATCTTGGCCTGTCAGTGCGCTCAATGCACTGTCATAACTGCCCCACGCGTCGTGTAATTGCTGGGTCATAGATCGCATGGCATCACGGGAGCTGGACAGTCTTTCCGCCGCTGACTCTACGGAGAGAAGTTCGTACTGTGCCGCGATTACTAATGATGTGAGTGTCTCGCTCGTTGACCGCAGCTCGTGCAGTTGTGAAGCAACACCTCGTAGGCGAATGTCGCTTGCAATTGAAACAGGTACATGCTGCTTCACTTGCTGCCGATCTGAGGACATTGTATCTGGAGCACAGGCCTGCAGCATCATGGAATCCCTCGTAGGGTTCCACGCCTCGAGATCATCCTTCCACGTGCTCAATGTTTCGATCAAATGCTCAACTGTAAGCCGAAGCGAGCCTAATGTACGAAACAGACTCCAACCGACTATGGCGTCGCGATATGAACAAGCGCATGCCAACTTTCGCGCGAGTACGGTGTGCACTGCGTTTTCCAGCAGCAAGACAGTCCGGTTGTGCTGCTTTGTCAGCGCCGTTAGCAGCAATGATGGAGCCTGGTCACCGGCGGGCGTTTCTTTTTCCACACAGTCTTGACTTCTGTCGCGTCTTGTGTATTCATCCTCCTTCACTAGAATTGAAGCTCGTATTTGGAGCTGCTCATTCACAGCTCTTAGCTTTCTTCGCAGCGGTAGACAGCGTAATTGGTTCTGTCTAGCAGTCGACGCAGCATTTTCTTCACTAGCGCCATCAGCACCATTGCCAAAATCGCTAGCTTCTAACCTACCTATTGGCGGCAGAAATCCCGTTCTGAGACGATAACCGCGAGTGGCCAATTCTGCACGCTTTATTAGCGTCAAACTACACGCAAAAACCTTGTCGAATGCTTCCAATGCAGCTAAAAAAGCGTTCAGTGATCCTATCAATCGTCTCGAACGATATCTGTACCAAGCGAGTAGCAATTGCACACTTAGCTCCAGACTTAGAAGCACGAAAATGGCGACTCCGACGACCCATCCCATGGTCTGCACGAAAACACCTTGGTCAATACCTCGTCCAGCGATAACCATTGCTATCAGTACTACCAAAGCACCACCAATTACTGCAACAGACTGTATGTGTATCTTGTCTGTAACAACCACATTGACACCACTCAATATTTCTGCTACTGCAACATGTCGGTTCCACCAATACTTCGACGGTACTGTAAACACTGTAGGATCACAGCCTGTCATTTGTTGCAAGTCTTCTCTACCCAATGAATTCCCACATAAAAGACACAGCACCACGTTATCCATCATCATCAATTGTATCAAGTACTTCTTGGTTTGCGCACCGAATCGTCGGATGAAATGTACAAAGCTCTGGAATCAATTGCCGTAATGCCACCATTTCGACACAATGTCGCATATGCTGAAGACCTTGGATCCAATTGTATGCACTTGATATTGGAGTCCATTGATCTTGTCTTGAACGCTTTCTAGCCATAGAATGAGGACATCGAGACAACAATGGAGTCATCGATTTATCATAATCATCTTCAGCAGCATCAAGTTCTGCATATATATATATGAAACCAGTAGAAAGTTAGTACACGTTGACATTTTCAATGCAAGAAATTATTCACATGTACCAGCCAAGTACTGGCCCAATGGTGAATCAGACGTCACTGTGATTTCCATCACCTAGATCAAAAAATCTTTGTAAATTAATAATAAAAATAATGAAAAATAATAATAATATTAATGGTTATCAAATTAAAATGTCTATTATGTTTACTTCAGTTTTACTACTTCACACTGTCACTTTTTAGTATCCCCAATTCGCTAACGTACCACGTGGAGGTCAGAGAGATGCGATCTCAATGGCTTCTGTTTGCAGTGACGGCATTTGCTTTGACCAGAACGGATGCAGTCGATCGCAGTAAGTTTCGTACGTGTGAGAAGACCCAGTTCTGTCACAAGTATCGTAACGTGCACTCAACTCCCAAGTTTCAAGTCGTACGTAGCAGTATCAGATCCGACTCAGATACCAATTTGGTCCGATTCCTAGTTGAGGATACGACTCAATTAGGTGGGGTCGATTTAGAAGGATCACTAGCTTTCGTACTTAATAAGGACAAGACGACTGTGCCAGTGCTACGAGTGCGTCTACAGGAAAAGTTTGAAGACCCAAAGGACCCGAAGACCAGGTGGACGAGCGAGGATATTCTCGTATCTGCGGCAGACGAGACGCAATCGTTGCGTCAATTGACGGCGGCAGAGGCGGGTTTAACTGCCTTAAGTAACGAGAATGACGTCCTGTTTTTTGCTCCTGAGGGACAAAAGAAAGGTACAAACCCTCATATAGTGGCTGCCTTGAAGTTAGGCAAAGGGTTATTTGGTGTGGACTTGTACCTAAACGGGGTAAAGGTCGTATCTACCAATGACGATGGAAAGTTTCACTATGAGATCCGTCAGGACCAATCAGCTGCTGAGGCACAGGCTGAAGCGGCTGATCAAGCGGCAGTGGACGCACACAATGGCAAGACCATTGTCGACTATGGAGAGGACGGTCTCGCTATCTATGATGACGGTACTGTGCAGAAGAAGGAGGAAGAGTCGACCACGATCACTGCCACTGTAGATGCTGAAGGCAAAGTGGAAGGCTGGGAAGAGTCTTTTGATGGACATACGGACAAGAAGAAATATGGTCCAAGTTCGATCGGACTTGATGTGTCGTTCCATGGCTCGGCAGAAGCACCACGCTCGTTGTATGGCATTCCAGAGCATGCAACAGATTTCGTTCTCAAGGATACGCTTGAACTGAGTGAAGATGATGAAGAAAGGAAAGTAGTGACTGACCCGTACCGGCTGTACAATTTGGACGTGTTTGAGTACGAGCTGGATAACCCCATGGCGCTATATGGCGCGATCCCCGTGCTCGTTGCTGCAAACAAGGAAAATACGGTTGGTATGTTCTGGAACAATCCAAGCGAAACCTTTGTGGACATTTGGACCAACGAAAATACAAACAGCAAGTCGAGCCACTGGCTGAGTGAGTCGGGTGTCTTTGATCTGTTCTTAATGGCAGGACCTAGCAGTGCGGATGTGTTTTCGCAGTATACGCTCCTGACGGGTCGAGCACAGCTGCCGCCTCTATTTTCTTTGGGATACCACCAGTGCCGCTGGAACTACAAGAACGAAGCGGACATGGCCCGTGTGGACGCTGGTTTTGACGAGCACCTGATCCCTTACGACGTGTTGTGGCTAGATATCGAGCATACCGACGGCAAGCGTTATTTTACATGGGACGAGCACGCCTTCCCTACGCCAAAGGACATGCAAGAGGCCGTGGCGCGGACTGGTCGCAAAGTGGTGACTATTGTTGATCCACATATCAAGGTCAGTCAGTCCCAGGACAAGCAACCATACTACATTCACACAGAAGCTGAGGAACTCGGGCTGTTCATTAAGGACGAGCAGGGTAATGACTTCAAGGGTTGGTGCTGGCCAGGCGAGTCCTCTTACGTTGACTTTACATCGCCAAAAGCGCGTGCATGGTGGCGTCACCAGTTTCGCTATGAGAACTACCAAGGCAGTACCAAGCACCTGTACACATGGAACGACATGAATGAGCCATCGGTCTTTAACGGCCCGGAAGTGTCCATGCGCAAGGGTTGCATGAGCATTGCGGGAGTCGAGCACCGCGAATGGCACAACTTGTACGGTACCCTGTTTCAGCGGTCAAGTATGGAGGGCCTGCTTGTTCGACAGCAGCCTCCTCCGGAGCCGCTATCAGCGTTTGCTGAGGAGCTGCAGCTGACATCGGATATGGAACGTCCATTTGTGCTCTCTCGTGCGTTCTCCGCCGGCTCCCAGCGCTACGGTGCAGTCTGGACAGGTGACAACATGGCGGAGTGGGGCCACCTTCGTTACGCCACCAAGATGTTGCTTTCTCTGTCAGTATCCGGACTTACCTTTGTGGGTGCCGATGTTGGCGGATTTTTCGGCAATCCGTCCACTGAGCTGCTCTCGCGATGGAACCAGGCTGCTGCTTACCAGCCATTCTTCCGTGGTCATGCACACCACGATTCCGCTCGCCGTGAGCCTTGGGTGTTTGGTGAACCGACGACGTCACGTATCCGCGCTGCTATTCGTGAACGCTATTCGCTGCTACCATACATCTACACACTGTTCCACGCGTGTTATGCTCGTGGAATGCCTGTCATGCGGCCGCTTTGGGTGCACTTTACACAGGAACCTCAGAGCTTTAGTGAAGAGGACCAATTTCTCTTGGGTGACGCTCTGCTCGTGAAACCGATTGTGGAAGAGGGCGTCGTGGCTACACATGTGTTTCTACCGTCAGAAAATGCTGAAGACAAGACAGTGTGGTACCAGGTGACCGACGGGTACAAGCGTTTCTTCGGTGGAAAGACATACGAGAATGTCCCTGCGCCGTTGGACGCCATTCCGGTGTTTCAACGTGGTGGCACCATCTTGCCACGCAAGCAGCGTGTGCGTCGCAGCTCGGAGCTCATGCGCGACGACCCGCTTACTCTAGTGGTGGCGCTGGACCAGCACTTTGAGGCTCGCGGCGAGCTTTATGTGGACGATGAGCGCTCGCTGGCCGCTGAGCTCGAAAATGAGGGAACACTGGTATCGTTTCATCAGACGAAGGAAGGGTTGCGTTCGACGGCGGCGGCTGCTACCTTACAAGGCAAGCGCTACACCTCGCTCATGTGGGTGGAGCGAATCGAGGTGTATGGATTTCAGTCCCAGGCTAACCTGCCCAAGCAGGTGCTTGTGGGCGGTGAGCGTGCTCTTGACTTCCAGTACGACGCTACCAGCGACCGTCTTGTGCTGCGCAAGCCGCAGATGCTGGTCACGGACGACTGGGAGCTCCGCTTCGTGTACGATCAAGCGCTCGAGTAACGTAACGCTCGAGGTGCAGGTGTCGTTGACAATAGTCAATCCATACAAACGAGTCATTCTACACAGCATGGTGCTTCCAATATGGACTCAGTGTAAACAACGTTGCTGGCAGATTTTGTAAGACGCTGTCTATAACTCTACCACTACATAAACTCGTGCTAATTAACACTTTGAGTCTCGAGTCAAGCTGCAACATTGGCTATCACTTTCTTCTAGACTATAACATTGCTCTCATAAGATGATGTTGTATCTCCGCACAAACTACTAAAAGTTCTTCTACAGTTCCTTTCTGAGTCGCCACATCATATATCACTGATGTGGCTACCTTTGTCGCTACGCTTAGCATACGATTTGCTCTATAGCCAGTCCACGTATTTCATACCAACTGCTGAAAGAATAAGAGCGAAGTACTTCCTGTAAAGCTCGAAGAGGTGTGTACCTAGTAGTTTTAAGTGACAGGTTGTGGGAAATCGGCATTTTTGTTCGCATAAGATGACATCGTGCTTTCGGAGAGTTCGATACCTTGACTTGACCCGAGAAACCCATCGTGAGCAGACTGGGCTTTCAAAAAGTTTGGCATTGTCTCATGAGCTTGAGATTTTTCAGTCGTCAGGTCAAGGGCATCGCAAGAAGATTCAAACTTTTAACTTAAACCCCCCCCTGTCAAAGTCTAAGCAAATGTTCAGGATCTGGAGATACAAAAGGCCCAGTGGAAATGGAAAAATGCAATCGAGTTGTGTATCATTTCGATGCATTCACGTTTGATTCATCGATATATCCATATATCTTTGGGGGTTTGACGTTGATTAAAAAAGTCATTGCGATCTTTTTGCTGGGAAAGGATGTAGCTTGGAGAGCTGCTGCTTTTTGATGGCATCAAAGCTGAAAAAATGCGATGCCCATGCAGAGGAACCTACAATTACTGCATATTGGTTCTTACCCTTGAAGTTACATGCGACTGTTCTTAGGAGCACCACATCTTGCCATCTGGTTCTGTACCGGGATAGAAAATGTCATCAGGGAGAGGGAGCGCCACCATCTGTCGATCAGAGGCCTTTTCTCATATGAAATGTGGTAGAAACGTGCCATCTAAACCTAAGCACCATGGAAAGAGCGTTACGTACCACGTCCTCTACTTCACGCTGTCCGAGATTTGCAAGGTCAAATACGATTCTAAGTGAGAGTTTTCAACTACGACGAGCAATATCAAATTGATAATGACCGTTTGATTTCTACTAGTTAAATAGTTACATTAATGCACCAAATTTGTCGTGACGGTCTTCATCTGATTACTACTGGCATTAAAGGCGACTTTGAACCCAGGTCATGTCGTTGCATCTTGCCGTCGCATCAGGTTAGGTGTGACAAAAAAACGGCTTTTCTCGCACGTCTGAGCTCTATTGGTTGTAATGACGGTGCAACTGAACGTAAAAGAAAGAAAGAAAAGGTACATCATGACTGGATCTTTCAGTACCCTATCGTCATTCTTCGTTTTTCCCTACTCAAGGCAAGCCTTCAGTCCGTCGGTTTCTTTGATTACTTTCTTCTACGATGAAACTTAGCCTCGTCTTACTCATCGCTGCCGGTTTGGTGTCAACAGTCTCCACTGCAGACACCACGTCCGGTGAAACGGTCGCCGATACGTCGGAAATAATGATTCCATCATCGTCAACGAATAATGACAACTTGTCGGACAAGTTGGTGAGTGACGACAACTTGTTGGACACGTCGATGAATGATGACAAAACGTCTGACACGTCCACCACAAAATCTGACGCGCCAACGACAAAATCTGACACGTCCACCTCAAAATCTGACACGTCCACCTCAAAATTTGACGCGTCTACCACAAAATCTGACGCGTCAACGACAAAGTCTGACACGTCAACAGCGCAGATTGCGCCCGGCCCTGATCCGTTTGCGAAGCTCAAGACGATCAAGCACTCTTCCGATTCATACCACATGCCCGCTGTTCGCGTCGTACATGCCCGTGTGCAGAGCGATGATCCTGAGCTCGTGGATGGTGTGTTTACCTCAAGCTTTGGTAAAGGCGACCTGAAGGCCGGTTACTTGAGTGCCATGGACACGGTCAACACCGCGTCGGTAGAGGGGTCGCTCATGTATGTTCAAGCTGAAGGAATTAACATCAATGTCCGTGCTAAGAAAGAGCGATGTGTACGCAAGTCTGGCATGGCCAATATCGTCTTTTATGAGATTATTATCGTGCAGACAAATGAGACGTTGGCTCAGTTTCAAGAGACATGGGGCGAAACGCCCGAGTACGGCCCGATGCTGCCCATGGATAGCGGCCGCTGTACGCCTCTATCGGGTGATGACGACTTCCCTCCTGGTTGTCTGCAGTTTAATGGCGACGACGATCAGCCGAACGTCGGACCGTTCGTTGGTGCCGGCACCAAGGTCGACGATGTTCGAGCTCCGTATCCGAACAATGTCTGGTTCTCCTTCGCGAGTACGTGTCCGCTGAAAACCTGGAGTGAGAAGACGGACGAGTGCCGTAAGAAAACTCGCAAGGGCCTTTGTGACTATGGTGAGGGCCCCGACGGCGTCGACTGTACTTTCGCTTACAACATCTTGGGCTGGGTCACTATCGATGACATTGTCGGTATCACTTCCATCGAGAACCCGACAACAGGATCTACGTATGCCAACTTTACGGAGTGGTGTTTGGCTAACAAGAGCCACACGGAGTTTGCGGCAAATGCCGAAACCGGCGAGTTTGAAAAGGGTCTGCCGTTCTGGGAGGACCCGCTTAACACGACCGCGAACGCTGCTCGCGCCAAGGCGGTAGTAACTACATACATGTCGACTCTTACTTCGGGCTCAACGCAGATTGATAAGGATGTCATCTCCGCCTTCAAAGCGCTGCCTACCCCTGAGGAACTCGCTGCTGTAAATCCGCCGTGCTATATGACGGTGGAGGCGTGTGGATCCGGCAACGGATGCAAGCGTGTTGGCTACTCCCAGCTCTGCACTGCGTGCGAGGCTGACGAGGGCTGCGAGACCGGTGGAAAGGGCTTTGTATACCCGAAGCTTGAGAAGGCATTTACAAAGTTGTCCGACAAAGAGACCACGACGAAGCTGAAGGACGGAAGCAAACCCGACGGTGGAACGAGTGCTGACTCGAAAAAATCCGGTGCTGCTACACATGTGTCTTTCACTATCGCTTCAGTAGCTGTTGGTGTCCTGACTGCAGTGCTTGCTTTGTAAGCTCATTGATGATGCATCGAAACGATTGAATGGAGGCTTTGACTAGTTAATGCAAGATCATTAAAAAGTTTTTCTTTAACATCACGACTTTATTTCTTGTAACCGATGCATGTGCTGACGTAAGGATGACACTACTTGGTAATAGCGGCGCGTGCCAGCACAATGTTCAAGCATGTGTCTTTTACTAGACTAAGCATCGTGCACTATTTTCCTTATTTCTTCGACATCCATGTATACGCATGCAATTACAGTTTATGGTTTACAAACATCTATTTGAGTCTCTTTATCTTCGCCATTATCAGGTTTTCTTTCTCACGCATGGAAGATAAAGTCCAAGAGAAGACGAGAAGTGTCCTCACCAGAAAATCTCGCTCATCTGTTACGTCCAACACTGAGCATCCAACGAGCGAATAAGCCAACAAGTCACAACAAAACAAAATTGGTCATATGCATCTTGTTTTTTCGTCCTTTATCCAGCCATACTCGTTTTTCTCTTCTTCGTGTCTTCATCTTCACTCTTTTCAGAAACCAAAACAAAAAAGAATCGCCACACATCGCCATTATTATCCACAACAGCTGTTCTTGTCTTTGCCAGTGTCCACATGCGTCGCTCCTCTCACTCTCAGTCCGCTGCTTCTCGAAACACCTAGAGTACCAGGATCATCATCCTCCACAATCTGAATGGGTTGTCCCCGTCCTCCACCGCGACTTCTCGGAGGTTCCTCTGTCGTGTTCACCTGTCCCTGTTGCGTCTCCATCTGTGTACTTTTTCTCTCTTGCCGCATTTTACTAGGTGGTGGTCTAGCTAATGGCTCCTCACCATTGTCCTCCTCATCGTCCGCAATTAACGCACTACCTTTCTTCTTCCTGCCACCCGTACGACTCAACATACGACGTGTGAGTTCCACAAACACGTCCTCAAGTCCTCGATTAAGTTTCGCCGACGTGACAAAGTGTGCAGCTCCCACTGATTCAGCATATCGCCTGGCTTCTTCCTCTGGTACTTTTCGATTCCGATGCAAATCACTTTTATTCCCTGCAATACAAATGGAAATATCGTCTCCCACAATACGTCGCAATTCCCGGACCCACGTACGAACTTTACGAAATGATTCTGCATCCGTAATATCATAAACCAAGAGAGCTCCATCAGCATCACGATAGTAAATAGGTCCTAACGCATGGAAACGTTCTTGTCCTGCTGTGTCCCATAATGAAAGTCCCACTCGATGATTGTCCACAAGTAATCGTTTATCCAAATATGACGCTTGAAGGGTTGAAACTTGTCGTTCGTCATATTCACCTTTTATGTAACGTACAAGAATGGACGTTTTACCCACGCGACCTATAAGGGGGAATATATATATATATATATAACAATATAGAGGAAAATATTAGTACAGAGAGAGAGAGAGAGAGAGAGAGAGAGAGAGAGAGAACGAGCGCTTTGTTCTTCTATAACGTCTTCTTCTTCTTCTTTTGTACCTTCACCCAATAGCACAACCTTGAATTTCTTCGTCGAACGTTCACTCATAATGGAAGATAGAGGGAGAAAACGAGAGCAAGAATGATGGTCCTTTAACACGAGAACTTTTTTTCTACTTTTTTATCTTCTTTTTTAAGAACAGTGGAAATATATTATTGGTTGAAATTACAATATAACATTTCAGCCAATCAACGATCGATATGGTACTTATTGGCATCAAACGAAACGTTGATTGGATAAAACGACTTCCATTTCGACACGATGCTGCGTCGACGGCTGCTGCGGTCGTCACGGGTACTTGGTAGACGTACGACGTCAAGTAGTAGTACATTTAGTCTTGATAATATTAAAAACAAGTGGATGCAAGCGACAGTAAAAGAATTGTCCGTAGAAATGCTACCAGCGCTTAAGGTGATGTCCGAGAGTCTGAGACTATTGCGTCAGAGTCCCACGTTGCGTAACTCGAGCGCTTCTGATTGGCTCGTGGGATTATCGGTCTTAACTCAGTACAAAAGTCAACACCATGTGACGGGATTGTATGACGAAACACATAAAAAGGCTTTTGTACTGGATCAGGTACTGTTTTAAGTTATTCGACGGCTTGTGACGAGTCCGATTGCCTGACTGACGTTCGAGTGTTTCTATATAGGAATTAATGGCCAAATTATTGCGTTACGTTCGTGTATGTGACGCCGTATACGCGTCTTCTGTCACTTTGTTTTGTAAAGAAGCTGCTGTGTCATCAGATTGTGTGCTACGAGCACATTCGGGCGGTGTCGTGTCACCCAAGTGCGTGATTTTGGCTGACCATGAACACCAAGAACTGGTGCTAGTGGCTCGAGGTACTGCGTCTTTACTAGACTTTTGCACGGACTTGTGTCTTCACAATGAGCCTTTTGAAAACGGACAAGGTCATCGTGGTATGGTGCACGCTGCGACCTGGCTAGTCCACCATTTACACAGTGATTTGAAGGAGTTGTCGGAAAAGTATCCAGACTATCGCCTTGTAGCAACAGGCCATAGTCTAGGCGCAGCAGTGGCAGCACTTGCTACCATACAGCTGCGCAAAGAGTTCCCGACGATACAGTGTTACGCGTTTGGTACACCAGCTTGTGTGACACAGGAGCTAGCAACTGGTACCTATGACTTTGTGACGACAGTAGTGAACGGATATGACTGCGTACCGCGTCTGCATCAACACTCGCTGATGCAGTTACAGGACGAGATTCGTTGCTTTGATTGGCGAACTGCATTGAAAAAAATGGTGATGGAGGAGATTCATAAACAAAAGGTTGCATTGGAGAAGCAGCCGCGCGCGAAACTAGAGGAGCTACACGTGACACTGCGAAAGATGAATTTTCTTCAATTCAAAGAACGTACGAACAAGGCTACAGCCAAGCTGGACCAAGTGAAACGGGTGCGATAGGCACGATCATGTCTTGTTTTTGAGAAGGTGTGACCTTAATGATAATTGCATGCAGGTTGCGTCGGATAATGTCATGGAGCTCGCGCATGATGTCGACAAGTTACTCGCCGACAAACTGGACGCCATCTTCTCGGTTTTCAAAGCAAACAATCTTTCATTGGAACATGTCGCATTCATCAAGAATCTGGTGAAATGTGACGATCTCAAGAAAGGTAGTGAACTACTTAGCAGTCATCTCCATGTCGTGATCCAGACAGAAACCTGTAACGCTTTGTTGGATGGTTATTTTTTTCACACTGCAGGTGATTCTTTCTGGTGGAAGCGCGTGAACGAGAGTATTGTTGGGTTGGAACGGCTATCATCAGCTGTCACAAAGCCCAAGGAGCTGGAGCGTGTGTTGATAGAACTGAGAAAGGTTTTACAGAAGACCTCTGCATCCTCAAGGAATTCGCTGAAGAGCGATGGTGATCACGGTACGTATTCTTTGGCCTTTGTGTTTTTTCACCTTAGACGAAGATGTAAAAGCTGATGTCTTTTTGTTGAGAAAGATGTCGCGACTGGCTCTCCCCGACTAAAGCTTTTACGTTCTCAAGTCGACGATATGATCGACAAGTCACGTGCACGGATCAGCGGTCAAGTGTAAGTTGTTTTCAAAAACTTTTGCTGCTGTTGAATTGTTTGATGACTTACCAACCTCTGTCGTTGTTACAGATCGAAGGTGTCGACTGCTGTGACTTCGAACGTAAAAGCTTACGTAGATACGATAAAAGAAGAAACGGAATCGCTGGGCACTATTGCACAAGAAGAGCTTGATCAAGCTGTGGATACGATTTATCGTAATCTGCCATTTTTCGGCGGGTCGAATAGTGAAAAGATTAACGACGATCAGTCATCTACCCAGAAGAAGGAAAATCGCGGTGATAAAGTGCTTGAGGAGACTGATCCTTCACAACGGATGGAAGACGAGTCGGGAAAAGGGACGGAGCAGGAACATGAGGAACTAAAGAAAATTCAGCTGCAATGGGAAAAGGACAATAAGCTGCACCATGACCCGTTGTTTCCTCCTGGTCGAATCATCTACTTGAACCGTGTCATCACTCCAGGATCGTCACCACAAAGCGTGACTGCTGGTAGCAGCATCAAAACCGATGTAGAGGTTGTGGAAGTTGCTACAGATGATTTTAGTCGTGTGGTGCTTTCGAATCGTATGCTACTTGATCACCTCTGCACGGATTACGAGAAAGTTTTGCAGTGTCAGGCAGAATTGTTGAAGTCCCCGCCAGACTCGACCTAAGCAGCGCTAATTATCTCGAGATCAACGAAGTGCGTTACAGTAAACATGTCAACGGCTTTGAACCTGCTATTCCAGCTCAGCTTACTGATTACATACAACACATTCCACTACCTGTACACTTCACTTCATGGTGAATCTCCAGCACGCTGGGACGCTTCCCTTTCACCTGTCGGTGATAGAGGAGGAAGACTTACACGGACTTCACGGGCTCCGCGTGTGAGGAAGTCGAGCATAGCTGCATTTCGACTGATGGCTGAATGCATGATGGCCGCTTGTAGGAACAAATTCAGCGCTTCTTGTCGATGCTTTGCTACTGGACCTCTCGTGCTTGGAAGAAAGGTTCGCGGCGGTAGTGGCGGAAGACCATCCAAGACACATCCTGCACCCTCCAGCTCTGCACACAATTCCCGGAACTCACTGAACCGACGAAACACCGTCCACTGATAAGGGCCTCCGTACACTTGAATTTGGAACACGCTGAAGGACAGCAACTTGTCGATCGCACGGTCTGGAACATTGGCATGGGCATCCTTGTTCTGTAGATGACACACTTCAACACGCACAGAGCGTAGAGGCTGCGATCGGAGGTCATCATTCGAGACTCCAGACACTGTAGTGTCTTGAACGTTTTCCATGAGCACGTGCAGATCCGTGCGGTCTTCCTCATTGTTGTACAGTCCTGTAGCCCCGCTACCGAAACGCCCGCCGCTAGCAATCCGAGACTCCTTCTGGCTCTTTTCAAGATTTAAAAGCAGATATCGTGTCGCCGATACATCGACTCGTGCTGAGTCCACAGCTACTCGGAAGTTAGTCGCTGCCACGTCACTGTCGCATTCGATGCTGTATGACCGAAATGGAGACGCAGTTTGACCGATCTTGAGCGTAGCGTCTTCAACAACGATCTCCAGCGTCGAGTCAAGCGCAACCTCCCATAATTTTTGTCCTGTCTTGCCGCTTAGACAAATAAGACGCTTATCTGTAAGCAACAAGAGCCCACGGTGTGGCTCAATACCGTAATCCACATGATACACATAACTTTACAGAAACACACAATTAAAAGAATAAGGCAACGTTCCGACGAGAAATAGGTGATAAAGTCTTCACGTACTCATCCGTGGCATCCAGCGATGTCAGCAGCAATACCGCATATCCTCGGGCCTCTCGCTCAGAATAGGACACAAGGACACCATCCGAGCTACACAAGTGTACAAACCAAACAACTCAATAAGTTATTGTTCGGATAGTAGTGTTAGAATGTCATTCCCGCTTACGTACCAGATACGACGCGGTAGTCGGAAGCGTGTGATTGCATCGAACGCATTGCGGTCGGTGCCGTCCAACGACTCTGCGCTTGTTTTCGCTCCTCGTGAAAGACTGGTAAGCAAGTCCAAGAAACCGGCTGTAGGTTTCACAATCAAACCCGCGACGCCCTTGCCGATACCAACTACAAATCCACCCGCGCCGTCTTGTTCCGCACCACGCACAGGTGCAGCGACAACACCTTTGATTCCATCCCAAACACCTCCCATCAGCCCTCTACTACCTTCTGCGATTGCGTCGCCGAGGTCGTTAATTTTCTTGATCTGTCGCGTTGACGCACGCTGTCGTTGAACATTGTACTGCTCATCCATCGCCAACAATGCAATACCCTTGCCAAGCGTCTCGGTGATTTTGCCAGTTGTGTGGAAGATACCTACGGCCGTGTTTCGCAATAAACTTTTCGAGCCCTTCGTCATGCCAGTTCGCAAACTATCGATTCTTAGGCCGTTTTCGTTCTCGAGTAACATTTGCGCTGGCGTGTAAAAGAAGTCCTTTACACCGGTACCCAACGTGCTTACAAGGCCAATGGGATTTCCCAAAAAGTCCACAGAGCCCATGATGCTGTACCAACTGCGCAAACCATGGTGTATATAGTGCTGCATGGCATAGAATGCCAGCGTGTGTGTTGTCTCCAGCAGATTTTCAACGTAAAACTCCGGTATTCGGATGGGTGCCTGGTCCAGGTTCGAAACTAGCGTCGCTGCTGCACTGATCAGCGTACTCAGAACAGACGACATGTCCGGCGACAGCTACAAGTCAAAAACAAAGAAGATACTGTTAACGATAGTTTCACAACTACGATACACAACTTGAATTGACGCACGTACCAGTGACAGCAGTAGCGATCGATCTGCAGTGCTTGTAAACGTCACATTGACCTTTACAGGGCACAGCAAAAGCCATCGCAGAAGCACCTTCATGTTCGCTCCCCCACCACTTCTTGAACCGCCCAAGCTCCCGCTTGCAGCAGTGGACAGCAAGGTGGGCGTAGACCATTCAATTTCTAACAGCTTTAGCGCCAAGTTGGAGCCAAACTCGTCACCAGAGCGCTTCTTTCGCTTGCTTGTGTGTGTATTTTGTGCAGTATGTGACCATTCTACTCCAGAAAATACATGGGCCAATGCGACAAGCGTCGCGTCTTCTAGCTTGATTTCCAACTCTTGAAGCTGACCAAAAATGTAGTCGAACTGGATCACATTCTGTTGACGGCTTAAGACTGCCATCAGCTGTACAGTCGGCAACAGTATTTGGCCCTCTGCTTCAGTATTTGTCTTTCTTCCTTTATCACGCGCCAGTGTGTAGCCTTCTTCCTGCATTTGCGCATCGAGCAGGCGTATTGGACGAAGCAACACCGGATAGTTTGTGTCTAGAAGTTGGTTGTCGATCTGAAAATGCCCAACGCGGGCATTAATCACTTTCTTTCCATCCGAGATCTGGGCGTAGCTCAGTTGAATACCTGCTGACGCATTTTGGTCTGAGAGTGAAATACAGAGTACCTCCTCTGGCTGTTGGGGACCACTTGCTGAAGCCACCGCACTCCACGCGCCATCATCAACAACCGAGATGCAGATACGTGCCACTTCTAGCTGGAAATGAAGACTCAAATCCCCTTGTTGATGAGCGGCCCGGAGCGGGTTAATGAAATCCCACTTCAAGGCGAGCCGCAGTTGACCAATTATTTCTAGTGCCGAGTGTTGGTGCGAGCGTTGCTGTGGCGAGTATAGCGCACAAATTCTCTCATTAAATGTGAGCGCGGATGGTTCTGCCATCGGATTTCCATCTAATGACAAAAGATTTCGTGCGTCAGAGAGAGAAGACGGCGGTAACGGTACCCAGCATTCTGCTAGTAGCACGTCAAACCGCGAGTCTTGTTTGCTGTGATCAAGATGATCCATCATAGCATCGTCACCAAAGAAATACAGAAACGGCACAATACTTGACTCCTGTGAGGCTGAAAGACCATGATCTGATGTCTCGTTACGCAAGTATACGCGCACATGTACCTGTTCATCGTCAGATCCTGCAGCCGGTTGAGTATTGGTTGTTTCAGCAAATTCCACACGTCGATTCCACTCAGTATCATACTTTCGGAGACCGATTTCTTCATCTGTTGTCTGTGCACATGGAGGTCCCGTGTTACTAAACGTCATACGCTCTGTCGTAGGAGGCTGGTACAAAAACGATAGCGTAAATGTTGATCCTGAAGCTTGTTCGTCATTTTGACCTCCAACGCCCTCGCCCCAATGCATAGCCTTCTCAATCACCGCAAACGATGCGTCGCGATGGAGATTTACAATAGATTTGCCGTTAGCTGCGACCACCGTGTCGCCAATACGGATCTTGCCTTCATAAACAAGAGTTCCGCAAGGTCCGTCACATACGACACCTTGAACGATCACACGACCGTTTCGATGGACGAGATCAAGTCCTAGTATCTGGCCTCGCTGGAACTCATGAGTGCGAACTTGTTGCAGATGGGCATGGTTGCCTGTTGAGCCTGTCGTTGATACCTTTCTTGGCGACGTTGGTCCATTTTCATCAGACTTGTTCTGCTCTGCTGATGATGTTGTGTCCGAAGACTTAGCAACCGCTGACAGAGCTGATCGTGTTGATTCTTGGTACGTAATGGTACAATATACTTTAGGCTCTAAATGCCTGGTTGTTCCATGTGTGTGCTTAAAGTTACTCCGAATAACCTCGGTGGGAATTTGGAGATTCGACACACCGATAAGAACTGCGGTCAAACGTTTTTCGTCGTTCATTTCTTCATACGTGCCGTCGCTCACGGATTCATCCGTAGTCGCTGAGACAGCTGATCCTTTTACTGAGTTCGTACTTCGACTACGAACCCCGGTGGAATCATCGTCTGTACCAGCAGAGTGAGTAACGAAATTTGTAAGGGTGGACTTCTTTTTCTCATCTAGCGAACAATCCGGCACTGACCGCAATGCTGCTGGAATATTGGTGCCACTGGTTGAAGTATCCACTGATTCGTGCTCCAGCAGAAGCTTTAGCTGTGACTTGGAACTCATTAGCACATCTAATTCCCTCTTTAGCTGGTATGCGGACAGTATATCCTGCAACTCTTTCACTATGTCGAGATCATCTCTGCCTTCTCCACTAGACTCAGCAACAGCACGTCGAGTCGCGAACGTTCGTTGGCAGCACATTTGGAAACGGATTCGCGTTTCGTTTTCTAAGGAGCGAGACCATCTCCCACTATTTCGAGTCACGTGCACAGGTGCAAGAAACTCTACCACTGGCGTCTTGTGATTGGCATCATTTCTAGCTGAGATCATAGCAGCAGCGCAGTACTCATGCAAAGGAATACGTGCGATTGCAATGACAGAAGAGCCAAAGAGAATTTTATCTGCTTCTCGTATCTCCACAATTATCTCTGCGTTAGTGCCAAATTCGTGATTGGATGTCTCTTGTTTTTCATCGTCATCATCACTTAACATCAAAGCACTCAACATCGCCCTCGAATTAGGTGCCGGAAGCCAACGTGGAAACACTGTCGTAGCCTGAGGAGTTAGTTTTGTCCGAGCTTCTTCCTTTTCGGTCTTCAAAGAAAATGTAATGAACGGCCGACACGATGTCAAATCACTACGTCCAGCTTGGAGAAACACTTCTTCTAAATGGGTAGCATCTACAAGCCGAACACAGAGCGCCAGTGCTTCCACCTCGTTTTCTTCTACAACTGATGACGTGATAGTGTCAGCTTCATCACCTTGTTTCGGTGCTCCCGATATTCCATCTTTGTCAACATCGAGCTTTCCCTTCACTGACGTCACGTCTGGCGCGAAACGCACACGCTTTTTCTTTGCAAGTATCTTCTGTACCATGTTGTCATCTGATCCATCCGTCCTATGAGCTGCGTGCGCCGAAAGTACACGCGAAATAAAGACGATTGATGTATTGTAGCGTTTCCAGCTTCGAAGAAGAGTTGCTCGCCTTCGCCGTTTATGCTCACCAGAGAAACCAGGTAGCATGTCTGTTACCAGTAAGGTTTTTGTCGTTTCATCCAGCAACACTTCAGCCCATAATCGTTTCTTTGTTACACCCTCAGACACGTCAATCGTCGGTAGACACTGGAGATTTTTCAGTTGCACCTCAAAACTTGCAACCACTTGGGCTTGGCCCATAGTTGCTGCTCGAGAGAGAGCAGTAATTGGTGGGTCATTGTCTCCTTTTTGCGATAGGGACTTTGATTTCACCTTATCAGAGTGACGACCGCGTACTCTATGCTCTTTCCGCAGTGCACCAATACCCAATCCTGCCACTTTCTGTACCTGCACAAACACAGTCGGAAACGCAGAGAAGCGGAATGGCACATAGTCGACCGAATGGAACGGAAGCACGGGCTCTCCGCCCTCAAAGCCGACCGTCATGTTCCCCTTGTCGTCTTTCACAAGTGTTTTCTGCCACACAATTAGCGCTAAGTTGCTGCACGCGTTCTTGATCTTGAACGGCACAAAGCCTTCGTTGTCTTTCTGCTTAACGGTCAGTGTATGTTCTCGATCGTTATCTTCGTATGCATACGATGACGGTGGCGCAAAGTGAGCCGAAGGACTCCCCTCTTCTAAATACACCAAAAAGGAAGGATCGTGAAGTTCGACCGCCACGTTTAGTTGAAGTCCCTCAGTAAGCATCCGATCTGCGTCACTGTTCTCGTCTTCCACATCGAAAAACATGCTTGCTTCTTCGGCTTCTTCAGTTTGCTTGTGTTTAGAGATCCCCCTTCAAAACATCCAGGAAGACACGGCGGTGCGGGTCGGACTTTCGACTTCACGCGCAGCACAAAATTACCCACTGACGAAAGCTCGAATGGCGCGCTCCATTGCGACGAACTAGCAAACGAGACAGTGTCGTCTGCGTCATGACGCTTGTCAGGTAGCACAAAACAAATCTGGACCCGCAGTGGCAACCGCGAATCACTCCAATGAAAGATCTTGGTTTCTTTTGGTTGAAGCACAATCACTGCATTCGGGTCCGTCGAACGCTCCTGCCGAACATGTATCCCAAACATGCTGGAAGTGTTAACAAAATAGTATCGTGGAACAAGTGTCACAACACGTGATCGTGAAAACTTTTCCGGGCCTTGCTCGATCATCACGCCAAACTCATACTGTTTATAAGTCGATTTTTGCCCATCTGGGGGAGCTCCAAATTCTGCGATCGTAGAAAGCAGAGACCGAGCATCACGAGACCGATTGGTTGGCACAAGAATCTGGCCACGTACTCCCACAGCACTGATGTCAAATGGCTCAGATTGCACTTCACGCTCGCCTACGGCGCCCTTAATGCCGATTTTCATTTTTGAAACGACTTGCTTGCTCTCACACGAGAACACCGAGAGCGACACGGCAGAAGATCCATCGTCAGCGTCACCTTTATCGTCATACAGTCGGCTTGGGTGGTTGGACGGGATAAGATAATCGTCTGCAGTATAGAACGCAAGTGATAGCGACGTTCGGTCGATCAGCCAGTATTCCGTGAACACTCGGCACACAACCGGACACAGCTTATTCAAAGATCTTGACCGTAATTTTTCTAGTTGTGTGATCTCGACACAGATCGTTAGTTTGTTCGCAAGTGTAGGAGCTTCCAACTCGCAATCGTCGCGCATATTCAATTCGATTTGCTCGCAAAATGATTGACAGCCGTAAATAAACGTGTTCCTTGACCAACGTGAGAATCTCCGCAATTCGATCTGTGGCAATGCAAGGCTCAATCCAACAACTGTTGGTGTCTGCACAATCTCTCCGTTGTCCTGATCTCGCTCCAATATATCGAGTTCTGCAACACAAGCAGAGCTTCCAGACGGCACCTTCCCGTTTGTGCCCGAAAAGGAAGCTGCATTTTTGGCTACCCACACAACCTCGGCTTCCGATTTCATGCAAACGGTACGATACGACAGCTCATAGGGCACTAGGTTCTCCAAAACAATAGGCGGTCGTAAAGTTATCGTTGTCTCGTGACGTTCTGACTTTCGCAGTGCGGTAAGGATCACTTGAAGCGGTGGTAACGACACATCAAATGTGAAATCTGCGGGATCTTCTACTCCTGTGCTTGGATGGACATCCCAGTAAAAAGTCAATGCCTTGCGTAGCTCAAGAGAACCTACATTCTGCCGGCGATTTGATCGAGCGCGAGTTTTGAAGTCATTCGAACGCAACAGCGATGCGATGGAAAGGGCATCTGAGCATTGGACCTTTCCGTTCGACAGCAGGGGGCGAAATGCAATGGACCCTGACTCAAGATACTGAATGGGGATGTAATGAGCCGCCATACCGCCAGGCTCGATTGTATCCTCCCGCTGATCGTTGTAGATAACTTGAATCGGAACGCTAAAGAAATTCGTCAGTTGCACCTTTCCTCGAAGTCGTAATACAAGTGTGCCCTGTTCCGCGACTGTCTCACATATAATGTTTTCCCCATGCCATGAATCGCGTTGTTTGCAGCCGCTTTCTAGATGAAGATAGCTTCGATTTGAATATCCAATCGGCACAGGAATCGCCTTGGAAGAAGTTGTCCCTTGTAGGTGAGACTGTGGCTTCAACCATAGCAAGCGACGCAGTGGCGACGTTACACACCCTGCCGGTGCTTCGTGTGCAACAATTTCAGTCGCAATTCGTTCTCCACTCTCGACTCGGATCCACTTGGTATCGGAAGAAGAAATGTCGTTCAGCATCGTAGATAATCGGCGACGGCTCCAAGCAGTACTGTTAAACATTGCCGTCCCTGCTTTCATGATTTCATCGTTGGCGTCAGCACCCGGAACGTCAGTAGGCATTTCAATCGAGCCCGTGGGCCTCCGAGAAGAAGACGGGGTTCCCCATGCTGTGGCTGATGCACCAGCGGATGATGACGGGTGCGTCGCGACGACAAACGGAATTCCGGACTGGTTGTCCACATAAATGAATGGACCGAGACGTGATGATAAGGCCTCATCGGCTGCTGTTACTTTCGTCACCAATGCAAAGAAGTGCACTAGCACATTAATCACATTTCGTGAAACGTTGATATTGAAGTCGTCTTTCACCACGATCATGAAGGTGTTTGCCAACTTGGCACCGTCTTGAACGTCAGGTTGTTCCAATAGCTCACGATAAATGAAATTCTTGGATTCCCACGAATGCGCGGCAGCATTTGTAAGCACCTCGGTCCGTGAAGAGCGGAAGAGACATAGTGGCATCCCATCGCACCGCAGTGCAGCACCCGTAGGAGAAACTGATTGTCTCTCCGACATGCAATAGTCGCACAATACACCACCCATTCCATGATACGCCATGTTCACCTCGAAGTCTTCTAGTACAGGTTCCCAAACAGCCAGTTGGGAGTTATACGCTTGAATGCCAAAACGCAAGCTCGTTAGTACTGTGAACTTATTTTCCAGCCTTCCACGAACGTCTGCATGTAACGTCGCCACACGGAAATGGAGCAGTGGCAAAAGCATGTTATGAAAATCATTCACGATCGTCGCATTCACTCCTGGAAGCGTGAACTCGAGTATCTTTAAATTCTCAAGGAATGAGGCATACGCAAAGAGCGACTTGCGATTTTTTCTCTTCTTTCTTGCCGGGGTCGCAGGAGTCTTATCACAAGTTTCTGCAGTGTTTGGAGTAGCAACAGCCGAAACAGAAGTTTCACAGACTGCATTAGCATCATCCACATCAGCGACACTCTTTTCGTCGCGCTGCGGAGATCCAGACCTAGATCGGCTTGATACAATAGATAGTGCAAATGGAATTGGTGCATCGCCAACACCATTGAACATCAGATACCCGCCTCCTCGCGCACTTGTTGTGTCTACCGTATGCGCACCCTCCGCTTGGGGTCCTGATCGAGAAGAGTTAAAATCCATTTGTTGACCAGCGTCAGCATCAGTTGCCGCACCGAACGTTTTACCTTTGCTGAACGAACGATATATCGTGAGTTCCTCAAACACGATAAGCTCTCGGTCGTAGATTACACTCTTGTCCGAGTTAAACATTGTGCTTCCATGTTTCCAAATTGTAGTTTCGAAAGCTCCAGCTGACCCTTCTGGGCCTAGATATCCTATAGCACCAAGTTGATCGTACTTTCGGATTAAAATTGACTCTCGTACTAGCTTCTCTTCGTCCTCTTCCGCAGTAAGTACAGAGTCGACTCCTTCTTCGTTAGGGAGCGACGTGTCTTTTGAGGTATTCTCTTTGTCGTCTTGCTTTGTATCAACAACAGCTTCCAAGACTATTCTGTCACCGTAGTAAATCTCGTCGCCAATTTGCCGTCGACTTTCAGGTGCTGGCAAAATTCGAAACGCCACACTTTGAACCAGTTGACGCTGCTGCGCTGTGTATGGCAAGACAAGGTACCGTTTGCGCCATGTTGAATTATAAAATCCAACCACTGGTCGCGTCTCCAAACGTCCGCGAAAACTTGCTGATACCAAATAAATCAAAGAAGTTCCGTAGAGAGCAGCTGCGCGCTGTCGCTCACTTCTCTTCGAGCTGGATACCGCGATGCTCGAGCGCGAAGATAACTGGGCGCGTCGACGTCCACTCCAAGACGAAGTCTCGCTCTCAACACCCCCACCAGAAAGAGAAGAAATTGATGAACTAGACATTGACCGCCCTTTTTGATCCCCCGCTATTGATGTTGTGGTAATTGATGGGCGACGCAAAATATGCTCGAGAGCTGCTAGCATCGTGCAGAAATCCAAGTACCCGAAGCGGAGTTCCATGACGCGGTTGAACGTTGTTCGAAAGCGGAGAAAGCGGGAGCGCAGATCCATCTGTATAACAGTCTCCATATCAATAGGTTTCAAGCAATCGGCAGATGCCGCTGTTGCTGCTTGCTCAGCCGCCCATACGCTCTCCTCGGACAATCGCGAAGTTGCGTGAATGTTTTCGAGAGCAACGCAAATCTGCAACTGATTTTGGCTGTGTGCCGGAGATTTCTTGCCTACGTCTTCGATGTCAGGGCATTCGTCCTCATTTGTTTGCTGAAGATAATTGATGATGACTGATGACTCCCATGAAAGCATCAATGCTCGAGATTTGAGCTTGTAAGGATCCTCCACTAACAGTAACGAGGACGGGCCTACATTCAGCTTCAAACCTATTCGCCGATATGCTGGCGACACGGTTGCTTCTTCTGGTCCTGTAGTTCCATTTGCATCAGTGTCTTGACTACTTACAAAGTTCATGTCTTCTGCTTTCCAATCGGGAGATATTGTCAAGAAGTGAACCACGTCGTAGTAAATGTTTGACGGGATAACCTTGAACCCAGCTACATCAATCACCAAATCCATTCTTCTTTCTACTCCTACCACTGGAGGCGGTTTCTTCTCTCTGTTATGGCTTGTTGCCGTTGAAGACAGTGATGAATAGGCAGAAATTTCAGAATCGGTTCGTTTTAGCGAGAGCTCCGATCCGAACAACCCCACGAAGGCTCTAGACGAGACGCTCCGAAATTGCGTCCTGGGAGTTCGCGAACCATTTCCTTGGGTTGTGAAGGCTGGGTCGAAATCTACTGTCGATACATCCACGTCGTAGCTTTCGCACCCAAATTGAATTTTAATTGCTTTCGGCAAACCTTCTTTGCACCGCTCAAGCACGACAACATCGCGGTACGAAGTCGACATCTTTGAGGTCACTCGCGAGTCTAGAATGTGAACGCCCTCTAGATCAATGCCTGCCGTTAGCCTTCCATTAGCTAGATTGTAATCAGCACATCCTAATAACACAGAGAAAGTTAGTACGCAAATTGAGCCTTCGTGCGTTTTTCCCTTCTCGGCCACGTCGAGATTCTCACTACTCGAGGGGTGATATCCGTGTTGCCCCTGCAATATTTCTAGCGCAACTTCTGGAATACGGATATCGAGCATGACATGGCACTCGTCTGTAACATCAGGAGCCTCGGACGCACTCGTTCCGTTGCTTGCTTCATCACCGTGTTCCACGGGCTTTCCAGAAGAAGAGGATCCATCGAAACTACGAGATAAAGAGAAACGTTGAGATGAAATAAGTGCTACCACTTTTGCTGGTGCTGCAGCCGCTTGCAAAAAATGGTACCGGGTCCGTTCACGGTAGTTTTGGAATGGTACTCGCAACACAAAGGCGTATTGTTCCTGGTTGCAGAATGAGCGAACAGGGCTACAACTCATTCTCAACTTTAGGTCAGCATGTGAGCGGAAATCCACGGACAATAACAGGTTCGTAGGTTCTAGCAGACTTTGCTTAACAAATCCGCCGTTTCCTATATCACTGCGATCCACAAGTATATTTGACACAATTCGAAGTGCCTTCATATCGAGTTGCAGCTGCTTCAACGAAGAGTTCAAAAGCACTTTTGCTACGATGCGGTTTTCCATACCCAGAAAGCTGTTAACGACATCTTCGTTAGATGCTCGGAAAGTGTCAAACCGGAGAAAAAGTGATTCCGATGACATACGATGAGGGGGCATCTCCAGAATGGCATCTTCCAGGCGAATATCGACGAGCGGAAACATCGACACAATATCAGAGCCCAAGTACTTACTCGAAGATGCTTTTTCTTCGGCATCTCCTTTCTTTTCATCCATCTGGGGTTCTACTAAGTCATCTTGAATATCGGCAAGCTGAAAATCGCCCTCCCAAAGTGTATCAGCCTGCTCGCGAGACAAGATGGACATAACTGTCTGCAACAGAGCACCCTTCATCCAGTAATTGCGCATGTCGTCAACGAAACTGTAGAGAAAACGGATCCGCGGTGATTTGAGACGCAAAGAACACCGGCTACTGTAACCTGGATGCCATACTTCTTGGATAGAGTCCGCCCCGTAAAACTGCGCAGCGCACGAAAATACTGCAGGCACATCATTGAGCAGATTAAGAATTTCGCCAAGTGTTGGAACATGACCCACCGCAATATCACCGTCATATTCGCAAGCAGCATTACGATTAATCCACGGTCTGTCTTCGTCGGGTTCAGTGGATGTGCTTTTATGGGATACAATCTCACTGAGATGTCGGTCTACCAGCGATACATCACAAATCTTCAATGAAGTCAGGGATGCAAACATGCTCAAGTAGCGTGGAAACCGCTGTATGCAGCAGCAAAACTGCTGCGCTATCAGAGTAGCGAAAGCTGATGGCATCCCGTCTGGTTTTTGTTTATCATCCAAGTGGAGAAACAATGACAAACCTTCGACATGGAGACGGAACTGCGTCAAGGCCGGCAGGTTTTCCTCAACATCAACGCATCTATCATTTCCTGCTGCCTCTTGCTCATTTTCATTTTCACAGCCGGCAGCTGTGTGGTTGTCCAAGAGCCACACGCCTAATTTCCTCGAGAATGTATCTCCATTAGCTTCGCTATCCACCGAAGACAGGACAGATTGCTCCTCCATGTCCATAGCCAGTCTATGTTTGCTTGCTGTACTCCCTTCACTGATGCTTCGCAATGACGGAGGCGGTGGCGGTGGTGTCTGCTCCTGAATACTTACTTCTTCCTTACTGCGCTGGAAAAAGAACACGAAGACCTCCGCAAGCGTGTCTTGGTAAACATCAATTGTTAGTACGCGCAAGCTAGCATCAATCGAAAGAGTAGTGATAAGTGGATCCTGCCAAACAGAGTTCTTGCCAAAAGACAACGAGAGTGGGGAATGCCTAGCGTGCTTCCACACTTTTTTATCCTTCAACATTACCGCGTCGGAAGCGATGCTCGTAATTACCACACGAATTAACTGCTCAGATGAAGGTGGAGGTTCAACGGACAAAATTGCTCCCTCTTCTGACTTCTCTTCCAGTTCTGTTACCACTTCGTGATTTCCAGATTTCACAAGCAATCGCTTCTTTTCCACCACCTCCGACGACGGTGAAGACCGCAAGAGAAGAATATCTTCCACCAAGAACGAACCAAGCGCAAATTCCACCCTCTTGTCGTAGGTTCTCGTTTCCAATCGTGTGTTAATATCAACAGCACGCGCTCGTACAATTTTCCCCGAACCGCTCTCTAGATCTCGAACTTGCAACGTGAGAATGATCTCACCTATTCCAAATTGAAGCTGACAAACCACGCGTTTCCACAACTTAAGCAGGTCATTGTCATTAATGTCCTCTTCTTGAAATGTCTTCTGTTGCTCGAGCTGAATCTTTCGCGCAAAACCCATGTAGGAGCTGTTCTCAGATGCAGCATTAGTTCGCCCACCTGAATCACTACTGGACAGAGCAACGCCCCCAGGCTTGATGCGAGATGATATCTTCCGTACGAGTTTCGGCTTGCTACGTCGTGAAGTACTTGTTGCTAGGGGCCCAATGCGTATGGGGTGGTTTGTAGCGTCAGCGGTCATAGCAGCGTCTCTATCCATGCAACGTTGCGTATGAATCGAGTAGTTTTCCCCAAAAGAATGCAGCAATTGCATCAGTGAGCGGAAACTTGTAGCGGATAAATTCAGATTGACGTTGTCGACACCGCCAAATAACTTGATAAGAGGAATACTTGGGTCATCCGGTGTAACGCTTATGTAAAAGCTAAACGTAAGAGATGTTTTTTCCAGCAGATAATGCCACGCGGACTTCTTGCTAGGGTGAGATCGAGGTCGGAACACTCTTTTACCACTCGTGCTGGTCCAGCCATCAATAACTTGTACTTCAATGCCAGAGATACTGATCTCGAGAACGTCATAAAGACTTTCCTCCGACGGAGTCAAAACATTTCTCCGGCTCGCGATTGTTTCATTCTCATAATTGCCAAAATCACATTTTTCACTGCCGTCAGAGATATTGCTCGGATGTTTCGTTTGTGCCTTCAGATGTCCAAGAAATACTAACAGACTCACGCCGTCATCACTAGAAGAATTAATCTCAGATGACGGTGACTGGGCGATGTTGATCAGAGGAGAGATCACATCCAAGCGCATTTCGACTGTCGTTCTTCGAGCCAATGCATCTCGCAGCTGAGCAGTACTATAACGTTGCAAACTTTGCGCTCTTCTCCACGCACTGTGCTCTAGCCCGGATAAATCGACGTTTACTGGACGAGAGAACACAGCCACTACATCGAGAAGAAACATCATGTTCACGTTGCATTTGATTGGCTGTGTTATGAAAGACACCCGAAGCAAGTGGGCTGGCGGTGTCACATCTGCTGTGGCCAGTTCATCGTCTTCATTGCCTTTTTGTGAGCCCGAAGCCGTTTCATTTTTGTGCTGATACTCGGATATAATGTTGAGCTGTACCAGCGGAAGCTCTCTCTCGCAATGACGAAGCCGGACGCTGCTCATTTGGTTTCGCACTCCAACTGGATGATACTCTACTACTTCGTCCATGTCCATTCGCTGAAGGAAAAAATCTGTCCCAGGGGGGCTCATTGATCGCTTTCTTTGAAATAGTCTGTCGTGGACGGTCCGTCGAAGTGGTCGGAGACTCTGGCAGAAAAATGCCTCACGCAATTGAAGGCCCATGTCCAAACATGACGGGCGAACCAAAAACTGGATCTCCACATCATCCAATGAAGCGATCAAGTACGATGACGAGGCTGTCTGTGAAAAAAACGTTTTACTAGCTCCATCGTGAAAAGGGATACTGCTGAAATCACCGGGAACGTCTTTAAGACTAATTCCGAAGCTCGCTCGATAAAGGGTAAGCTGGAAGCGATACAAATTATGCTGGCGTTCTTGTAGCAAGCGCTTCTTTTGTACAGCCGCATCTTCAATCTCCCCACTGTCTACTGCACTCTCTTCCTTATCGTCCTCGGGATGAAAATCAATTGCCTCGTAAAGATCTTTGGTGTCTTGATCACTCCATTTCATGTCCTCCATGCGTACCCTTCCAGCATCATGACCTGAAGATCCACCATGTGCTGGCCCTCCTGCACCTGTAAGCCATGTGGCGTACGACCAAAGACGCGAGCTAGCAGGAATACTAGAACCTTGAACCGAGTGTTGTACATCACTTTCGCGCTGGCTTTGTAACTTGCTCAGAACTTGCTTCTCCTTCTCTTTGTCGGCAATTTCTTTCCGCACGGCCTGGCGAAGCTTAATCAATTCTTGAACATCCATGACGAATTCCAGCTCGTCCAGCTCATTGCGTGCTATTTCTTTCGACAGCAACCGTAATTCTGGCGGGACGAGTGTGGCAGCAAATGTGGTGCCATGTTCCAACACAAGACACAATTGTTTATACCGATTTCTTCGCTGTCGTGCATGTTCGAAGGCTACCCAATCTACATGGGCCAAACGCTCCCGAACATCCAACAATACAGCATTGATTGCATATTTCCACCATGCTCTCGGATTGTCTTGTATCCGAATTCTCTTTGGACGCAAAACCAGGTACCGGGCCTGACGACGCTTCACCGTCAAAAACGAAATGAAGGAAAGCGCACTCAGGTACTGCTGACGATGCAGCGACGTACTGATCTCATCGATATTTGCTTGAGCATCAACATATGTACTTTTCTCTTCCATCACGTGAACAACAGCGTCCCGGTACTTGACAATGCAATGCTCGACACGATCGACCTCTTCCAAAGACCATTGCATGCAGCTTGACAAAGCTTCTTTAAACTGCTGCACCGATGGAATCTCGTCCTCTTCTTCCGTGAGGTCTCTCGCCACCGACCAAGCCTCCGAAAACACAAATCCTAGCGTATACTTGCGTCCTCCTGCCAGTTTAGGCATCATCTCCACAAACTCCTTCCACGCGTCATCGCCAATAGCGTCAATCGTGTCGACCATCCACGGCGTCCCAAGCCTTGACAGCACACGTTCACTCAGCTCTTGATGCGTAAAGGGCAACTTGGCATTACCATCATTCACCGTCAGCTTCATTGAGACCGTCAACGGGTGCACGATATAGTCACTCGACTTGAACAGTCTCGGCCGTATCGTATCAGCTTCAGGATGCAACAGCGTCGGTGCGACTGCAACGGGCTGTCTTTTTCTCTCGAGAAACTCAAAACTGCTCCTCATCAACGTTGCAAATGCTTCTGCATCCTTCAACACCGTTAGAGGCACTGGTACCAATGGTAATGACAAATAAATGCCAAATTTATTGATATCCATTTTCTTCCTGATAAAAGAAACGCCTCCTCCATTCCCATCCTGTTGCGTCGTACCTCTTCCAACCATTGTAAAATTCCATCCTTCATCAGCTGATTTAATAATAATAGCTTCCAATGTCATCCCTACCGCATATGGTCGTTCAGCATCCGAAACAGCATCTTCCATCCGTAAATGTAAATGTTGGACATGAACTTGCACTTTATCCAAAACGTTGACCACTAATTTGACTAAAAAACTCTCTGTCCAGCTTTGCTTCGTCCTGGTCCGTGTCTTGTTTTTCTCATTAAATTCTCGTGCTTTTTCCACCGCATTTAGAGCTGCACGTTTCCGTTGTAAAGTCTGTCGTCTCTTTTTCTGAGCATGTCGTTGTTTTTCTTCTCCGGAATGTTTGTCATCGTAACAAGACGTCCGATCGTCTTCAATCACTTGAAATAATAGATTTACATCTTGTATATCAATACAAATGGGCTGATGAGCGAGATTTGTCCATGGTAAATCAATACAAACGTGTCGAAGCGTTCCTTTGAGGAATTGAATCTGTTTTGGCAGGGTAAAGGCATCCGGTTGGAGCTCGACAGCGTCCACTTGGATCTTGCCATTCCAGACACTGATTTGTAACGTTGTTGGATCAATATCTTTTACGTAACTCCCTAAGACCGCATCAAGTACAACGTGAACGTAACGTTGGAGGAACATGGGGAAATAACTGACTGAATGACTTGAAGTGAGTATGAAGTGGCCTTACCAGGGATATGGAAACGTTTTATTGAAGCGACATGGGTTTTATTATTTTTAACGGGATATGGAAGGCTATACTGTATGACAAGTGATTTTATGCCACCGAATGGGAATTTTTGGACCCTTTTACCAATTATGGTACCTGTAATATAATTTAATTATTTGATATTGTAAATATTATTATTGTATTATTGTGCAGGTATTACAGTATGGAAGCATTAGAGCTCGTTGATCACAAGCTCAGTAGCGTATGGCGCTTTGTATCTACTAATCTCTCGATCCGTATGCCCGATCCTCAAGAAGAAGATGAACAACAGCAACAGCAGCAGAAATATCTCACTTATTCTATGGATGAAGAACAAGCACTGGAAGAGAAAGTGAACGATGGAATTGCTACGTATCAACGCGTTCTCTTGGACACACAGGACTGGATTCAGGAGCTCGTGGATCCCAAAGAAGCAGATGAAGCAGCAGAGAAACTGGAAATGTATCGGAAACAATTACAAAACCATAGCATTCAATGCAGAAAGATGCTCGTGGCTTATCGCCAACGGGCAAAGATCGAGCGGCTTGAACAAGAACGCAAGAAGCTCTTGTGTCCACGTTCTCAAGATAAAACGGCTACAAACAGCAATACAAATGCATCGGGTTCAGTCGTGGATGTTACAGCAGCTTTGAAACGGACACGACAGATTATGTCGCAGGAAATTGAACGGGTCAGTTCCGTGACAAAAGTACTGGATGATGGACGACGGAGTTTAAAGACTTGTCATGATGAATATGGTAGTGTTAATGCTGAGATTATACAAGTTCGAAAGCGGTTGAAGAGACTCGAGTGGCAAGCAAGACAGGACAAACTATGGATTGGTGCAGGAATTGTCGTGTTGAGTGCGACAGTGCTCTTCATTGTCTATGAACGCACCGGGTTTCTATTGATATGAGACCAATGTGGATGGAGTCAGTATGCACTCTACGCTTGCCGAACGAAAACGACAATGTAGCTACATTTGCAGAGACACCTATGCAAGAAATATTGGCGAGTTCTCTTGTGTCTAGGCTAAGTGTTCGCTCGCCGCTTGATGGCATCATGTCCAGACGCGTATACAGCACCACTAGTCGATAGAGTACTCTATTATCAACACGGCGTTTCTATTCGTTCCTCTATTTCAATATAAAGTCGCTTTAAAGTCGTCTAATTGCTCACCACCCAATCGCTTGGTGCTCTAATTAGACAATAATGGAGACCACCAAGACGAACCGCTTCTTGACGCAATTTTCACGCGCTGTATTTCAACAATGGACACAAACAGCTACACATGATCAGTTTTGGAAGGATGAGACGTTTGTACATGCCATGCTCGAGGATGCAGTGGCGAAATTACCGCCTGGAAAGCTTCAAACGGAGCTATTACGTAACTTGAAGCCATTGGAGACGCAATTGATTGCACTGTTACATGATTTGCATGTAAATTACGTCCAGGAGGAGAAGAAGAAGACAGAGAAAGAGTCATGGACATGTGGTGCATTGCTAAATGAAGAACTGACGGAGCTGGAGTTGTCACGGGCCGCGACTGCCACGTCTACTGACAAACAACGACGAGTGACAGGTGTATTGGCGCTGGATGTCGGTCTGGATCGAGGTCATCACTTGGACACGGACGTGGAGAATGCTGACGAGTTGGTGCATCTTTTTGGGCTCATTGCAGCACGTAATTACGAGACATTGCACGAACAAGAGCACAAACGTGGATTTGTTCTTGAACGTCTTGCTGTCTGTGCTCAGAACTTGGTGGAGAAATGGTGCATTGTATCGGGCAATTGGAGCTGTGGGGAGGAGGAGGATGCTGTCAAGCAGGTGCAGAAATTGCGTGAGTTGTTGGAACGTGTCGTGGTTCAAGACGCAGTAGCACTTGCTCGAGTATCTGATTGCAATGGGAGCTTGAAGGCTCCGTGGACGATGTTTTACCGGCCAGAGGAAAGAAAAGAATGGAAGAAGGTGTCGTATGACAAGGAAATGGCCAAGATATATGGTGTTCTGCTCACATTAGCAGTCTACTTTCCTATTGAAAACGATGAGGAGGAAGAAACATCCGATGAATCGTTATCTTCGGGAGATGAAGAGGAAGAATCAAGACAGGAGCGGAAAAAGCTGAAGCCGGTCAGTCCGCTTGCTCAGGCCCAGCTTACAACTCGACAAGTACTGCTTGCTGCTCAGATGCGGCAGCGTGGACTGGACCAGAACAATCAGTGGCTTGTGTTGGTGTTGTCCTTCTTGCAGAGTCTGCACAAACCTACAACGTACCTGGACGAAGATGGGGACGAGGCTCTTGACTATCAGAGCCGGTGCGAACTGCTCGACTGTGTTGGCGGTCTGTACACGCGTGCATTCGCCAGTGCAGCACTGTTCAACCAAGCAAAAGAGAGTACAACCGAAGAAAAGACGGCAGTGCAGGACCGTGGTCTCTTCGAGGCCATCGTATGTCTCCGTCACGCGGCACATTTCATGCGCGTTGAGCGCAAGTCGAGTCTACCGGTCATCACCACGGCAATGGCTCAGCTGGCCGGCGTGCCATTGCCTGCAAGTTTTGTGTCGTGGCTGGACCACGAACAGACCGCGGATCCAAAGTCCGTGCTGGAGAAGGCCATACAGCGGCTATGGAAGAAGTGTATCAGCCAAAACCGAATGGCGAATATCCTGCTGAGTTCGACGGATGTATCGGACGAGGAGATGCCTCTGATCCAAAGAGTGAGCTGAGATCATTCCAAGTTATGGTCCATGTGCTGATGTGACATCTCTGACTAACGCTGCAATGCTTATTTGTTTGCAACAGAACTACCTTGAGCACTTGGATCAACTTGCTATAGCCAACGCGAACAAGACCAGTCATCAGGCTGATACGAACTCGGCAGAATCAGCAGAGGCGTTGGTCGTTAATACTGATAGTCTCTTTTACGTGGACAATGCTGGTGGAGAAGACAAAGAGAAGACGAACAAAACGAAGAAAAAACGTGCCAACAAGAAGAAAAAGCGAACGAACAAAACTGTCGACGTGTCACCGGCAAAGCGCAGCCGAGCATCTAGCAGTTAGACAACGCTTGTCCGACGTAAACACGATGCGATCCATTTGTTACTTTGCGCACTTTCACATACCAGTAAATAACATCTTCCCGTCCGTGATACATGGTCAAGATTGTTGTTTGCCTTATCCCCAATAACACACGCAACGAGTGTTATTGGAGGATAATTGGTATTATCTTTTACTCGTGTGTGTAGTACGAGGTAAATTTGAAAATGAACCATTGATTGACCAGGAATGGGTACAAAAATCCATGTTGAAGTTATAGACTCGTTTTGCATACTATTTGTGTATTTAATTGTAAGGAATGGACGCTTTTTGACAGCGTTGACATTTTGTGTGTATATAAGACATGGCTACAGGCACCTGTCTGTAGCCATCTCCATTCATTTCCATGCCGTCGTGCTTCTTACAATGCTGTTTATTTTGTTTTCTTATACTCTTGCTGTTTCATGTCGTCTTGGCTCCGCCAAGGTGGAAAACAAGTGCGAGTTCCTCACACTCATTTGCTAAATAGTTCCTTCCTATTTTATCCAAAAAATTCTAAAAAAATCACGCAGAATTGCACACTTGTCCATCGACGACGTCATCGTCAACGAGTCCACTTGCCTGTGACCGATTTCTTCCTCTTGTTCACACTATTTGACGATATCTGCATCCGTCTGCTAAATCAGCGCTGCGTCACGCTTCAATTCCATCATCAATGCCCTTGAAGCAAAAGTGCTCGGGCGGCTTCGAGCTGCAATCACTCGTTGCCCCCACTTGTCTGCACAGACCACTACAGTCTCTGTCGTAATCCTGATCATTTCTCTCGTATTTTGTCATCCTTTTTTCACAGTGAATCACCAGGTCATATCGTTCTTCGCTCTCGCTCTCTTTGCTTCAGGTAACTCACGCAATGCTCGACCCGATCACTCTCCGTTCGCTTCATCTCGTCCTCCCATACCTTCGTTCCACTTCACTGTTCAGTAGTGTAGCAGCCACGTCCATCAATCGACCAGTAAAATTAGTTCGTGGACGTGTAATAGGCTCGACTACTCAATACACTCGGGTCGATCTTCGAACGAAGTGGAGGAATGGAGTAAACGTTGGAAGCTTGGTCACTCGCGACATTAAGCGGTGGCAAGCGGAACGTGCCAGCACCACACTGCTGCTGCTGCATTTTTCGCTCTTCCGCTCCCGCCATACGCATGGGAGATACTATGCCGTGCATGGAACTGGATGGGAGTGGCAGAGGAAGGCGGTTCTGCGCGTTCTGGTAACTCATCTCCGTGATAGCGTTAAGCACACCGCCAAACCTGCGAATCGGGAAAGGGCTTCCATCGGGAGAGGCCCGCAGTGGACTGAGCCGCACCTCTGTCTTTTGCATGCACCACTCGGGACTGTGTTGGATGAACGCACTCTGGTCATTAGCCCACTCCATCTTGCAAATTTTGTTACTAAATGCCACGGAGGCACGAGCCGTGGCCTCTTCGGGGCACTGCTTGATCACCATGGGGCTCGACATATCAACCATCTCCACGTCGGGTGGAGACGATGGTATAAAAGGCACTGGCATCGACATCAGCGTTGGCTCCTGTTTCATGACCTCGATGGATGCAATCTCCGCCAATCGGAAGAGTTCACTACGCGGAGCGTCATGTCTAGGGACATTTGTAAGTGACCGTATGGGGCTTCTGAACGCATTGTCATCGCCAAAGCGATTGCCCATTTCATCGCCCGAGACGTACTCAATTGCTTTGACAAGATTCTCCTTGGTCGAATATTCCTGCGCGTCAATCTCGCTGTGTTGGGAGCCGTCGTCCCCCGCCTGCCTACGGCCCTTGTGACGCAGTCCACGTCGCCAACGACTGATCTTCTGGCGGTACTTTTGCGCATGCGTCATTGTCTGCCTCGTAGTTTTCGTGCCAATAAAGGCAGCAATGACCTTCCACGGTCCTGCCGGATACCTCTCCATGGCTTCAAGGAATTTCTCGTGCTCCTCTTGTGTCCACATTTTAAGAGGCTGGTTCTGTTTCGATGAATAGACTGTCGTGCCTGCTTTGGCCTCCGTGGGCTTAATACGAATGAGTTTGCCCTCGCTGTTTGTCATTTCAAACAACTCCTTGCGCACATTGGCTGAGATCGTCATCTTTGCTTTCCCACGACGCTTTTGAACACCAGCCCACGTGGTTTCAATGCATACAGTGACAAGAGATTGAAAAGGAAGAAATGGCTTTCGTCTTTAAACGCCAGTCCAGACAAGGAGCGACACAAAGAGCGAGGAACAGATCGGACTATTGAGCTTTTGGATGGATCATTGCTTGGAAGGAGATGGGGCACCACGTTTACTTGGTAGATACGGAGTGGCTTCCTGTAACGTCCCGGCTATGCAGAAGTTCAACCGATTTTGGACAGAAAAGACAGACTCCAAAAAACGGATCTCGGACACTTTTCGTCGGACGTGACGTTGCACACGCGCCCTGTCGCTCCAGATTGTCCGAGCGATTTAGTCTCCACTTTGTGTGCCGAAAGACATGGCCAAGCTGTCAGCTGGTTCCTTACCGGCTTGTATCCATTTCACATTGACAGTATAGTAGACTCGATGTTTAAATTAGAAGCGCATTACCTCGTCGTAATCTATTTTGGTGATAGAAAACAACAGGAGATAGAGAGAATAATCAACAGTTTAAAGTTACGTGTGCTGTTACATGTAATTGCGTCTTGCTCAATACATTAGACTTTCAGTATTTGTTTGTAGTCACTAAATAACTTTTCAAAATTCATGAACGCTGTCGACGATAGTCGTTGGAACGCTGTCGACGATAGTCGCTGGAACGCTGATCACTTGATTGCGTTGTATTCACAAGCTGGTGATGCAAACGCCGCTGAGGATATGTCAAAGAAAGTTTTCACACGGCGGTGTATGCGACCAGCTCGTCGAATTGGTATCTGGTGAGCTGTTCCTAGACCCCCTTAGCTAGTCCCGATGCGCATCTGCTTGCATTGTTTGCAAAGCAGCTTTTGGAGCCCTCCAAGCTTCCATCGTGCTCCTGTCCAATGGCAAATGAGCTTAATTATAACGACTTAAACTTGGTACTTGGTGAGCTCGTTCCAGCGATTGTTTGGCGTCTGTTGCTGCACTTTCCCGCGCTGAGTCCTAAGGCGTCTCCAGCGTTCGTGTCAGCATACTTTCCAGACCTTTTGTACTTGACGAAACGGTTGTTTCTTCAGGGTCAATTGAACGTGTTTGTTTGCGATAGTGTCGAGCACACTCCATACAAAACCCGTGTGATACCTGCGTGTTTATTGAACTTACACAACAGGAAAGCGTGCGTAAAGATGACGTCTCTGTACGAGACTGAAGAAGAAGCGACTATCGTCGTAATGACGTAGTCAATAGGTACGTGGGTTCTACAAAGCTGTAGCCATTGACGTAGCTAATCAAGCGTCATTGCTGCATGAGACCAGAGATAGGTTGTCTGAGTGCGGGATCTGAGCTCGTCCACGCCAGAAAATCCTGCTCGATCGGCAGAGGTGGTGTCGGAATTCTTTCTAGGTTCATGTTCAATGATGCAGGCATACGTACGTACCCCCAAATATATGGCGTCTGCGTCAAGTTGAAGTCTATCCACATGGATACACGGACAATGGATACGCTTTGTACCGTAAAAAGCAGCCACTTTATTGTCCTGTCTGCGTCACAGCAAACCAAAAGGTCAGATGCAGAAACGGGGCGATACCCAACTCCTCCCCCCAGCCAAGTTGGCTACAAAGCCACGAACAAATCTCCTCGTCTGCTTCTCTTCGCTCTCGTCTGATCTCGACTATTTTCCACCAATGAAAGTACGATACTTGCTTCCATTTTATCAACAGACGCTATAAGTGGTTCCAAAAACACGGTGTCTTTCGATTCCACCGGGTCGGAACAGTATACAAACAACAAGTCAAATAGAGACTGTCTGTACCCACAATAGTTTCAGTCTGCAGCCACATCTGATCCCACTCTAACCTGGGCTTAGGGTGAGTACAAAATGGGTACAACCCATACGCTCGTGGCCTTCGAAAGGAATCAGTCTGGACGCTGCGTCGTGTCGCGTCTGTGTGGCAGCAGGGCTTTTCAGGACCACTAATCACTTTATTTTTTTGTGTCGCAGTGTGTAGGAAGGTAACAAACAAGCTCAACGTGATGACTATTTCTCGTGGTGTATACAATCAGCTCTTTGAACAAGCGCCTGATGCTACGGATGGAAGCAAAGAGAAAGTGATTCGTTTACGTCCGACGGAAGCCAAGGCGGGTGCTGTGGTCATGTCGGCAAAGAATAAGATTCAAATGTGGACGAAGGAGGAACATGATCGTTTTCTTGCAGCATTGGAAAAGTTTCCGGCTGGTCCATGGAAGAAAGTTGCTGACTTTATTGGTACAAAGACACCGAGGCAGACAATGACACATGCTCAAAAGTATCGCCAGAAGATTCATCGTCGACAGAGAGGTCTACGTAATCAAAAGAAGAGTGATCAGAAGGACAGTGTTAATGTGAACACTAGTAATATGGAGAATCCGGCACCTGTGGACACTAAGAAGGATGTCAAGGTAGAGCTTAATGCTCTTGTATCACCCTTTGGTGTAGCTGATTTGCAACTTCAGCCAGGCTCCAATGCTGCAATGGCTGTTGTAACAGGCGCCACGAATGACCAATTATTGAACATTCTGGCTCAGCAAGCGACGACGATTCATGACAAGCCAGGGCCGATGGAAGTGGATGAGGTGGATCAAGGGACGGCGGAAATGGACGTCTCTGTGTCGCTTGAGGCGACAGCTGGGGAAGACACGGATGGATCTTTTAACAACAATTTGCCGTCACTGGCTGAGATTTTGCATTTGGGCGGCGCTGAAGGGCAGACTGCTGTGGAGACGGAAGAGACACAGGTGTCGAGCAAGGACGACGATGAGTTGACGACTGAGGTCAAGACGGAGACGGAGACGAAGGCAGAGGAAGAGGGAGAGGTGCAGACAGCGTCAGAGGACTGCAAATGCAAATGCACCTGCAGCGCACACGGTGGAAAGAAAGTCGTAGTGGAAGCATCGATGACGCAGTCTCGACCTGAGGAAAGCTAAGTGCATTTTCAGCAATTTCGTCTTGGTGCCCGGCGCCGTGTGGCAACTCGTGCCGTCTTTTTCCTAATAATTATTGATAATAAGGACACTTGAACCAACAAGAGCTCCAATTACTTTTGCAGTGTTGCTAGCTACATAGCAACGTGCATGTTGTCAAGTGATGTCAACGTTGTTGCGATTCATCATTTTCTGGACTGCATAGATGACAAACTGAAAAGAATGTCGGGACCTTACGAAGAACGCAAGACAAATCTTTGCCATCGTGAGGCTTCGTTAGAGCAGGATTTTGCACGGCATTTTCATGTCTGTCATTTCATAAATCTTCATCATCATCATCAATCGAGCCTTTGACGTCCTTGACCTGCAGCGCACTTATGATTGACTGAATAGTTCATGTCGATCGGAAGCAGAATTCTAAAGCTTGAATGTATTTTTTAGGGTGAGGCAGCAATCTCATTGTCAAGTCCGCTTGTTGGTTGAAACGACGACAACATTAAGCTTCAAGTCTCGTCTAAAAAGGAACGCAGCGCGAGTGTTTAGCACCAAAGCGAGCAAGCACTACACAAAGTATCCAAACCAAAAGACATCACTCACTCGTCTAATCCACGTCTTCCACGGACGAAACACCAGCCTTCCGCTGGCGGAGAGTCGAAGTCTCGTCATCACTAGCTTTATCCTTCGCAAAACTAGCGACAATTGCCACCACATCAGCATTCTCTTCACCCTTAGCAACTTCCGCTGCTGTTCGTCCATCGGACGCCTTGACAGCCAACAGTTTCTCCCGTTTAGTAGCCGAGATACTCGACAGTAGCGCTTCTGCAGCTTCCGGTCGTCCGTGGAAAGCGCTCCAATGCAACGCTGTCCATCCATCTCCATCCACCGCCAATACATTGATTCCAGCTTTCACCAATTTCTTAATAAACTCGTCCGTGTCGACAGGGGACCCACACGCGACCATAAGTGCCGTCCATTGGTCTTCGTCCGTTTTGGCGTTCACTTTTCGTTTCACGACGTTCCAAAGAGCATCAAAGTCTGCGTCTACACCAGCTGCAAGTGCATGAGCAATTGCCTCTTCTGGTGTCAACTCGGACGATATGTTCTTCTTCTCTTGAACGTCTTCAGCTGTAGCTGTCGCTATTGTCGTCTCACCTGCTGCTGCTGCTGCGTCTTCAGCTGATTCACCTTCCAGTCGTTCGTTCCAGATGCGGCCATGACGACGACCAAGTAGATAAGCCTGAACCAATGGATTGTCCCATAAATTAATCGGCATCATAACACTTTGAATCATCACGACGTGGTTTACACCCATTTTAAAATGAATAAACGATGAAATTCCAGCACCAATGAGTGTCTGTTTGATAAATTCATTGGCTTTTGCCAATTCATGAGCCTCATATGTTGTCTCGGTGAGTTCTGCATAATTTGGGGATTGATCAAAGGGCGATTTAACGCCAGGAACAAAAATCTTGCGGGTGTCTTGCTTGCGTTGGATGAGTTGTTTCAGGTAAAGTCCCACGAGTAAAGCAATCGCCTGACACATAAGAAAAGCTGTACGTGCAGCAAAGAGTAACGTTTCATTTTCAAAATCAATTTTTCCCATGAGAAACATCATGGGCAACATGATAAACATGCGCATGGGACTTTGTTTTCCAACCATAAGAATTGTAGTGAGGAGGGGGGGAAACGCGACTTGTTGAATGGAGTGGACAATCGATCAACAAGTTCGTGCGAGACGTATCTTGTCAACGACGTTGATTGGCTGAAAAGCAATGTATCTACGGCAATAATTGGTCCACACCATGAGCCAGTGTCGAAATGATTTGTTCCAGCAGTACCATGCATGACGAGAATACAAATGGCTCTGTCTGGTAACACTTTCTTACCATTGATGATCCAGAGCTACCAGTAGTTGACTCGTACTAAAGTTAATGTGTGTTGTAAGTTTTCAATCCCGATTGCTGACCTGTGACCATGTCGTCCAGTACTTTTAACACAACTGTTTTTCTGACTCTTGCGTACCGGAAGGATTGATTGGTGCAGTAGATGCAATCATCTAAGGAAAGTGTAAGTGTCTGTAGATCGACATTAGTACGTTAGTGGTGGCGTCTCCTCTCTGATATCGACATTAGAACGTTAATGATGAAGTTTCTATCGCCATGAAAAAATATGACAAAAAAACACACACACCCGCCGTCCACGCTTTCGACAATCTGGCTCAAGAGCGCACAACTGTCTTCTTGCACAGCAGTCGGCATTTTAACCACGTCCCTGCTGCACGACACACTTAGTAAAGTATATACACACACATCAACCCAGTGATCTTCAGTCATGCGCAACAGCCGCTCACATTGGAACGTCGAGTCGATCCACCTGCAGCATCAATGTCTCGCGAGGTCGAACTCCTGACCGTCTACTCTTGCTCTTGTTCTTACTCTTGCTCGTGCGACTTAACGACGGCATTGTAGTTGTAATCGTTGAGCACGTGCAACGATCTTGTGGCTCACATTGACATGTCGAAATGTCTTTGAGTAGCTCGTAAAGTCGCTTAAAGTTCTTGTCGACCCGTTCTCCTTTCTGCTGCAGATCATCCAGTGTGGCATGCATGAGCTGCAGCTGCGTTTTAATGTCGACGAAATTCTCAGTCAGGAAGGTCATGAGCTGTAGTTTCAACTGAACCTCAACCAGCTGAGAAAGAGGTAGTAGCTCTTGATTGTGCACTGGAGTCTCATTGTTCCCAAGCTTTTGTTGCAGCCAACAGCACAGACGAGAGCTCTCGTATCGTAACGTCTCTCGAACACCTTCAAGGTGTGGAAAACGATGTAACAGATTCTCTGTGACGTTAGCAGTGTAGTTTTGAACCTCAGAGACAATCTCCATGCTTTGAATCACTATCGACGCACAAAACATCTCTAGATCAACAGGACAAGACGCTATTTCTTCATCAAATGGAGCTACACGCATGTGCATGGGTCTTGGCGCAGCGACGACGTAAGGAGTGCAGGTCGTGGGATCGGCCATGAATGCGGAACGGAGTGAATGTCACTTCAACTTCTTTATTCAAAACTATAAGTTGAAGTTGAAGTGATTGACCAATCGGCTGAGAGCAGCATTTTATGTACGAAACACGAGATTTTAGCGGTGTCGCATGTCTGGTTAATGGAGACGGGGTATTTTTATTGTACGTTTCTTGTTCCATGCTTCAATCGATCCTGCTTATACGATGCACAATCTGAACTTCATCCAACGCCTCAATTGCCATTATCACAGCACCTTCCACATCGCTATCAGGGGCATCTGCAAGCGCACTTTGTGGATCAAGTTCAAATTCCAGAATTGTCACGCCTTCGCTTTCCATGTGAAGTCCACACTTTTTCATCTCAATCTTCCCATTGTGCACTCCAGCAATCACATCGCACACTTGCTTCAATAAGTTATGGTTGGGCAAGCGGCGTTCACCACCATCTTCACCACTACAATGTTCCATTGCAGCCTCCACCTTCAATGAAAATGTAGTCGTGACGACCGCGTCAACAGCACCAGCCATGAGATGATCAATACCTGGTACAAATGGGTATCCACCAGCTGCTGATCGAGCCATGTCGAGGTTGCACGGTGACCGCACAATATCCATAGCTTTCTGAGCCAGGCTCGTTTCATACATCATCTGTCCCCACTGCACAACTTCATCAGCTGTTGGCCGTGCAGTCGGATCGTGACTCAACAACTTGCGAAGCATATCTAAGATTTCAGGACATCTCTTTGCCGCACGGAGATCGGTCGGAAATTTGCTGTCTCGCGCATCACGAAGAGTAATATATCGCTCCATTGTCGTTCCAAATCGCTCGTGACACAGCTCAAAAAGAATCATCCCCAGTGAATAAATGTCCGTCTTGGCGTTGTACTTCTTTCCCGCTACTTGTTCCGGGCTTGCGTAGAGATACGTGCCAACACCTGCAGTAACCTCGTTACTCTCCGACATAGTAGACCACATCGACGTTGACAGATGAGTTTCCAGAAGTCCGCTTGAAGGAGGCCCTTGCTGCGACTCATCCAAACTTGTCGGCGCATTCAGATTATTCACGTTCGCAGCGTAACGCGATAGACCGAAATCCCCCAATTTAATCTCGTCTCTGTCGACGTCAGCAACAAAGATATTCGCTGGCTTCAGATCGCGATGAATCAGTCCGCATGAATGGACGTGCATCAGTGCGCTTGCAATCTGCACGAAAATCTTTAGCATTCTCGACAACTCCATTGGGCGGGTCGGAACAGCCAGATAGTCGGCCAAATTGCGGCCAGCACAGTATTGCATCTGGATGTATAGCCAGTGATCACACTTTTCGATCGCGTTAAGCGAAGAATCCTCATCAATACCACGAGCAGCCGGTGAGCGAGATGAATGCACACGAGAAGGCAGGTTGGTTGTTCGCGGTTTATTCTGCACAACCAAATCTTCCTCTTTCCACCCATTATCACCTTCGATGTCAGATGACGACCCACGTTCCCATTCAAAGCCATCATCCTGGTCACTTACCATACTTCCGTTACTGTAAAAGGTCTCGAGCTGGCGTTGATTTACAGAAAATTCGAGCTCCGAAATGGGTGCAAGAAGATTGCTCGTCGAATAGTTTTTAGCATCGGCAACACCACCAACTGAGCTCGTGTCTGATCTAACCGATGAAGGCGCTACGGACGTCTCCTTTGCGCTCTTTTCAACCTTTTCTAGCCACGCCTGATAATATCGTACGATGTTCGGGTGGTCCAATAGCGCCAGGATCTTCACCTCGCGCAAAAACTTCTGCAAAGTCTTAGATGTCTGATTCTTCAAGTTTAATCCAACTCGCTTTATCGCATACTCGCGTCCATCCAAGCGGTTTTCAGCGAGCATGACTTGGCCGAAGCCACCCTTGCCAATTGCTGATAGTTCTTCAAACTCGTTCACAAAACGGCTCTGACACACAAACGGAAATAGGACCTCTGCTTCATTCGGAGAAGTATCCGACCCAGATGAGGATGACCCAGACGAGTCTGGAGCACTGAACTTTTCCTCGCTAGACTTTTCATCCGTGGTTTCGTCTTCCTGCGCGGACTGCATATCATCACCATCATTCCGCTTGTCTACAGCATGGCTGCTGCTGCTACTGTCACTGCTGCTACAGCAACTTCCCGTTGTTGATTCTCCAGAGGAACTAATTGACTTCACATCGTTCATAATTGCCGAAGAGTCATCACCTTCGTAGAAAAATTCATCATCTGAATGTGCCAGCTCAAAGCGCTCACCGTCAAACATATGATCAATAGTCGAGGATAGAAACTCTGCATTCTCTTCTTTCGTGGGTAACAGCGCTTCGTAAACGTCCAAAATGTCTACTTCGCTTAGAACCTCGTCCTCAGTGTACGGAAGTGCTATCCTTCCGCTCGCAAGTGCAGATCCTTGTCTAGAAATACGGATAGAGAGAGATGATGTCATTGCGCCTCTGACAATCAGATTTGATGATGACGCAGAGGACATAGACGTAGCCGTAGTTACATTGGAATCTGCATCCAGATCACTCACAAGTAAGTTTTGCTTTCCACCGATACGCCCACCATTGAGAAAGATTGCTGCAGCTTCGTTGGCAGCAAGGCGTGAAAACTTTTCTATTGATACTGCTTCAGTTGCATTTTTCTCAGCATGGACGCCAATTTCGGTCGACAAAGCACTATTTTCCATTAGTGGCACCTGGCCATCCACATTCAAGGCGTCCATAATTAGTGAGCGGCTCATTACGCTTGAAATAGTGATGTCGTCTTCACCTGGACGCTGAATGATAAGTTGATGTACATGAGATGTAAAGAACTGGCTCTGGTCCATACTTTTAATAGCCGAGTGCGCCAATGAAGCTGACAGCCCTTTGACGTAACACCCCCATGCTAACAGGATACCGCACATAGCCACACCCAAGAGCATCGCTCCCACATGCGTGTACGTGATGAACACACCTTGCTTGCCATCATTGACGATCGGCTCCCACAGGATTTGCCGACGGCGATGAGTCCCCATGTCTTCATGATAATTGTGAGTATCGTCAGCTTGTCGCTCGTGAAACGTCGGTGAGCCGTGGGTAGCCCGTAAACCATTATCGTCCAGGGCTACACCACCATCCTCACTGGATTCGAGAAAATAATTATCTCCCATTAGGCGTAATCGAAAGCGCGATCCCATTGCGTCCAACGTGCGTGGAACCACACGCACCAATTGCTGGTCTACCTGAGAATTCTCTCTTTCCAATTCTTGCTCTTCATCATTCACTGACTGTTGCGAGCTACTAGAATCGATCCAGCGTTGATAGCGGTGCAAACCTTCCACAGCTACTCGAGCTGGGGTGTGAACACGCTTCGATGCACTCGAGGAGGGGCCGTCCACCTTCCACTTGTAAAACGTAGCACCGCGTGTTGTTGATACTCCATGTACAGCAAGTACGTCAAAGCCAGGAACTTCAAATTCCCATAATTGCTCGCTTGTCCAGGGGTCAAATGCAACAATAGTAGAACCCTCATCTTGTAGCGCAGAAGTAGGATCTTTAGGCATCACAAGAATTTCAGGAAACATCTTGAGACCACCATCGCCAATAGAACAGTGCGGCTGCTGCGTGAAGTCAAGAAAGTACTCTGAAATCTTAAAACACCGTGCAGATGAAGCATTGCGCGAATGAACAGCTCGCGTCGTAAACTCTGAGCGGCCAAAAAGAATCTCACTCGTCGATGTTGCAGACGAAGAAAAGGGACGACGAAGGCCGCTTACTGCATTTAATGTAAACATCTCGAGCTTTTTTTCACCAAAAAGCAAAATATCCGCAGCCGAGGAGTCCACCACATTACCACTCGTCGAAATCGTATCTACCGCTACGCGTACAGGGCCATTCACCATGACAATATCCGCCATTGTCATTCCAAGTTCTTGGACTTTACTCTTGGAAAAGTGATACAATCTACCATCATATGATGGCACCAATTGTGACATAAAAGCTTTACCGGCTGCAACAGCTTGTGCCTCTGCCATTTGTTGCTGAATCAACGAACGGTCCTCAACAACCTTATCATCTGGATGAGTTTCCTCCTCCACGTGAACATTTCTATCACCGTCGTTTACGTGTCCTTTTTTCCGTGTACGTGGCTTTGCAGCCGCCGACTGATAACTGGGCGGCATGTCCGGACTTGTAGCTGAAGTCACACCCAAACACTGGGACGAGTCGACCATTGGACCACCCGAGTCAAAAGACCATAACACTTGTCCAGACCAGGCATTGAGTGCGTATACACGTCCATCAAGACCACCAGCTACAACCACGTCAGGTATTTGCATTGCCTTGTATGTAAAGTCAGCAGTCTTTGACACAGCAGTGACGAGTCCCACTAGCAGCAATACAATGAGGAATACCAGTGTTCCTCGGCCATGACCATCACTCTTGGTCATACTATAACGTAATGAAGAAGAAGAAGAAGAAGAAGAAAAAAAGTGAAAGCCGCGCGTTAATTGACCGCGTAAGCGGACGGACACGCGGCGCGTCCACCGCTAGCAATCGACACGAGACAAAGCCACGGAATAAACGCCGTAGCTGGAGAAGAGAAAGAGATAGAGACGCCTGAGGTTTCTTTTTACTTAACGGACGAGTGGCTTGTGACGTAGAAGAAGAAGGTAAAGGCGAATCCTGCTGCTACTACACGCGCCTCAACTTGTGCTTTTAATACTGGCACCGTCTCCTTCGATGTGTAACGCCAGTGTATTATACTTTACCCTTGTTCTTTGCATGTTATTTGGATAAAGAAGATACATTAGATATAACAGGTTTGAATAGAACTGACGTCGTACTGACTAGGGGTACAGTACTGACGAAGGTTTTGATACTATTACAGATATATATGGAGTTTACATCTTTGTCTGTACGTGTACATATTAAAAGGCTCTGGCTAGTATCTGTTTCTTTGTTTTACCATTTATGACAGGTAAAATAAGCCATTGCAGGGTTAAAAGTCGGGTTTTTGACACTCGTCGATTGATCATTCGCTGGCTTTGTTGTCGATGCTGGGGATAGGGCATGCGTGTTTTTTGTACCTTGTTGAAGCTCTTTGGCGTTGACCTTCAATACAATGTAAACATAGGCATTTTTCTAGAAAATTCTCAGACCAAGCAGCTTCCAATGAATGACAGACGCAATTAGTAGCTGAAAATCCAATGACATGATGGCATAAACTTTGTGGTATTTTCTTGTTGCTCCATGTAATGGATATCGGATACTACTTTGAGAATTCAGCGACAACGTTACAAGAAAAGTCTAAATTGTATAGTATACAATCAGCTTAAGATGCTAAAGATCAGCTCTATCAGCACGTATCATGCCGTCGGATAAGTAGAACCATGTAGAACAAGTTGTTAGCCCATAAATATAGGCCATAGCCGCTACGAAATGACAAAGGCTGAGCTTATTTTATAGAAATACCTGCCTGCATTGTTGTGCGAAGGTTGATAGGCAGGCACTGAGTCCACGTCAGTGTCGTCAATTGTGTCGACAGCTGTGGAGGCAGCGGTTCGCACGTGCCATGCACCAATAACGTGCTCGTTGTGTCGTAACGTGTTACTCGACAGACAAGCCCAATCGATTAGTAGTCTTGTTGTTTCTTGACTGCCATTGATTGACGCGCTCGACTAGAAGCTTTTGTGGAAAGGAGGACCGTAATTATGTCGAGTATCAAGATTGAGACGTTTGACACGACGGTCTGTTCTTCTTTGTTGGACTGCCAGTCAACTATGACAATTGATACCATTGCTACATAATTGGAAAGCGCTTTTTGTCTGTTTCAATGACCATATCAAGCGCAATGATTGAACTGATAGCTACGTCATATTCAGCGCAGTCCCAGCTGTGTAACGCACGAATCGGAATATCGCTCGCGGCGTCGTCGTCGGAAGAGGCAATTTTGACGGGTCATAAATGGGTCGTTAAATGGACCGAAGGCACAACACATGGAGACTTATTCGTAGGATCAACAACACACTTGAGGCTCTCCATTGGGTATGGACTTTGTCGTGGAAAATCTATTGGTCTGGAGTATATGAGCCCATGAAAACAATCATCCAGCGTTGCAAGGCCATCCAATACGCACTGACAACGACTGTAAAGTTTAACAACGATACATTTGTTGTCAATGTCGAACAAACAGCACCGAAGAACCTAGAAATGGATGGGGCGATTAAATTCAAATCGACAATTACGTCCTGCATATTGGCATATCCGTCTTTGATGCGGTGTCACGCTTGATCCAAATCACGTTAGGTTCTGCAAGAAGATAGTAACTTTCCATTGCCAACAGCACCTCGTGACTGACGATAACTCGTACATACGGCAGATACACAGTCACAGCTCTGTCACTTACTGCAGCAGTAACAAAACTCTCTGCCGTCGCGATATGTCCTCAAAGTCGGCGAGCATCAGCCAGTGATGAAGTAGCGCATACTTTTAAACATTTAATGGAGCCTCTGGTCATTAGCTGCAGAAAATTGCCGTGTTACGGATGTTTGTGGGACTCCAGCTGGATAAACTTGTAGCTTTCTATGAAGGCGATGTTATTTTCTATTCAAACGATAACGTTGAGCCAGCAATTCGATGTGCCATTGTGGTACTTTCACACAGAAACAAGTCGCTAGAGGACTTTCAAGCTGAGCACTTCTAGGGGATACAAATGCATTGTTATGTTAGTAGGTAGGTTAGTTTGCAGGTTAGTACGATCAATCAACAAGTAAGTGTCCACCCACACCCAACAGGTAATATCGTTTGCCGTATTCGATTCGTGAACAGATACACGATGACAATCTGTCATCGACTTACTCTCAGTACTCTTCTCTCATGTTACTCACTGACTTAAGCTCGCCAATCAATGAAAGTAGAGCACACGGGCATCAGTTGACTCATCCGATACGACTCCACAAAGCCAGTCTCGCGCTTGGATACCAAACGCGAAAGCCTGACTAGGAACTCCGGCTCCAACTCAAGGGGTGCCGACATCGAAGAGGTATCGTCTGTCAGCTCGCGTTCCTGCGCGTACGTCAGAAGCGAGCGCAGTTGCACAGCCTGCGTAGCCAAGGACACAATCATGGATGACACACAAGTTTGCGCTAGCAGCACATCTTTCTCGCGCTTCTTGCCCGCATCCTTCGCCGAGGCATCTCGGGCGCTAGCAAGGTTCTCAAAAAGCATCATAACGCGTTCGAGGAACTGTTTTTCGTGGCCAACCTCCAGTCCCTTTTGCTGCTCAAGGCGGAGATACTCCAACAGCTCTCCACCCCCAATGGTATTCGCCTTCCCATAGGTCTTCCACTGCGGGATGTAGGCTGACATAGGCTCCAGCTCCAGTAGCTGCTGCATCAAAGCGTCCTTCTCACCAGCAAATAAGCATTGCATCGCTACGTGCGAAATCAAACACGCATGAGCTTCTTCGTAGTGCCGAGCAGCTATCCAGTGCGCAATTTCTTCGTGGCGCTCCTGCTTTACTATAGCCCTCACCGCCTGTGCCTCGCTAATCCATTCACCAGGGAGTTTTAAACGCTCACACATATCGTTCCGTGCGGATGCGTTCAAAGCCAAAGCGTCTGCATTTCGAAAGAGCAGCTCGCGGCATGTATTCTCACGCTCAGTAACATCTGCAATGTTAAGTGCAACATATACTGCGTCTTCCCAAAGGCCAGACCCTTCCAGTTGGCAAATAAAGCTCTGATGAATGTGCGATTCCCAATGGCGATCAAGCTTGTAGCCAATAGCACGCAGAACGCTGTGCAGATGCCATGACAGCTCGTAGTCCAGGTGGTATAAATCTTGCGTCGCAAATCCACTGGGTGACAACACTTTGCAGAGTGAAGCTACATCGTCGATGTAAAGCTTCATTAGCTCCATCAAAACATCGTCTTTATCGGTGCCTGCAGCTGCAAATTGTGAAAGTGAAGGAGAAGCCAGCTGTTTACTGACAGCATCCTCGTACAGCGCCATTGCTGACTTTAAGGGCGACGCAGGACCACATTTGTACCACAAAAACAGCGCGAGACACGCGATCCATGACATGGGCGCGCCTTTACGAGCAGATAGCACCTCGACACTCCCTGACAATACACTGTAAATAAAAACCAAAGTTTCGTCCATAAATTTCAACGATCCATTCTCATTCCACTGTATCATTTGTGCTTCCATCAGACTTCGAAATTCAGACCCTTCATAGGACGCCGCCTGTGCAATCAGTGTTGCCAGACGCAAGTTACCGCAATCCGTCGCCATATCTGCTGCTTCCACAATTCGGTGCTGACATAACAGGTGCAAGACGACTTCTGGACTGGGTGTACAGTCAGAAAAGCTTGGAACATCTTCATCGCTCAACGCATCCTCAAACCACCGAGATATAGCTTCCCTGCGCAGATCGATAGTTTGGAAACTGTCCAAAGTCTCCATTTCACTATCCCGCAACGCAGGAGGGCAGAACACAGAACCAGGTTGACCGCCCATCTTGACGCCATGTTCTTGGCCCCACAAAGCTTGTATTAACTTCCAAACAAGCAAATGAAGCTTCTCGAATGAGCCGTTAGGTGACTTATGAATTCGGCTTTCGGCGTAGGCGACATACTTGTGCAAACAATTCATTAGCAGCTCATTAGCAGGTAGCGCATACGGGGTAGGAACTCCGGATTCTTCTTGGTCAATAACATCATTACGGCTCCGATCCTGCGAGGTGTAATCGTAGTGCAGCTTCAATCTCTCGTGGAGATCCAGCCTACGGTCTTCAGCAAGGCGAAGGGGGAACTCGATGCAAATGCGACGGCCGCTGCTTTTCACATCTGAATATTTTTCCGGGCGCGAAGTAAGCTTTCCCAGATTTACTAGTTCGCCCTTTGGGCCCCACGAGCAGCGAAACGAACGAGCCATGAACATGCCTCCGTCAACATTGTTGCGCACAACTTTTGCATGCTTCTGGTTGGAAGCTTCTAGCATCATCTGATACGTGGCTGATTTTTCTCCAGCGGACAGATGATTAGCATTGTCAACGCCAAGAGGTTTTAAAGTGTACGGAATGACCGGGAACACTTCACTGGTTGGCTGCTGGTCTTTCGTCGATGCAACCACCTCTTCGGCAACATTAAAATCCAGTCGCGATTTCGCCTCTGACGCGACATTTTCAGGTTCACACTTCATCCCTACCCACTTCTCACTGACGGCAATAGGTGTCAGATGACCCCCAAACGATGCAACGTCACCAGTGGTGTTCACATTACCACTATAGATACCCGACTGACGAAATAATCCACTGCGGTCAGCAGAAAATGGTGTCTTCACTCGACTAGCCACAAAGCCACGAGTCATTGCCGGCTTTCGTGGCAACTCTTCGATGTGCAGTTCTTTACTGGGTGCATCAGCTGCTCCGTCGGGGACCTCCATGTCAACATCATCGTCGTCATCGCCATCCTCAAAACCGTATCGGCTGAAGTGCTCTACTCGGAACCGCCAAATACCCTTGTCAACGGAGTAGTCGAGGAAGGTAGCACCAATATCTTGCGTGCGCTGCTTCACTCGCTCCTTGTACTTCTCGGGAGAGGTCGATTTGCGAGGCGGGAAAATACCCAGGAGTTCGACAATAGCGGGCTTATTTAGACCCGTGCCACGTGTATGCTTCTTTTCATCGTCCTTGTACACAATCACTTCTTTCTTCTCGAAAAACACCAACTCATCAAGGTCAAGATGACGCACATCTGTCTTACCTATCCACTCCACCGCACCCAATCCACGGCAACCAACAGTGAACTTATCCACCTGTGACAATTCGCCGTCAGTCATAGCCTGTAGACGATCATATGACGGAATGGTATAATAATCCTCGTTCTTCAGCGTAGGGCACGACGATGTGGCAGGAGACAGATGACCAGTGCCGTTCGCTTCAGTGTTTTTTAACAAATCGTCCTCGTTTCGACCGGCAGAGGCCAAGTACTCGTCATAAGTCAGAAAGCGCTTAGGTGGCACCGTCTCGTCACTAGGCTGTGTTTCAGGCTTCTTCGTCAGCGAAGGCATCGAGACACTCTGATCTTCACGCTTCTTATCATCTGCGCGATTTTCAATCACAACAACGTCGATAGAGTCCCCTTCCTTCAACTGTAGCTCTTCGATGGTATTATCGTCGTGCAAAATCCTTCCCTTCAAAACCAATTGGATGTCGACGATCAAGGATGACGTCGACGTACTGCTCTCACGGAGCAACAGATTCACTTCATTTCTCGCTTGCTTCACCGTCTGATTCGAGTACAGACGCAATGAAAATATTTTCTTGTTCGTTTGGTTGCAGAAGCTGACGCTGTACTTGCCGTCATCGCCAGTCGTCAAAAACCGGCTGCGACTCTTTCCAATTTTATAAACGTCAATGCCGTCGCTATCAGTAATTGGCACAACAGAAACATGCGACCTTCCTTGGGTACCTCGAGCAAGGCTTTGCTCCCCCTTGTCAATCACCAGCCTCTTTGTCACAGGATTGCGAAACAGAGACGACGTGAACTTAAATTCATCCTCCTTAGCACCGCCATCATCACGCGACCCAGATCGGGAGCCACTGGAAAGAGAGACTGAATGAGTTGGGGCGGTGAAAGTGGAAAATCGACTCTTAGAGCCCTTGAATGAGCCACGAATAAATGAAACCGGGATGGCATGACGACTGCTCATTGTTTGACGCCGTGTCACCGGAGGTAGATCCAACGGGCCCCTAGAAAGCCCCACGTCATCCGTAAAAGTGAGCAAACGAGAGGATGCACTAGAACCTGTCTTAATTGTTTGAAGATCCAGTGCAGCCTTCACATTCTGCTCCACAAGTCCGGCACCAAACGATCCAGTACCGTACGGATTAACATCAGGAGCTGCTACCAAGTTGTGTGGCTGCGCGACAGCTACCTGTGCTTGTTGTTGTGGCTGCCCAAACAAACTACCTGTCGTGCCAAATGCTCCTGTTTGAGCAGCGGGAGTACCAGTGGTTCCAAAGCTTCCAAAACCACCAGTACTATTACCTCCAAATCCGCCACCACCACCACCACCAAAACCAAACCCAGTCGTTCCAGTATTTGAAGCATTGTTAGGTGCCCCAAAAAAAGACGATCCGCCAGCACTTGCACCACCACCAAAAAGTCCTGTGGTAGAACCGCCCGTCGTAGATCCGAAAAGACTGGTCGTTGCAGGCTTGGCCGCTCCAAACAAGCTGGTCGTCGAACCAGGTGCGGGAGACGGCGTGCTTCCAAAACCGAAGCCGCCGGTCGATCCAGGCGCTGCACCAGCAGATCCAAAGAGAGAGGTAGTGCCTGCACCGGTCTGCGCAGGCGTAGTGCCAAAAGCACTGGGTGCAGCAGTCGCTCCAAACGCACTCCCAGTTGTACTTCCGAATGCGCCACTACCCCCAGTGGAACCAAAACCAAAACCTCCAGATGTTGTAGACTTCGGAGCGGATCCACCGAACGAGAAGCCCGTGGAAGCGGGCGCAGCAGCTCCAGATCCACCGAAAAGAGACGTATTCGCACTTGCTTGTGGTTGTGCTGCTCCAAAGCCAAAACCACCCGCAGCCGGTGCTGCAGGTGCTGTCGTGGCCCCAAAGCCTCCAAACCCCGGAGATGCGGCTGGTTTGCCGAACCCTGAGGCACCAAAGCCTGAAGAAGGCGCCGGGGTGGTTGCACCAAAGCCTCCAAAGGTACTGTTCTGAGGCTGTGCTGTCGATGCTGCACCAAAGCTACTTCCGAATCCACCCGCAGTTGTTCCGAAACCACCGCTCGTGGAAGGGGCTCCAAAAGCGGAGGCAGCCCCAGGTGCAGCGCCGAACGCGCTACTTGTGGCTGGTGCACCGAAAGCACCCGTAGCAGGATGAGCAGCAGTAGTATTTCCAAACATACCGCCACTTGTAGCAGGAGCAGCAGGCTGTGATCCAAAACCACCAAACACACCAGGTGTCGATGCCGTAGTAGTCGAGCCAAAAGCAGATGACCCAAAACCTCCACCAGTAGACGGCGCACCAAATGTCGATGCCTGATTGGTGCCAAAGCCTCCTGTCGCGCCAAAAGCTGAACTTGTAGCTGGTTGTGCGCCAAAGCCTCCAAACGCACTTGATCCACCTGTTGTCGCACTAGGCGCTGGTGCATTCTGTGTAGCAGCTGCCTGAGCAGCCGCTGGATTTGTACGCTTCAAATAATCTTCATAACGTAGCTCCTCGGTCGATTTATGTGCATACGCAGGCATGCGTGAGATCGAAATGTAATTGGCCGTGCCACCTGTTCCTGAAGTCTCCATCTCCCGTGTCGGTTGATACGGTGGTTGACCCGTACCAACCTGTACTTGTCCCGTTGGAACTGCAGCTGTCGTTGGCTGCGTGCCAAAGCCTCCAAACCCCGTTTGACCCGTCGGTGGAGCGCCAAATCCTCCCGTTGTAGCTGTCGACGTCGTACCAAACGGGCTCTTAGCTGCTGCTACACCAAAACCACTTGTATTGCCAAACATCCCGCTACTAGCAGGTGGGGTCGATGTCCCAAATCCTCCCGCTGTAGCCCCTCCTCCTCCTCCTCCAAAAGTACTGGTTGTTCCACTACTGCCACCAAACGCGCTTGTCGATCCAAATGGACTCGGACTCGTGCTCGGCTTGGCACCAAACGGCGTATTGGCTCCAAATGCCGATGTCCCAGACGATCCAAAGCCGGTACCGGACGCTCCACCAAACGCCGACGTCGTTCCAAAGCCTGAAGACGGCGCGGGGGTCGCCGATGCCCCGAAACCCGTCGAGGACGGCGCTGTAGCCGTTCCAAAGCCTCCAAAGCCTGTTGTAGACGTCTGTGGTGCACCAAAACCGCCTCCTGTAGCCGGTGCAGCGGCTCCAAAGCCTCCAAATGTCGGCTTTGCCGCCCCCGCACCAAATGTGGACGTCCCAGAGCCAAAACCGTTTGTTGCTCCACCCCCACCAAACGGAGAAGCAGCTGCAGAGGTGCCAAATCCACTGCTAGTGTTAGTGGAGCCGAAGCTACCGAAGCCACCGCTCGTAGGCGCACTGGAACTGCCAAATCCGCCGAATGACATACAGAATGATGGTCTTTTTCGCCTGCTCGTTTCCCTTTGGCAGGTTGTCTTATGATTTGTATAGGCACGAGTTGGTGGTTGCTTTTTTGCATGGCAAAAGGGGGTACGTCCGAATATAGTGTGACACACACTAACTTCAACATCAAACGTTTTTATTTTACTAGTATACTTTAAGTAGGTCCACGAAAATCAAGGAGTACAATGTGCATCTTTTTTAAATCACGCCGGATAATGACATTGCCAGGGACTTGTTGAGAAAACTTGGCATCATCAAAATTACTTGGAACTTTCAAGATGATGCATTTGGTGCTTGATTGCAATCGTGTGCAGATCTCATGTAATGGTACATCACCAAGAAAGAGGTCCACTTTATTCAGATCCTTGTACTCTGGTCCACCCCATGGTGGATCCAGGAACACCACGTCCTGCTGTAACTCCAGCATCACGTCGAGATAGTTGGCGTGAATGCACTTTACATTCGTCTTTTTAAGAACCTGTAGATTGTGTCGCAGCATCTGCACGCGCGTCGCATTGTTTTCGATAGCGTTAACGTGCATGAAAAAGTCACAGAATGACAGCACATTGCCTCCAATGCACGCAGTGCCATCTGTCACCACAAGTGGATATTTCCTGCGCTCCTGGATGGCAGTACGACCATCCTCGTGATCTTCGTTTCCACTCTCCGACGTTGTGTCCTCTTTCAGACGAGCAAAGAGATCCAGCACAGCTTGAGAAATCTTCGTGGCCATTTCGAAATCAGTGACACTAAATTCTGCAACCTCATCTACTTGCAATTGATTCCGGAGTTCGTAATCCAAATTCCGGAAGAAAAAGTCGCGTTTATCGCCACATTTCCTCGTGCGAGGAGAACCATGAGAGTCGGATCCAGAGCGAGGTGAACGAGGTGAGTCTAACTGGAAGGAAGACCGTCGGTTTTTTCGATATCCTGCATGATGTCCACGAGGACTCGAGTCGGCGCTTTCGTTGTGATAATACGTTTTTGTGCCGCCATGATGTACTATCACGGACGATGTACTCTTTGTTTTCCTCATGCCGTGATCAGACGAGCGAGCCACAATTGTGGGGTTATGACGCCGTACATTGCCGTTCGAGTGTCTTCCATTACGCACTGTAACTGCGCTATTCACATAAAGGTTGTCCGCCAGTCGCTGCAAGCTGCTACGTCGTGCAAACATCACTTCTCCTAATAGCGACGGATGTGGCACTCCATTGACGTGAGTCTCCATCTCATTTTCCACCCGCTTTACAGGTGTTTTCGGCCGTCTTTTCATTTGCTGCCTCTTCTTCCTCCTCGCCACAGCGGCAGCCTCTATTTCATCTTGACTTAAAGAACGTCCAGCACTCATTACAACTGACATGGACGGACTATCCAAGGACCGATTACGATCCAGCGCTGATGAATCCGAGCCATGCAACATCTGATCAGGACGTGTCCGTCGGCCATGAGAAATTACAGTCCGCCACTCGCCTTCCTTTAACACTACGTGGTCGTTAGGCTTTGGCCCCTTAACCATCTCGTCCTCTTGTTTTCTCTTATCCTCATGCATCTGTTGTATCTTTCGAGCCCGTTGCATTTGCCGCTCTCGGCGAAGACACTTGGTCTTCACCTCGGCCTGGTGTTTGGATGCAAAACCGCTTGCCGGACGCCACGAGTGCTCCTTGTCCAGACTATTACTACGATGACGACCGTTTATTACCAAAAGTGATGAAGACGTTACAGTCAATTGTGCTGTTCTTATTGTTAACTGCGACGACGCGCGTCCGTCGAGGTCCGCCACCTCCATCTCCAGCTGTGATTTGATACGACGGAACTACTCGATAAAACCGAGAAGTTACAGGAAGTAACGCATATTTTTTGCTAATTTCTTACTTATCATTTCTTAATTATGACCAATCGTTGGCATTGCTTGCCACATTCAAGGGAACAATACGTAACATTCGATAAACAATAACGTCTTTTCGATGATATTGATGTGGTAATACATACATTACGACGTTTCAAGCTGAGGGTTTCGTATATTCGTATTCGTACTGTAAAAAGGTTTACAATAACAGCAATTTAACGATTATATACGCTCTTTTTGTGCTCAGAATACGATAGCGCAAAGCGTAAAAAACAGTCGCAATAATAGACGTTATCGATTTCGTATACACGGCAGACCAAGTTGTGCCATTACGCAACACCTTGTACACGAATTGACACCAACACGTTTGATTGTATGCACAAAACACAAAAGTCAAATAGATATTATCATTGATCCGAAGATTGACAACAGCTTTATCACAATAATAACAGAGACTTAAATTATGAAATCCAAATTCTAACATTCACTTTCTTTTTTAACAGATGTATTCCCTTGTCACACGATACATTCGCTTCACACGTCGCTCTGGCTACTACAAAGTAATGCCTACAAAGTATGTGATGTCACAGGTAGTTCGTATTTCTAACACACGAGTCACATAAAATTCATTTTCTTGTCTTCCTACTATTAATCTATGGTATTGTAACAGTCGGTTACAACAATGAGCATGGCAATGAACTTGTATGACGATCAGGATTGCCAAGACGCGTTACCTATTGAAGGGATTCACACGTACGTACGTAGGCTGGCACGATCAGATCATGATGGATTGTACGCAAGCTACAACTGAACTGCCACAGCGTAGGGTAGACTACACATTGTGGTACAATATGACGTACAACATTGGCTGTATGATAAGTGCCATAGTGAGCAGCTCGATCGCTGATTAATTCGACCACCGGCTCACGATTTTCTAGGCGGGATTCGCTCTATTGTTTGGCCACGTCATGGCTCACCTTTTGTTTGCATCACGCGCATGTCTCGTTGCTCATCGCACGGTTTATATACAGGGCATGGGTGTCGGCAATTCGTGCTTTTCACTGCCGCTTGGAGCAGAGATGATTCCAAAAGAGCTGCGGGGCTTTTTCTTTGGGTTCATGCAGATGAACGTCGTCACAGACGCGAAAAATTGGACGAGAGTTACGAGCTATCGACGTACAGATTGCGCGAGAAGAGCAGATCGGAGGATACAAGAAACTGATGGAACCGTCGGTACTCAAGCGCGTAATTATTGCCATGCTACTGCAAGTGCTTCAGCAGGCAACAGGAATCAATTCAGTGTTCACCTATGGCGGTCTCATTATGAAGGATGTCGTGGGTGATGGTATTTTGTCCGTGCTCATCATTTCGATCGTAAACTTTGTCAGTACTATTCTGGGCCATGCGGTGGATGGGCACGTATGGCCGTCGTCAGTTGCCGCTGATTGGTGCTATGGGCATGGTTGTCGGTCATTTAGTATCCGCCATTCTGCTCAACCACGGCTGCGTGGGCAACACTGAAAGCGCAGGGTGTTTAGAGACTTTGGGGTACGTAATTATCGTTTCCACGTGTCGATCTTCGTATTCAACTTTGCCATTTTGTGGGAACCTGTGTGCTGGATGCCATTGCCATTGTAAGCTTACAACGTAAGTACTGTTATCTATTGATACCTTTGGACGTCGGCATTAGCTAGGATCTGTTGACGACTGAAGGACTTGTCAAAGTTCAATGAATCGATTCAGCTAACTCAGAATGAAGGCAAGTGTCATGGCTCGTAGTGGTGGCAAATAATCTTGCCCATCTACTGCGCAGAGAGTCGCAGCCAGCAGCGATGGAGGCCGATCGTAGCAATTGATACTGCTTCTCCTAGATCCGACTGTGGTATTCTCATCCTTTACACCAAAGCAATCCAAATGGAAGCCATGGGCTGAGAAGTGCTTCGACGCAGTAAAGATCGTGATCGCGGTCGATAATCCACCCACAACATTAACGTCAACGCTAACAAACACTAACTCACTTTTTCCAGACAACAATGTAGTGTGAAACCGGTACGTGCAGTCGAACGCAACCCTCTCTTGCTAGAAGTCGTGAAGCAAGGTGCTGGTTGCGCCAGACGATTGAAAAAATCATTTCAATGTCAGGCGGCTGGCACTCAGCCAGCAGGCAGCCGTGAGCTACGACAATTCTGCTATCATTGCAACCTTGGATCTCAACTGATTCCAGCTTATACACCATTGGTGTCAAGTTGTTCTGATGCCGCGCAAACACTACACTGGCTATGAATGCGGACGTGCGACATTGTTATGGACTGACAGTTTAGGGGTAGACAGCCGACAATTGTATCACAGTCGGCTCAAAACAGCAAATTTTGTAACACATTAGGGTTTTATTATTCAATAAACAATGAACCATAAAACCTCAGTGTATGTGTCAGTAGCACAACACATCACCACTTATTTGACATTATAATGGTTTTCACTTTGAGCTTTCACTTATGTCATTCATGTGAGCACAAAAATTCAGATACATACGTAATTTAAAACCCTTATTTTCTATTCTGGCAACAAATGTTACGAAAGTCGTTCCTGTTTTCAGTACATTTGGTACCACCGGTACATGACCGAAGAAATGGCTCTAAAACGGTACCTATAGTTGAAACTTTGACCAAATGTCGCAATTCTGATTGAGACCATCGAAAAACTCAGATGTGAAATCATAAATGAAATTTGTTTTGCGTGAATCTGCGAGCCTTTTCACCGACTACAATTATTTTTTGTACGTTACATCACACGCCTCATGTCGGATTTTTTCGCGAATAGACTGTACTCTTACTAAAAGTATTGATTGTTTTGTGTACTAGCTAGTAGCGTAGGTACAACTCTGTCCCGCCTTGACGAGGAGACGTCTGACTACTTGGTCTTACTATGGTCTACTTGTCTGGTGTGTTGCACACTCCCATCCGGTTTTCTGCCCATCTACTCGACCCAGTGTAGGGTACATCAGTCATCATAAGTCCATTTCAAAGTGTTTTCCATGCAATACTCTGTACAATCGCAATCGTATCCTACTCTCCATCTTCAATACATTCCACTATATGCGACGTTGTCCACGGTCCAAAAAGAAGTCAGTCGCGACCTTCCTTTTTGATTTATGTTTTATCCAAAAAATGCAATGGGTAGAATTCTAAAAATCAACATTTTCCCATTGTGTCCCGCAGTTTAAAGGGCACACGACACGACACAACAAGTGGCATACTTTAATCAAGAGAAAGCGAGCGAGCGAGCGCGCAAGCAAGCAAGCAAGCGAGCCCTATTCATCTTGGTCTACTCCATCCGATTGTATACTTTTCTTTCTACTGGTAAAAAATGACGCAGCGTGGGGGGAAAATGGTGAAAAAAGCAGTTTCTTTCGGAAAATGTATACGTCCATTGGCACTTCTTCACGTCAATTGGTAGCAAATCGACATGAAAAAACCCACCGAAGTGATAGTAATAGTAGTAATACAAGCAGTGGCTACAATCAAAGCAGTCCCAGTGATGGGGCAACAACGAATAGTGGGCATAGTGGCACGGGGCTGCAGAATTATGTGAAACATCATAGTTTTACCGGTCATTTACCCTTTAATCGAGACGACAATGGTTTCCAACGAGGAACTACTACTACTACTACCATGACAACAACTGAACAGTCACAGAGTATTTTATCGAAACGTCCGAGTCTTATTGTCCCCTTTTCCAATCAACACCAAGTGACAACGAATGGAGGAAGTACAGTGACTCCTTCTTCCATTGATGGAGTCCAGACGTATTTGGATGATTTCCAAGCACCGATTTCAAAATCAGGGGTTTTGATTAAACAAGCTAATCATTTCAAGACATGGAAAAAACGACTTATGGTGTTAAAAGGACATTCGTTATTCTATTATGTGTCAGGCACGGTAAGGAGAATGGGAGACATGCTGGAAGAAAAAAAAGAGATTCGTGTTGGAGAGATTTTGAGTTGACTTTTTTTTTGCTTTTTTGAATGTGGTGGTGTGTTTGTTGTTGGTATAGTCGGGAGAAGATTCGTATCCACGAGGTGTTATTCCGTTACAAGGAGTGAGGATTACACCCATTGATTCGGCACGATTTAAGCGACAAAATTGTTTTGAAATTTGTCATCCGGTGCGTACGACGTGGATGATTTTCATGCTTATCATGTAATCTCAATTGCTGACACGCCATGTCTGCATTTGCAAAAAAAATAGGGATTCCGTCCGATTTACCTCATGGCAAAGAATGAAGCAGATCTTAGTGTTTGGATGAGCAGTTTGACGTCCGCTGCAATGCCAACGACGGCTGATCGCAAAATGCTGCTAGTGACTGAGCCATTGGAATCGCTGTTTAATACACCAGCACTGGAAGACGCGGTTCCGTACAAACGGACGTTTTACTTTCGTCAGAAGGTGGCATTTTGTATGCCTCGAAAAGAAGATTCAGAGTATACGGCGGCAGAGCTTTTTGATCTGAATGAGAAGCGATTGACGACGCTATGCGACTTGAACAGTTACTGCGACTCTTTTCCAATGATCTTGGATGACCCACAGCTTTTCGTAGAACTACTGCATGTTGTGGGTTGCTACATTTTCCGACCATTTGCTCGACTGTTGTCGACGTCGCCTGGTAATATCTTTGTGGAAGAGCCGAATCCAGACGAGGTGAGTATGCTGGAGAACCCGATGGACAAGTACTCGGAATACACGACGGAAGAGCAGCTATGGGGACTGCTTTCAGCATGCTACGACTTGCTGTTAAAAGCGATTGAGCACATTGACAAATTGGAGAAACATGTCCGCAAGGAATTTTTTCCCTTGCGATTTATTGCGCAGCTGGTCAATTTGTTCAAGACGCCGTCGTTTAAGGAGCGGCAAGTGTTGAAAGGGGTACTTCATCGACTGTACTATAAACTCACTCAGCGGCGATCGGCTATTCGCAAGGAAATTGCTAACGCGTTCTACGAGTATATTTATGAGACGTCGAACCACTACGGCGTGGCGGAACTGCTGGAGATTCTTGGTAGTATTGTCAATGGCTTTGCGTGCCCGATTAAACAAGAGCACGTTGTGCTATTAGAGAAGGCGCTAATCCCACTGCACTCTACGCCTGCCTTCGTCTCGTACCACCAACAGCTCGCGTACTGCATGATTCAGTACGTATCGAAAGACCACACGCTTTTCACTGCGATCGTTCGCGGCTTGATCAAATACTGGCCAGTGGGAAACTCGTTCAAAGAGGTAATCTTCATTGTAGAGTTTGAGGAGATGTTGGAGCATGTGCTGGCAGAGACTGATTTCGACGCGATCTCTCCCAAACTGGCACGAAAACTGGGGCAGTGCATGATTAGTGACCAGTTTCAGGTAGCTGAACGTGCAATTTCGTGCTGGAGCTCCCCGGCGTGCTTGCGTATCATGAACGAGTACGAAAAGTTGGGGCAAGGCATGTTTGATGTAATCAAGCCGCTTCTGAAGCAGGCAGCAACAAGACACTGGAATACGTTGATTCAACAGAAGGCGCAGGAGACCTACACCATGTACTACAACATGGGTTACGACACCGACGATGTTGCAGTACCGTCGTCAGCCCTTGTCTCGGATGGGAAAATATTGGATAGCGGCTCGAAAACAGAGGAGTCGGACCCGGACGAGGACGTTAATGATTCTACCGAGGCGAATTTGTCGATAGCAGTCCGGTTGTCAACTTCTAATCCAGTAGAATCATTAGATGTGGTGCTATCGGACGAGGAAGAAGAGGAAGACGAGAATGAAAAGCCGGACGCGTCCTAGAGAATGCAGAGGGGAAAATGAATGGACGATGTAATGCGATAGAGACAGTCAGGTCAGCTAAGCATCACAGGCAGGGCACGCCACATCACGCCACCTACTTCGCTCGATGCGGTCTTGACCGACTTTGCAGCAGCTACGGTAGACACAGAAGACAATCAACGGAAAATCAAAACAAGTATATGGATGGAAGATTAGGTGGTTAGCAGCAGGCACAATGGAGCTAGTTGTCAATAGCGGCGGATGAAGACGCGACAAAGACACGAGAGAGAGAGAGGATGGATGGATGGATGAATGGATGAATGGATGGGATGAGTTTGAAGTTTTGGCTATTATGTGAAGTTCATCATTGACAGTGAAGAAGGACTGGCAGGAAAAAAAGGTGAGGGCAGATATCTTTGAGGACGGCACATTTACCTCCTTGAGGTGTCGGCCTGTCAATAGAAAGCTACCGATTCATTCATCATTCTTCCTAAGAGATAGTAGTCACATTGTCCATACTGAATGATACGACTCATGTTGGGGGTGTTCCTATTGCTGCAGTCAATGGTTGTCATGGCCCTGGAAACGCCTGTAGCTGATGCCACGTCTCGTAAATTGTTGACCGATCGCACGTATTTCAGTCAAGTAGCGCAACTTTCTCGTCAAGTGAATGATGAGATCTTGGCTTGTGCAGCAGTGAGTGATCCATTACATCCTGGATTGATAGTGGAAGGCTATGAATTAGTCGAGCGTTCAGGATTGCTGGGGGTTTGCAAACAGGAACACATGCAGCAAACGTTATGGCCCATGCAAACAAGAGACAAGATGGAGATTGTTCCGTGGAGTACGACAGCAATAGATGGACATTCAATGTGTCCATTGCCTGAAGCAGCTTCATTTTTTCCTGTGTCGCCACTACCCCCACCTCAATCAACCAAGTCTGCGATCGATCTTGAAGGCCAAGATACTACTAGTCTCGAAGGACCTGTCCTCGAGTATCAATACTTGATGGAGGAAGCCGAACGGATCTACTTGAACGCTCGTTATCGTCTTAAGAAGAAATTTGATGCTGGGTCTCATGGTGAAGTGTGGAAAGCTACACGACGCCATGCAAATGGAGTAGAGGAACATTTTGTACTCAAGAGACTGTTCCTTGAGTTAGGAGAGAGTATGGTGCAAATGGGGCTCCGGGAAGCCCATTTTGGAGCGCTGTTGACTAGTGAGCGCCATGTTACTCGGTTCGTAGAGTATTTCTTCCGGTCAGCAAAAGTCATGGAGCTTGAGGAAGAACAACCACATCCTCAAATGACACCGGAGCTCTGGTTGGTCTTTTACGACGAAGGCAAGTCACTGCGGCTGTATTTGTACGAGAAGATGGAGGTTGGAAATGGACATGATGGTAGTGCTGGGGTCGTCTTGCAACCGTCACGGTTCTGGGAGAAGCTTCGCACTGACGCCCGAGGCGAAAATGTGCTGAGAGAAATCATGCGTCAACTGCTCGAAGGTGTAGCAGCCTTGCATGCGCGTGGCATCACGCATCGTGACATCAAACCGTCAAATATCTTGGTGTCAATTCCACCCGTTTCGTCAACTTCTGCAGCACCACCGATGCCGCTCGTGAAACTAGCAGACTTTGGCTCGGCTGTTGATGACTACACGCTACAGAATTTGTACGCTACAGATGGTGGAAATGAAGCCTCCACGGCGTCTGCGGGGCCATCTCAAGCTGAAGAAACACGTGAGTATCAGCCTCCTGAGGTGCTGTTTAGCGACAACGGGCAGCCGTACGATTACACAGCTCCCGAGGCATACGACCTCTGGTCTATTGGTGTTGTCTTCTTAGAGATGGTGTTAGGCTCTCCGCAAGTGTTTCTGATTTCACCTCGTGAAAGGGCCAAGCTGGATGTGACGCTCGATGCTCAACGTCGTAAGTACCGACACAGACATGGCAGCGAGGAGGATCCTGAATCTGGATGGCGTACGAAAGCCTACTTGCTTCATGTCCTCACCCAGGAATTCTGTATCTTCCAGCCAGCACCACGGCAGCTACGCTCGTTGTGGGACAAATACGCGCTTGTGAGTGAGAGCTGCCATTTCGGACGGTTCAACCAGACTGTCGTGAAGCGTGATCCACTGAAGCGCGGACTGGAGGACCCATGGGGACTAGACTTGATGTGGAGACTACTACAATGGAATCCGTCCGACCGACTTTCAGCTAAAGAGGCTCTGCAACACGCGTATTTTCAAGGAGCTTACGTCTGCAAGGAGTCTGCTCGCCGATTCGCAACGCACGGGGAGCTAGTGCTACACGAACGTTATCTCGAAGCACAACGCGCACGAGAAAGTGTTTTCGCGTCCATGGTTCGTGCAAAGTATGAGCTTCCAGACCAGTTCACTTGTCCACATTGTGGCCGCACGTTTTCCACCGCTCAGAGCTGCAAACAGCACGCCCATGCACGTCGACACAATACCGACTCGAGCTTCTGTGCTTTCGAGGCCCCCCATATTTCCACCGCAATTCGGACCGAGTCGCAGCCTATGTATGTTCATCCGCTACTAGAGCAATCAGCAGTGGGCATTGCACTGTTTCAAGGTCGGAAGAAGTACATGGAGGATTTTGTCTTGGCACTCTCGGAGCAACAACTGCAACAAAGGTGGGGTACCCAAGATAGCACGAACACATTGGGGTTCGATCTCTATGCAGTGGTGGATGGTCATCTAGGTTCCACAGCAGCCCAATTTGTTGTGGATAATCTGCCTCGTGTATTGTGTCATCACTTCGCTGCCATCTCGACGACAAATGAGGATCTAACTCAAGCGGACTCGAACGTACCTGACCAAGCAGCAAGCCTGTCTGCTGAACATGAGCTTGCTGAAAAGTTTGCGCTGCGTCAGACATTTCTTGAACTGCATGAAAGCTTTCTCGAGTCTCTTGATAAGAACCCAAGCGATGACGATCTGGAAAGGCTGATGAGCTCTGGTAAATTCGCCAACGGGTCTGCAATAGTTGGCGAATATTTCTCTGGGTGCACACTCACAGTTGTGCTGCATTCCCGTCGGCAGCACCGGGTCGTTAGTGCAAATGTAGGCGACTCACGTGCACTAGCGTGGCTGCCAGATACCTCTGCGAAACAAAATGAACAGCTTGATGATAGTGCTAGGATCGTTCCGCTGAGTAAGGATCACTGGCCAAATGATCCTGGCGAGCGCTCCCGAATTGAGTCTAGCGGGGGCTTTGTGAAATTTTCCGGTCTCTGGCGAGTGGTTGGGCAGCTTGCAGTCTCTCGTAGTCTGGGTGATCGCCATATGCGCAAGTTCGTGACAGCTGAACCATCCGTCTTCCATACACAACTTGGTGAGCGATCGTATGGCGGGTTTCTTGTGATTGCCAGCGATGGACTGTGGGAAACCATGACCAATGGCGACGTCGTGCGCTTCCTCGTGGAACACACCGAGACGCACGAGATTGAAGGAGAACCATGCAAAAACAATTGTGCGTCAATGAATGATCTTGCAACCGAGCTGCTCACGGAGGGCTACGTCCGTGGAAGTCTTGATAACATGGCTGTTGTACTCGTGGCATTGCCGTAGTAGACATTCGTAGACAGCTAAGCGGATACATGTATTTATTTGACATGGTATCCCGGCATTGGATGCCTAGCATAAGAGAAACTAAAAGCTTGTGGCATCAAGTACTACATGCTTGACTTACATCATTTGGCATCCCCGAAACGGTGAGCCTGTTGACCGTATTGGAAAAGTATCTTGATGACCCGATCAATGGAAGGCACGAGCACGTCGGCGTCTTCAGCGAGATCATCAAGTGATGACGCGCCGCCCAAGACGCCAATCGACAGCCCGCAGCCTGCATTCTTGCCCAAGAGCATGTCCGTGGACGTATCCCCCACCATAATGGTATTGTACGGCTCGACGTGGAGTTTCCGGCAAATGTTCCAGATCTGCTCACCTGCAGGTTTGGCAGGTAATCCGTCGTCACCACATGCTAATGCGTCCACCATCTCCGACACACCCAAGTGCTCTAGCGTGTCAATTGTCGGTTGACGGTCATCCGTAGTACACACGGCAATCTTCATGCCCATTTTCTTGATGGTACGAAAGAGCATGGGGACGTTAGCAAGTGGTCGACTTGTGAGTACGGGATCAGGCATGCTCCAGCATTGCTGGATGATCTCATCAGCCTTGGATTGAGCCATGCCTTCATTCACCAGCACCCTGACAGCAATCTTATAGAGTTCACCCATGGGAGTACAGCATAATGCACCTTTAGACTTGATGGAACGACTGATCCAGTCGTAGCCCATGGCTTGAAACAGTTTTTCTCGAACAGGAAGTTTTGTTGTCATTTCAACATTCCAAGCCTGGGATTCAACCCATCCACCCCACATGAGCGTAAAGTCAATGAGAGTGCCATCCTTGTCAAAGACAACGAGGCCAGGACTGCATCGGGGACCACGTGTTTTTTCAATCTGCGCAATGATCGAAGCACTTTCAGCCGCTGTACTGTTGTATCGCTTGCAAAGGATCGAAGAGAAGGCAGGAAAAGATGCAAACGAAGTCAAAGAGACTGAAGACGTGATGGAACGGAGGGATCGGAGGGAAGAATTCATGCTGGTCGTGTAAAGTCGAGAAGATAATGCAAGAGGTGCGACGTTCGATAGTAGTAGCTTGATTTTTGTATGGCAAGTGGTCGGAAAGAAGTGTCCTATTGTGTTATTGTGAGACATGTAGCAACACGTCACTGGTCGCAGTGCAAGAGACAAGCCTGTTTTGGTCAAGATTCAATTTCGCTGCTTGGGAATCAGAAAGAGGTGCACTCCCTAAAATAGAGTATTCGAATACAGTATTCATATATGGTGCTTGATATAATAGTGCCCATCTATATGAATGTATTGAGGACGACAATTATATTTTAGTTTCGGATTTATTTTTAAGGCAGGTATATTATAGCCGCTAGTTATAATTCGGGACCAATTTCATTACGGAGGTTTTTGTTTTACGAAGGTTTTACTGAGACAAGATCTATTTGTACAGTATTTATGTCATTTGTAGTTTGTTTAATATTATAGTAGTATTAATGCTATATGTTGCAATCTTTGCGTTCGAAGGATGGTTTATTGGAAAAGCTGGAGATGTACAGTACCGGTATCCACCAAACGGACGGTATGAACTCCATGATCGTCCTTATTGCTATCCTTCTAAATCTGATTCGGAGTGTAATGCTTCATGACGTGATGGCAAGCAATTTTTGTAGTCTCCTCGTTCTTACGGTGCCTTTCCATAATGTCTGAAGTCCAAGCTCTTCACAGATGAAAGCAACATTAGGGCTGTCGTTGTCCGTGCGCGCAAACCTGCTGGTAGAACCTCATCTGTCAACGATGGGAGCTTGGCGGACGGCTTCAAAACTTCCTTGCAAACAGTGCAAGCAAAGGCACTCCATGCCCTGGTGTCTCATAGAGCACTTTTGATGGCTATCCACGATTGTTGCCTGTTGTACACTGCATGTTCGTAGACTGTCCACCATCACAAAGTGTCCATCTGTCCTCCAGCACCCATTCGTACACGTTGTGGCGTTTTGCATCCAAAGCCAGTGGAATTTTAACGCCCTGGCGTGCGGTCGATGGATACTGTAGCTACTACCAGTTGCCCAACTGACCACCAACGCAATAGACGCAGGAAGGCAGATGCAGGTGATGGCCGCCAGGCTGCTTCAAATATCCAGGGTGCAATTTCTGCGATACACGTAGTCACGTTGCCATTTATCGTACCCAATATCCTTGACCGTGATCACCCGATTTTGACCCCGTCTCTCAACATCTATGGCTTAGTCGAATCATTCTGGCAGCTACGTCGTTACAACTGATAGAACGTCTAGTAACGTAATGCGCTAAAAAACTACGGCTCGCTTTGCCGTTGCTCTAAACCGGCTGCTACAACAGGCTGGCATGTCCATGCGGTACAGCTGCTGATTCGCAATCGGTGGCATGGTTGCGTTCGTTGCATCATCAGATGGACGGCATCAGAAACATCGATATGATAATACTTGGGCAAGAAAGAATGGCAACTTTACAGTTCATGCTGCGACAACAACCGTGGTCCCTATACCAAGATCTGCTAGTCCAGTCAGATGGTGCTGCAAGCAGATTCGCACTGGCACTGCAGCGCTACGGTCTATCATGGAAAGATCTTCGATGTGCCGGGAAACATGTCAGCAGCTTGGGAGGGAGCGTACATCTACTGCAGCGAGGTCCCGCAAAGGCACGACGTCACGATGTCTGGCGGGTTTTACAACCCAGCGTTATCGTCACTATCCATGATCTGGTCGGTAGGCCTTCCCTTTTTGCAAATATACCGCGAGGAAAAGTGTAAGAACGAATAATATAAGAGAAGACGACGCTGTACACCTCATATGGTGAAAATAGAGCAGCAACGCCTTGTATATGATGATACACAGACGGCATCTCTTTGCGTGTGGACCGTAAGTAGTACTTGTAAGATCGCAAGTCGAGTGATGTGTGTCCCCGTCCCGTCTGCGACACCTTCGATGTGGAATGGATGCAATCAGTGGATGGGCGATATAAACCGACGGACGAGAGCCGGGCGCCGACAATCAAATAACGCTCGGAACGATCTCGCAAACTGCCATGTGTCATCCGCCCCGTCTGAGTTGAGCCTGTTCCGTTTCAGCCACAGACGGTACGACAGCCATCGCTCATATCAGTGCGATAGACGCTGTCCCAAAACGTGCCCTTCTCTGCCACCCGAGATCCGAATTGTCCAACGTCGCTTTGAAGAAAGAGAGTAAAAGCAGAGACGACGTCGATAGGATCTGGCTGGACGCGGGTGCGACCAGAAAAGCCACGACGTTGCCCTGCCTTACACAGCATGACGACAAAAGTCACTGCAACAAGCCAACGGGCCACCAACTCGCCCATATTCCAATTTACACGGTTACTAGCAAGAACAAACGAGCAAGAAACCCAACGACACTTTTGTTCTACGCATCTAACTACTAGAGAGAGAGACAGATAGATAGACATGCCTGCAACACCAACGTCACCCGTAGCTAACAGCAACAGCCCTGCCAAAACGCCGCTATCCGTGCAGCGTCCAGAGTTGTCTCCGCGCAAGCGCAAGTTCAGTATCACTGAGGTTGCATCACCCACGTCGTTGGACGAGGTGAGCAGCACGAGCAGCTCGGCGGTCGAAGAGCATGTGATCTCGCCCAAGAAGAAGGTCAAGGCTGAAGAACGCGGCAGTGGCAGTGATCTGACCAAGTGGGAGAACAATGTAGTGGCCAGTATTGCCAGCGCGCTCGACATGGACTGTCTGGAAGCAGTCGAACCCATCTCGTTCTTGGCGACGCCAGCGGATGACCTCACTGTCGATGAGTTGGAGATCCTGTACCGCTTTCTGGCATGAATACCAAGCTATCAAGTGACAGAGATCGAGCGAGTTTAGCTTGCTCTGCCCCAGCAGCATATATCTCCACAGCCAGGCTTATACAAACAGGCCAATGGACTATCTGAGGGGTCGTCTGCTATAGCAGCAGCTTGACTCCTACTAATGCAAGCTTTGGACGGTGTACATGGCCAAAGTGTAGCAATTGTACAGGAAGCAGAGAGAAGAGGTGGTAAATGCCACGATCCGCAGCTCATCAAGTAGAGCCATCAAGGAAGAGTACAGTAGCTGAAGGCCACAAATGCCTGATGTAAATATTAATTTAACGAGAATAATTGCAGCTCAAGTGTAAGAAACTTCATTGCTTGCCAATGTAGTGGAGAAAGGCAAAGGTCTTCTTCGATAGCAGTCGTGTCAGTCATGTTGGGCTGATTGATGCAAGCATCTTTTTGATTGATGACCATCCATTTCTTGCAAGGTGCAAGCCAGCAAACGACGATCAGATTAGATATCGACTATCTCACGTTCGCCGACTCGCCTGATACTGATGAGGGAAGCAGTCCCATCCAATGCGCCAGTACGTACCGTCGCGCTTACTGAATCGCTAGCTCGGCTTTTTTTCGTCTTAGCCGGTTTCCATCCAGATAGTACCGACGTCGTCGAACGACTACGAACACCCACCATCACAAAGTTGCAGCATATTTATCTTAACAACGAACGGCAGCAGCGCTCCCTCTCCAGTGCTCCATGTCTCTGCATCCTCGAAGAAGCTGCATCTCGCTCTATTGCATCAGACTCACATTTGTACATCAGGCTGCTTTTTGTGCTTGGATGTCTCCGCTGTTGCCGCTGCTCTGGTCAGCTTCTGCTCGCTGTTATTTTCCTGCTCTTCCTTCGTCTCACATACACCCGGCGTGTCAGAGAGCGAGTCAAAACGTTGAACGAACGTTCCAAGCGCCCCAAAAAAGCCCTCGTGGTGGAAGAACTGCGCCTGCATTTCGCCCTTGGACCAGAAGCTGATGGCGTAAGCCAGTTGTCGACACGCCAGCTCATTGCGCCTCAAAAAGTTGCCCGAGAAATAAATTCGCTTGGTCTCCACTTGACGCGCGTTCAAAAATGCCAGCTGCCCTAGGTTTTGCGTGATCATGAAGAGCAGCGAGCGTGCAACGTCAACGTCTCGTGGTGGATGGAGTAGACGGCGCGCGCCGGCCTTGCCAAAGCTGCTGGCAACTGTATTGGGATTGAGCTGAAATTGCTCATAGCCGGCTGGACCGTAAATATCGCCCACGGTCATGTCCACTGCATGCGAGTCTCCCTCAACACTGGCATCCATCGCTTCATCGAACGTGTGCAATTTAGAGAGTGCACGGCATAGCCCTAGGAATGTCCCACCACCCAGACTCGTCCCCGACACGCGCTCGTACTGCGACTCGCCTGTAATTTTTAGAATACTTACACCTGAACCGATATTCACGAGCAAGAACGGGTACAAGTCGTGCTTGTCTGGCTTGGGCAAGATTATCTTCGTCGCGCTCCCCAATCCATGCGTGTCTGGGATAACATTGATGAAGGTATAACACTCATTTGGAGCGTACCGTAGCACAAAGTTAAGTCCCTGAATGAGAGCATCCATCTCGTCCGCTTTCTCGAGCTCAATACCCAGACGTGACTCAAACAGCGGAGAAAACTACAAGCACCATCATCCATCAAGAACAACATAAGAAAAAGATCAAGTCTTTCTTCCTAAGACGTATAAAAGCTGTACCTTGAAGGCACCGCCGCCGGTACACGCGATCTTTTTGATATATCGATGGAAGAAGCGACGGCGCACAAAATCTGTCATCTCGTCCATTTTTGCTGTCGGGAAGCTGCAAAAGCAATAGTCTCACTCAATTTCAACGTCCCTCTTCTGTCATCTTATCTATACGCACTTGATAAAGTGGATACTGCCGCCCAATTCTGGCACAAACATCTCCAGTTGCTCGTCGCGCTGGGCCTCGTCCGTCGTATGAAGGCTCATGATGAAGCCATCAATAAGCGGCAAGCTGCCTTCCACACGCCTTTGCTCCTTAGCCTTCAGTGCATCCGATCGATTCAGTCGTCGCTCCATATGTCGTCGCTGTGCTGCAACCGCACCGTCCGTTGACTGGAAGTAGACCATCTTGGCCAATGTACCGCCAATATCAAGTGCAAAAAGACGACCACAGTCCGCTGATTTCTCGTTTAAAATATGCAGATGAAATCGACGAAGCTTGCGACGGCGTGCAATGATAAGACCCGCAATACAGGACGCACCGAATAGGAATACACGGGTCCAAAAGACATTGCTATGCCGCCCCGATGGCGTCGTCATGATCCTACCGAGAGATTCTCGCGAAACTCGTGTGGTCGACATAACCACACCACCGTAGTACATAATTTTTTCGGTCGACACGATTGTACCTTTTTTTGCTTCCGCACGGAGTTTTACTTTCAAACTTCAAGCTAGGACCTTTTCCTTTTTTTCTGCTAAAATTTCCGTCGCTGAAACGACAGGAAGATAAGATTCGAGCACCTCGGTTCCGTCCACCGCTCTAGGAAAGATAAGAAAGATTGCATGCAAATCACAGTCGCACGCTTAGATGATCATAAATTTGGAATTTAACCGAAGAAATGTGATGGGCGCATGGGGTGTAAATCAGGTCAGGAGGATACGCACTTTCTAAGACTCATACTCAGGTCAGCTTGCAGTCCACCCTATCCTTTGCAGATACGACCACGGCATGGGTTGCAAGAGATGGCCTAAATCCATTTTTATTCTGCTAATTGTGCGACGTGGTCGGATAGTCTATAAAAAACATGTGACAAAGCTTCTTCTTCTGAATCATGTAATCGGATTTCTGGCTGTACGAGCCAGCCAGGTGCATAAACGTTATTGTATGCTTCTGCATAAACGTGCCGCGGGTGAGATATGTCACTCGAATGATTATCATACGTACGTACTGTCCCTTGCGCTGTCGCGTCTCTTGTCGAGGTAACGAAGCGAAAGTCGGGAAAAGGATAGCCGCTTAGCGGCTTTTTATGTAATCTAACAAAAAATAAAAATATACAGCGTATTAACGCCTTTAACGAGACATGATCTAGTTGTTACGGGAAAATGCTTCGCTTGGTCTCTGTATGAAGCAATGTCCTCTGCAGCGTCAAGACGATAAAAACATTAAACTACCTCGTGATTTACGACGTAAATCTTATGATTGGGTGAATACTCAGTGATCAAACGATCTTCTCGCACGGCGACGTGCTATAGGGGCTGATGTTTGTTTGGGTTACTATAGTGCAAATGCATAAGTATCCTGTAAAGGGATTCGCTTGACGCATGTGTCCACTCAGAAAGGTGTCACAACGTATATCATCGCTCCGTTTATACTATACTCAAATATTTCGTACAAGCCACTACCTTAGCCTGATTCATTCTGCTCAATGGCGCACCTGCAGGCACCCATGGGTGACGCCATATTCTCTCCATACTGCGGCAAATACTACACCATAGTTTAACGTTGGAACACAGATAGACCGTCCTTCAAAAAAAAAGAAGAGCCGCCTGTTTATGTTTTCGTTAGTCAAAATCTGCGACAGTACCGGTGTACACACTGTGCTTCAACGTAGTGCAATATAGTGCAATAGACGATAATTAAAGTTGTTGCACGAGATTTTCCATCATTTTCTGGAAGAATGGCAGAGAAGCTTCCACACTTGGGAAGAAATCAGCACCTGGCTCAGAAGCATGTCGCGGCCTTAGCGACTCGTGGCGTGCAAGGGTATCAATAACAGCTGCCATGGCGTGGTCCTTTCAGTAGCGCCAGCCAGGCCAACGCAACCGGGTGACAGGTAACCTCTATCTTAACAAATCAGAGGCACGTTTTTTGAAAAATGATTTCTGTGATTCGCAATGTGAAACGGTTGGCTTCAACTTTAAAATAACGTTGAAGCTCCTTTACTCAACTGTGCCGCACCGTTGCCGTATGGCGAATTGGGTGTCCTCAGGACATTGCATGCAGAATGCATGTGATGGAAGGGGTGGGTGGACATTCGTGCAGTTGTTCTACTTTACGGCACGTCTCTGGACGGACTGTAACGCAGTGAAGCTAGCAAGTAAAGGCGAGCGTGGAGCACTGGTCATTGGATAGGATTGCTACACCCTAAACGTCCAGCAGCCGGGAATCACGACCGAACACAGGTTTGAGATTGAAGTGTCACGATGCGGCGAGTCCCTGGTGTGTCGTCGTTTCCTGGCTTCCTGTCTAGCAAAAGCTATCAAGTGGTTTTAAAAGGGGGATAAACATCCAAAGTTGTTGGCATCACAACCCAACGGCTGCAACCGAAGAAGCCTTTTTGTGCCTTTGCCTTTCTCCACTACATTGGCAAGCAATGAATCTTCTTACGGTTGAGGTGCAATTATTATTCTCGTTAAATTAATATTTACATCAGGCATTTGTGGCCTTCAACTACTGTATTCTTCCTTGATGGCTCTACTTGATGAGCTGCGGATCGTGGCATTTACCACCTCTTCTCTCTGCTTCCTGTACAATTGCTACACTTTGGCCATGTACACCGTCCAAAGCTTGCATTAGTAGGAGTCAAGCTGCTGCTATAGCAGACGACCCCTCAGATAGTCCATTGGCCTGTTTGTATAAGCCTGGCTGTGGAGATATATGCTGCTGGGGCAGAGCAAGCTAAACTCGCTCGATCTCTGTCACTTGATAGCTTGGTATTCATGCCAGAAAGCGGTACAGGATCTCCAACTCATCGACAGTGAGGTCATCCGCTGGCGTCGCCAAGAACGAGATGGGTTCGACTGCTTCCAGACAGTCCATGTCGAGCGCGCTGGCAATACTGGCCACTACATTGTTCTCCCACTTGGTCAGATCACTGCCACTGCCGCGTTCTTCAGCCTTGACCTTCTTCTTGGGCGAGATCACATGCTCTTCGACCGCCGAGCTGCTCGTGCTGCTCACCTCGTCCAACGACGTGGGTGATGCAACCTCAGTGATACTGAACTTGCGCTTGCGCGGAGACAACTCTGGACGCTGCACGGATAGCGGCGTTTTGGCAGGGCTGTTGCTGTTAGCTACGGGTGACGTTGGTGTTGCAGGCATGTCTATCTATCTGTCTCTCTCTCTAGTAGTTTAGATGCGTAGAACAAAAGTGTCGTTGGGTTTCTTGCTCGTTTGTTCTTGCTAGTAACCGTGTAAATTGGAATATGGGCGAGTTGGTGGCCCGTTGGCTTGTTGCAGTGACTTTTGTCGTCATGCTGTGTAAGGCAGGGCAACGTCGTGGCTTTTCTGGTCGCACCCGCGTCCAGCCAGATCCTATCGACGTCGTCTCTGCTTTTACTCTCTTTCTTCAAAGCGACGTTGGACAATTCGGATCTCGGGTGGCAGAGAAGGGCACGTTTTGGGACAGCGTCTATCGCACTGATATGAGCGATGGCTGTCGTACCGTCTGTGGCTGAAACGGAACAGGCTCAACTCAGACGGGGCGGATGACACATGGCAGTTTGCGAGGTCGTTCCGAGCGTTATTTGATTGTCGGCGCCCGGCTCTCGTCCGTCGGTTTATATCGCCCATCCACTGATTGCATCCATTCCACATCGAAGGTGTCGCAGACGGGACGGGGACACACATCACTCGACTTGCGATCTTACAAGTACTACTTACGGTCCACACGCAAAGAGATGCCGTCTATGTATCATCATATACAAGGCGTTGCTGCTCTATTTTCACCATATGAGGTGTACAGCGTCGTCTTCTCTTATATTATTCGTTCTTACACTTTTCCTCGCGGTATATTTGCAAAAAGGGAAGGCCTACCGACCAGATCATGGATAGTGACGATAACGCTGGGTTGTAAAACCCGCCAGACATCGTGACGTCGTGCCTTTGCGGGACCTCGCTGCAGTAGATGTACGCTCCCTCCCAAGCTGCTGACATGTTTCCCGGCACATCGAAGATCTTTCCATAATGGTCCGTAGCGCTGCAGTGCCGTGCGAATCTGCTTGCAGCACCAGTGCAGTCAGTCTGACCGGACCAGTGAGCTTGCCGTTACAAGTTGGCAACATGCTGCTTGCGTGCGGACCGATGCGAGTCCCAGTTTTGTAGCGCACGATCGCTCTTGCCATGCACGAACGGTCTTTAACGACAAAAGACGCAAGCTTCGATTCATATTAAAGGATATTGTACTGGTCGGTCGATGCTCTACGCTCATGGATAAAACGGCTAGTTCGAAACTTGGCGGTCAATGCGTGCCTGCTATCCAGCATCTGCTACTATGACGGCCAAGTTGCAGAGACAGTAGTAGCTTTTGTTCGCAACGGACGATGTGGTACATTGTGGCGTTTGCAGCTGATTTGTTTGGATGCAGTTTAGACGATACCACATGAATCACTTTGGTCTTTACACTTTGCATCACTACGATTTCCTGCATTTGAAAGCAACAGGTCAATTCATGACACTACTTACCACGACTGAGCCAAACAGAGATAGCAACAGAGCTTCAGATGACAAGTGTTTCAGAGATTTTCTTGCAAAGGCGTGAGAAATTCTTTGCGATGTTCGACTGACGGCCACGTAAGCCCGGCCATACCTCCCATTAGTAGCCAAAAAAGGAGCTTGCAACGCAGGCAACACCACACTAAACATTGATGGCAAACACAACTTTGATATCCACATAAGAACCTCCAATCATACGAGATCACATCCCACTGATAGAGCGTTTTCACATTCTTCTTGCATTGCTTGCCGGTTTGTGCTGGTCCTTTTTTCTCTACTTCTCATCGTAATGATACGGGTCGACATCACCATGAGGCGCCACTATCTCTGACGGCAGTGCCTCACCCTCTGCAGGAACAAAGGTCGGGTACGGAAGCGGTGCCTCCAACTTTTTCTTGCGGGCATCCGTTACACGGACAATACCTCCATTGTTTCCTGGCACACTACCCTTGACGTAAATGAGGTTGCGTTCCACATCAATCTTGGCGATCCAGAGATTGTCACGCGTAACGCGATTGCCACCCATGCGACCCGGCATTTTCTTACCCTTAAACACCTTACCAGGGTCCTGACATTGACCGGTAGAACCCATATGACGATGTGTCTTGGAGTTACCATGGGAAGCCGGTTGACCTGCAAAGTTGTGCCGTTTCATGACACCTTGGAAACCTTTACCCTTGCTCGTACCACATACATCCACGTACTGACCAGGAGTAAAATGCAATGCCGAGAGTTTCATTCCCAATGGCAATAGAGCGTCTTCCGATACACGAAACTCCTGTAATTGACGCTTTGGTGGAACGCCAGCCTTGGCCAAATGACCCAACACGGGTTTGGTCACATTCTTGGGCTTACGTAATCCGACGCCAAGTTGAAGTGCATTAAATCCATGACGATCCGCTGTCTTAATCTGCGTCACTTGACACTCTTCGACTTGTAGTACCGTACAATTGTGACGATAGCCAAAATGATCCCAGACGGGCATCATTCCAATCTTAACAGCTAGTAATCCCGTGCGTTTCTTCTCCGACGACCATCCAGCAACATCCACACTCGTCTCGGTCGCAACAACACGTGAAATAGCTGTCGAGAATGACGATACACGCAACGAGGTCGTCACAAACGTCTTGCCAAGCATTCTCGATCCCTGCCACATACTTAATGACGCTTCGTAGCCATAGAATACCAGTGGTACCAATAGTATGGTACGGCTGTACCCATGGCTGCAAATTCCTTTTTCAGCCAATCAGAATGAACATCATTATTGAAAAAATGACGCGGCTGTTCCTAGGGCTGGTGTTCGTGCTCTTACTTACGCGTTATTCGTGGACTGTGGTGCTAGTAGTACGTCTAATATGGTGGATAATGACACGGTTATTGGAGATTCTTTTTCTTCTTATAGGAAGTGGCAGCTTTTGGTGGATCCTACGCTCGTATCAATTGCAGAAAGAGCAGGAATTACTGGACCAGGCGCTCGTAAAGGTTAATTTCTACCGTAAATACCGTCATTATACCGGTACGAATGACGGTACCACGGCCACAATCAGGAACCGACTGCCCATTGTAGCACATTTACGTACTTTTTGGAGTCTACCACCTGAACTTTGCAATGAGATTACGGCACTGGTGGAACTCATTGTCAAGGACTACGTCAGTTTTTGGTTTCAAGCTATTTCTCCCAATGAGGACTTTCCGAATGACGTCAAGTTTTTGCTGGCCGATTTGTTGGGTGCTATAGCGTCACGAGTACTTGAGATTGACCCGTCTCAAGCAGTAACAATTGTTGCAAAGAGTTTGGAGCTTCTGCGACTGCATTTGGGATGGTTTCGAGAAGCTTATGCACAATTGGCGGACGATTATCCGGCCGTCTTTGAAGGTGATGAAATGAACTCAAACTTGCTCAAGCGACAGGAATACGTTGCGGCGTTCGTACAGAGATCACCATTTGTTCATCCGGGATGCGTGAAAACGAAGGCTTCAGCTTTTTCACCCATGCCTGGTGGGAACAGTATGGGCAAGGAGAATGCGGGAGAAAATGCAGAAGCCGCTTATCTGCGTCATGTAGCGACGCAACTGCTGACTCAGTTGAAACCTCAGCTGGGTCAGCACCACGACACCAACATGTTTGTGTCTGTTGCCATGAATTTGCTGCGTGAAATAGTCGGCTTCAAGATCCTCAAGCCATTGTCGGAGTATGCGCAACCGCGGTACGCAAACGAGATTGTCTTGTCCTGCCTCCAAGCGTTTGCTAATGAGAAAGATGTGGTTGGACCTACGTCGCCAAGCATGTCCTCTTCTAGTAACGTTGCTGGAATGGTGCCATCTTTGACGTTGAAGAAAATACGGTCGACATCCAGCATCCTGTACAAGGCTAGCAGGCGCAGCGGAGAACAGGCAGAAGCAGCTTTTCAGGCAGTCGTCGAGGCTGTGGCGAGTGCAGCGTCCTCGGCTGCAGCTGGTGCCGCAGAGACTGTATCAGAAGGGGACGACTGGACTGATTCAGGGAGTACTATTTTTGCGTTTGGCAGTGCTGTATTTGCTGCTAACTCTGGCGGTTTTACTGGCGAAAGAAAAGCGATGTCGGCAATCTTTGCAATGGACGACCGCCTTAAGGTTGCTAAGGCGGCAAAAATGATGGATCCCCGTGGGTTGATTTCGGGTGGGCTACTGTCGCACAAGATGGCCGGCGACAATAGTCGTATTACTGCTCACATGGATGATCTGAAGAATGCTAAGGCCAATCTCGGCTCGAGCTTGAACTCGTCTATTGGCAAAGTCAAAAGGCGCTTTCGTACCCTAAGTAACTATCAAATGGACCCCATGTCGTCCACCTCTCCTCTCGGCACGGGTACAGGTGCAGCAGCTCGAATGATTCGCAAGCCAGGACAGCTATTACAAAAGGCTTGGAAACGAGGTGAGTCCGGTGCTAGCTCACCGAGCTCTTCGTATGATGATGGTGCAATAACACCCACGGACCGAATCCGAGGTGGTAAAAGTGCTCATGTCATGAGCTCGCTGAACTCTCTTGTAAGCCCGCCGCCTGACGATGAGGAGGAAACGACTTCACCGACGGAGAGGGGAACTATGACGATGGCGATGGTGCGGGATCGTGTCGTTCGTCATGTGGCAAAGGCCGTGGCGGACTACACAAAGATGTACTACGAGTGTCCTGAAATGCACAGTTCAGTCCGGTCACGTGAGCTATACGATCTTCTTTCAGCAATGGAAAATGTTTTTATGCTAGGCTTTCGCAACCATGATTCAGAAGACGAAGGTGACCACACAGTACTGTCAACTCCCCCACCATCTCCAAATGTTCGGCGGCGCTTTTCAGTAGCATCGGCGAGCGATGAGTTGACGTCTTGTCGCGACAGCATCGATACGGACAGATGTCCGAGCTACTTGGATATAGATGTGAACGACAACCAGTATTACTGGGAATATCTTGTGCAAGAAAGACCTGGCGCGAAATTGTTCAACGCGCACTCGAGATTCGTGGCATCCCAGTGCCCACCTTGTAGCCCGAGCGAATCATTTGTTTCGACGCGTGGAGCTCAATGGGTATTAGCTGCTCTAGTAAAGGGGTCCCTGGGGACTTTCTGTGCTGAGTTATATGCACACAGCGATGTCACGGAGTTATATTACGAAAGCTATGCGCTTTTGCTTGACACGACGCTCGCAGACTCTGTGCTGGGAGCATTGTCTCAGCTTGATGATCTGAAAGTAAGTCTTGATGTACCTATCTTCAGTTTCCAGAGCGACATGGACAAAGAGCTCGGTGTTTCACCTTCTAACGAATGGCGGTTTCAAGACGTGGCCTCTTTGAGTGCCCCCGTTAGTGTACTGGAACGAGTATGGGAGATTGAGCACTACGTTCCTATAAACGGATGGGTAAAAGCGACAGACCAACGATATCAGGAACTCCCATCGTCAGAATGGATTTGGGAAGACGACTGGGCACTCGAAAATGCAGCAAAAGACCTCGGAGAATCATTGGACAGCGAGGCAATGGATTCCACGTGGGAGTATGCTAAAACATATGAGGATAAGTTCCATGAGAAGAGAAGGAAGTCTGATTCTGTACGGCGGCGAAGATGGGTACGCCGACGATGCCAGCTACCACCGGTTTTGGTTCTACCATCATCGCCGGTTTCCCCTAGCGATTTTGATGTTTCCTCTTCGTCGGCATCTTCAGCTATTCCTAAGAGTGCCGGCAGGGCAAGTAAGCTAAAACAGCGCTTTGACGCATTGACTCGTGAAAAGAAGAACGACAAAGGAACAGCGGCAAATAAGTCATTGCCGAAAAGTGGATCGAAGAAACATGATAAAGAGATGCCAGAGGGTCCGATAAGTGATTTAACGCTGGGACTGATCGACTCAGACAGCTTTCAGCAAACGTCGACAAAAACATCGGCATTCATGAAAGCCCGCGCGTCCATCCCTTCGATACGGCGTGGAATGTCCTGCATGAGCATTAAGTCACCCTCCTTTGATTCCCGATCACTATCTGCGGAAGCTTGCACGGACGATGACCGTGGGGCTTTGTATGACATCGACGATAACGACGACGAAAATTTGTGCTCCCGCTGCCTCAATGCTCTCTCGTCATCCAACTTGGGTGTGGGAACCTGCCATAGCTGCCACCAACGCATGTGCAGTTCGTGCTTGAATTTTTATGCGTTCATGGCGTATCCTCCTCCCCGCGAAACTTCCAAAAAAGCACGAGTTTGTGAAAACTGCTACGACCGTCTGGTGAGCAAGTACAAGCTGCGTGTAGAAGCCCATTTAGGCAACTACTTGATCAAGGAGCGTGAAATACCCGATATTTCCAACTCGAGCGCTTCTTCTACGAATACTGCCACCAGTACTTCCCACCACTCAGTTTCGTCTACAAGTAATGGTAGCAATCCAGGCGTTGGCGATTCAGCAGCAGCAAGACAGACATCTAGCCTTCAGAGCCCGACTGTTAGTCGTACCGACAGCAACAGGTTTAAGATCACCGTTAAAGTGAAGGACAACAGCGCGGACGCTTGGAGTGTCACCAAGACCTACCACGATTTTGAGGAGCTGGAGAAGCAGTTGACTGACAGGCTGAAGAAACAAAAGAAGAAGTGTGGAAAAGGGTGTCATTTGAGGGGTGTCGATTACACGGAGCTGACTTCCATCAAGTTGTCTCTGAAGACGGTAGCGGCAACAAGTTTAACCTACGAGAAGCAATTGCATATTCTCGAGCAGTTCTTGCAGCAACTGCTGGCATGCGATACGTTGTGTCAAAGCTCGGTCGTGCAGAAGTTCCTCCTGCTTGCGAACGCATCCGGTACGTCCCCGGCGACCGTCAACTCTTCGATGTCCGGATGGGAGGCTGGCGAGGACCCAACTTCTCCGTCTGCTACTGGGGGTGGCGCTTTGAGCAACGAAGCTGAAAGCAATGGTCCTAGAATAAACAGTGCTGAAGGCGTGCTTTTCGAGAATGGCAAGTGGCGAATAGGGCGTTGGGTCGCGCCGGATGCAAACTCGAAGGAGACGAAGATGCGTGTTTTGCAAAAGATCGAAGTGAGCCTCTTTGCTGTGTTAGGTGAGGTGTTTGAGTTTGACGGCATCGGCATGGTGCGTCGTCAGATATTTTCCATGACTCGGTCATTCATCAAGGCGTTCCTTAGTGCGTCACACTTCCGAATGCTCGAGCAGCAGTTTCTGTCTTTTACGGACCCGAAGAAGCTTTCAGGCTGGATAGGTGACTTGCAAGTGTACCTTTTCTCAGACTTAAGTGATGCCAAGGTGGCTCCACCTCCTGCTCCCGATATGCAGGTTTTACGTAAAAACTGCTTCGAAGCTATCCTCGCCAGCTTTCCGTCCAAAGCGCTTTCGCTCTTTGGCGACACCGCGTGCGAGAACGCGGCGCTCAAGTTGCACGAATTCTTGCAGCACGAAGTGTTTATAAAGAACCTGCTCTTCAGTATCGCAGATGAGCTGCTTCTGCATCTGTTCCCGGACTCGACCTCCTTTCAAGGGCAACAAGGCACCAGAAGAACTAGTGACGCCGTTGCTGCATCGATAGACAATGACACTTCTGACGTGGTCATGTCACCAACGTCTCCACTTCCAGCACCACTTTTACCACAAGCTTCTAAGCGAAGAAGATCATCAGCTCAAAGTAAGTGAATTCAAAGATCAAAACATGGCTACAACTCTACGAGTGGGAGACGACGACGGCGGCAGCCGTGGGACGTTTCAACTTGCTACTGCCTTCTTCTTGATCTTTAATCGATCGTTCCAGTGCTGCCAATTTCTGTGCCACGCGACTTTTCTTCTTCGTACGTGCTTGCTGATTAATCTCCTTGAGTCGATCTTTGCCATGAGCTTTCACATCAGTCAGAGCCAATTGCGTACCCGCTTGTAGTACACGACTGGCCATAATATTCTCCAGATTCTGATTAATAAAGCCCGTAACGGCTTTACTGCCGTGGTTTTTCATGCCACTACATCCACGTCGAATCTCCGTCGTGGGGTCTGTTAAAACAATTAAAAAAACATATTAAATCGATTTTACATCACGGTTTAAACTGTTTAAACAATAACCACGTACTTCCTTTCTTGGTAAACTTAGCAGCAGATTTCTTATGGGAATAGCTCACTACTTTCTTTGAAGGCTTTGATCCACTATTCTTGACGCTCTTCGTGCCTTTCTTCAAGTACCCACTGCCTTGTGCCATTATGTTTGATTGGACTCGGAAAAATGGATTTTGACATTATGGTGGTGTCTTAATTAAGGGTGGATTTCTTCTTTTTCATAAAAATATCGGAATTAAGTACTTTTATACGATTGCGACTCTTTAAACGGAACGCACTTAGTATAATTTTACCATATCTCGGTAAAATTGTAAGAATGCAACAAATAGCGTTAGAAAATGAGAAAAGATGCCTATCGGATACTATTCGACCAGCAAAACATCAGAACTTTTGAGCGTTGTACATTAGGTCGTTCCCTTCTTTTTTCTCTCTCTCTCTCTCTCTCTTCTTTGCAATCTATCGTCGTCACGTCATAAACCTATTTACCAATTGATGTACTTTGATCAATATCCCATTTGCATGTTCGAGTGCACTTTGCATTCGAGTTCGTAGAACGCACCACTTGTAGAAAAAAGCATGAAGGTCTTGTCAACTTTTGTATTGTCGGCCGTTTTGGCCATGGCCGTCCGTGCTCAGACGTCCGATTCCAGCACCACGAGCCCTGTCACTTTGGACTCATCAATTATGACATTGGGCTCAACCTTGACGATACCGACGTCTAGCACGATGACTGCAATGCGGACGAGTTCTTCCACTAGTAATTTTATGAGCTCCTTAACCGTTGACTCGTCCTCATCGTCGGGGTCGTATCACATGACACCCGTGCATGTAGTGCAAGCCCGTGTGCAAAGTGATATGCCCGTATGGAACGACAAACTCGAACGGTTTGTGTCGTCGCACTATGACAAACCCGATGAGGCGTACGTGGCTCTTATGGATACAGTGAATACAGCATCAGTTGAGGGGGCACTCATGTACGTACAGGCAGAAGGTATCAACTACGCTACACGTTCGACTGAAGATCGATGTGCACGTAAGAACGAGATGGCCTACATTGTCTTTTATGAGTTTGCCATTGCTCAGACAAACGAAACGTTGGCATTGTATCAGGACGTAGCAAGTCAGAATGAATATGGTAATATGCTCGCTCTCGATTCGGGGCGTTGTACACCCGATTCAACCACGTCTTCTGGCGGTGAAGTGTTCCCTGTAGCTTGCTACTACTTTAATGGTGACGAAGGCGAGCCGAACGTCGGTCCATTTGTCGGTGGCACGACAAAGGAGACGGATCCGCGTGCCCCGTATCCGAACAATGTCTGGTACTCGTTTCCTAATACGTGTCCGCTCAAGGAATGGAGTGACAAGACATCCGACTGTCGTGCCAGTACCCGAAAAGGGCTGTGTGATATTGGCGTCATGCCGGATGGGATCAGCTGTACGTATGCGTACCGCGTGCTTGGCTTCCTCCCGATAGACGACTTGGTAGGTATCACGTCCATACCGAGCAATACAACGGGTAAGACATATGCAAACTTCTCGCAGTTTTGCGAAGATGGTGGCGTGGAATTTGAAGCTTTAGAGACTGGTGAGTGGAAAGAAAGCATTCCATTCTGGGAGAATCCGCAGGACGAAGAGGCCAATGCGGAACGTGCTATGAAGCTTGTCGAGGCTTACTATAACCTCACGAACGGACTCATTGAGACATCGGGTCTGGACTCGAGCATCATCGAGCACATGCTACCTCTGCCCACTCCTGAGGAACTTGCGGCTGAGAACCCGCCGTGCTACCTTAACGTCCTAAAGTGCAATACGGAAGCTGGCTGCAAGCGCGAGCTGTTCGGCTCGACGTGCACGGTCTGCAGCTCGGAGACAGAAGGATGTGAGGCTCCTCCCAGCGACTGGAAATTCCCCACTCTGGAGAAGGCTGTGGGTGAGAACGGCGGCACTGGAGATGCCTCGGCTGATAGCTCGTCGAAGCAAGACTCGACCGCGTCGGATAAGGGGGAAAAGAACTCGAGCGCTGCCATGAACGACATGTCGGCTGTGCTCATATCTTCAGTGCTGGCTCTGGCAACGGCCCTTTTCTTCTAGATGCTTAGTAAAAATGCTGTTGCTTGCTGCTGCAATGTAGAACATGAGAATGAAGTGGTTGATTCTGTTGATTGTAGTAGGTGTTGCCATTCTTGTTAGCAAGGAAAACGTCTCGTACGACTGGCACAACGTATGAAACAGCTACGCACAACACTGTTGTTTGTGCACTCGCAAGCATATAAAGACTGGTGACATACAGGACATCTCGCTTTTGTGTGACGCTGACGAGTCTGCTCATTCGTCGTTATGTTACATTATGAAATCCCAAGATGTCACGTGGCCACGCAACTGTAGAGATGCTTCATATACTTGTTTTCGAACGGCATCAAGGTACTTCTTGCGCTCTGTATGCTTAGCTAACGTTACAATCCGATAATAACATTATCAACTTGTTACTAAACTGTTCGTAAACAGTTGTACGTTTTCTTGCCAAATGGGTACTACTAGTGCATATACATTTTTTCGTCACTTTATTGGAACATTTATGTGCTTTCTTTTTACCTAGTCGCCGCTCATGAAAAAATTGCGCCTTCAATTGGCCGTAATCATGGTCTCTATTTCATCCAATACCTGCTCGGCATTCATCACGTACCCACTTATCCCATGAGCAGCCACTTCAGCACTTAACAGCCGAGCCGCCGGTTTATTCTCCAAGAGCAGTCGCAAGCCGTGCTTGGTCGTTTTCAATCCAAGAAACATCAGTGCTGTTGTGTTGGATCTCTTCAGGTGCAGCACTATCTTCTATAGCTACAGGAAAAAAAGAAATGACGTCGTACCTGCCTTTTACACAGTCGAATATGTTTCGCACGAAACGAAAAATGTCGAGTCCTGTGGGCTCCTGGAGTCCATTGGACAAGCAATTGGACGTGTCATGGACAGAGATTGATGGGACGTCTGGCACCATTGGAGGAGGAAGTAGTCCTCGACATTGGTGCGATGCAGTCGACTACCGTGAAGTGGCAAGTTTTGTGCTCTTTGCACTTTTCATGGTGGCCGACGTAGGCCTTGGAGTAATGGTTTGGGTCAATTTCTTCAAATTTATTGTCGAGCCTGACCAGTATCGCTCACGTGCTACATGGGGAGGCATCTGGTTGCTCTTTACTGGCACTTTTTTCTACGTACGGCGCTTCGTGCGCCTTCGGGCGGACACGCACTTGCGTGGTATGATGGACCATGCCGAGATTTTTGTAGCCATGTCACTTGCTATGGTTTTTGCCGTCAATATTGCCTTCTACTTGCATGAGCCTACCATCACACCTCTTAAAGATTTGGGCTTTATGCTCATTCCGGAGCAAGGTCTCCACTCCAAGTGGCGACCTGTGAGTGACATCCTCACGGCTGGTGTACCCGTTATGTTTTTGCTACAGACTTTTGCCATGACGCGCCCCAATCGTTGCCGTATCGTCTCTTCATTCTTCCGCGTCGCGACGATCTGCTACTTTCTACGCATGTTGACAGTATCCGTGACGTCGCTCCCTGGTCCAGCGCCACACTGTCGCGCTGGCAGCCCGGACTACGATCCACCTACGTCTTGGATTGACATCGTCACGCGTGTTGGACCTATCTACGGCAATTATAATTCGTGTGGCGACCTGATTTTCTCGGGCCACATGGCGTACACAAACTTGGCCGTGTTGCTGTACTTGCGGACTCTGGACCGCAACTTCACGAACCACACCATCTCGAAAATGCGCTGGGCGTGTGGCATGGCGTATCTCGTAATTTTGGCGGTGCTGTGCATTGCTGGACGCAAGCACTACACGGTCGACGTCGTGCTGGGATTGCTCATTTCGACGATGGTGTTTTTCCACTTTGAGCATAGCTGGACGCCTCTATGCTGCCAGGTGCCACACGGGCTACTACCACTAGCCGACCAGCAGCTTATTCATGGCTTACAGTGGCGGAAACGCTTTAGTATGGATGTGACAGATGAGCTATTGAACGAGCTGAATGATGCTGCGGAAAATGAGGAGTCCCGACGATTGCTCAAGCCGAACGCGTCAATGTATAATCAAGTGTAACTCATTTGCTGAGTAGCTCTCGTGCTGATGCCACTTGCTCGATGGTGTTTCCTCAAAAGTCAGGGCGAGATGGATCGAATGGTCTTGTGGATTGGCATTTGACTAGAGAACTACGATGCAAATTCATGCAAACAGTCGTGGATGAGATTTTCACATGGAAAAAAAAGTTCCGGATGTCCTCGTATCGATCCCAGCAGCAGCAATGACATTGAATTGTTGACTTGCAAAACATTCGATCTAGACTTTTACAAGTAACGACAATCGCGGATCTCACTAGCGGCAAGAAACTCGAGCGCAGCAGAATAATGCACTCACTCTCATGAACGGACGACTCTAGAAAGCACTAAATATCAACTGTATTTTCATTAACCCCCATCGGCGTTTCTTTTTACCCAATCACAAGTCCGTAATGATGTTGTCAGCTTTTTCATTGGTCATTTTTTTCGAGTTACATGATCACGTCGTAGTTCACTCGCCTATACAAAACCCAAAGCATTAAGCAAGCAAAAGCACCTCACCACTAGCTCGTGCATTACCCGCTCTGCATCGTCTTATGAACCCACCAACAGGTTCTAAACCCAAGTGCAAGTTCTCTAGTCGCAACCTCAATGCTGTTTTTAAGGCGCCAATAGGGACGAAGCCTTTGCCAGACAGTGCCACTGGACCGCTGCAACGGTCTACGAACCACATGCTTGTGCTTGGAAAAACATCCGTGACACCTCCTGCACCCCTCAATACGCCCAGTTTAAAGAGTGAGAGCAAAGTGAACGACATGCATGTGAGTCTCGTACCTGCGGGCTCCAATTGGGCGAAGAATGCTGAGAAATGTATGCAAAATGAAGAATTAGAACGTTCACCAGATACGATCAACGCAACAGCGTCCAGTACAGTGTTAGAGAAGGTCTGGACACCTGAAAATGTGGCAGAGCATCTTCATACTTCTCGATTTGTTGCTCGTCCAATAGTGGCGGTCAGGAATTCTGGACGCTGGGGAGATGACGCTGTGGAAGACGATATTGTCCAGAACAATATTCGTCGTCGGCTTCAGAAAGAAAGAGAGTTTCCTGACTTGAAAAAATCATTGGAAGAAACACAGACATATCGTGGACATGGACACGTTTCTACTGCCGGTGAGATGCAATTGATGAGGCCGCGGCAGGAGCCCGAGCAGCGTCACGGAAGAGCAACAGGTCGTTGGGCCCATTTTAACAAGGAGGAGATGCATCATTCGATGCAAGATACCGGTAGTCGATGGTCTCATAGTCAATATGAACGCGACGAAGACGATCGTTGGTCCCGCGACCAGTCGAGATTTGGTGCCTACGGACCTGAAAGTCGACGGCATGAGAACGTTGGGTGGTCAGATCCTAATGACTGCCACGCTCACTTTAGCCGCAGTGACGTCCGCTTTGACATAGTGGCGTCCGGTAATGGTGACCGTGTTATGAACCACAGCCCCTATCGCATGAATTGGGGCACTACTCCATTGAGTCATCGAGATGCTTCCCTTCCGTCTGTATCTTCAAACGAGGACTCCTGTGTCCAAACTTTACAGCCGTTTCGTTCTTCATCTCCCCCTCCAGTGCTAGCATCTGGTTCAATAGCAGTGAAGCTGGCCTCGAAAAGGGAATATGATGGACCTGGCCATGCCAGAGAAAACTATCAGTGTACAAACATTGTGTGGTCGGAAAATGAGGAATTGTCTACTTCCGTGGCTGAGGAAATGCAAAGCAGTACAGAATCCTCGTCCAATTCGCTATCTCACAGCAGTCCTGGTCCCCCGCAGCATCTTAAGCTGCTTAAACGTCCAAAAATGCTATTTGATCCCAGAACCGGCGGCATTGTAAATGCTGAAGACATGACGCGACCAGACAAGCGTCAGACGGATGGATGCAGTGGAGATAAAGACCGAGTGAATACCGTTAGAATATCTAAAACATCGGAATCAATACGTGCCAGTAAGCGAACAAACTGTAAACGAGAGGCACAAGCTCAAGCATTAACTTCGAAGTCAAAAAGTGGTAAAGCTGGACGTAAAGAGGCAAACTTGACTCCCGAAATCGTCGATGCTGTTTCCAGCATGAGTCAAATGACTATCGTAGCAATCGAGCAAGAAGCTGTTGTCAAGGGCACAGCGTGCACTAGCGAGACATCATCTATGACGTCGTCGAATGCAGTAGAATTGATGGCTGACCAAGCAGACATTAAGGTGGCTTCCAAAGGTAGGAGGGTCAAGAGGGACAGTAAGCGTGTGAAAACGAAGCAGCCTTTTCGACAAGAAGGTAAGTCTCAAGTGACAAAACCACCGCAGGAGTCACGTACTTCGACCTCCTTAACTACCCGGCCGAAACAACAGCACCGAAACTCACGTGATAATACTGCTGTGAATGTACGTGGTTGTTCGACGGCCAGTAGTGGTAACGCCACTGATTGCATTAAGTATAACATTCTTATGCAGTGCGATGGACGCGAGGCAGTGGGCGACAAACTTGTTCAGCACGAGAGAGAGATGCAGAAGCCGAATTTGGACCATACAGGCCATATCTTGCTGACGTCGACTGCGCTTGGACCTAATAGTGGCGTTGTGATGCAGTCAGACGAGCAACAAGACTTCAAAGTCAGTTCCGTGGACGGTGGCTTTGAGACGGTCAAGTCACGGCGAGACGTACTGTTTGAGAAGAACCAGTTGCGAGAACGAGTGATAACGACAGTAGCAGTTGCTCCGTTGCTAGACGAAAAGAAGCGCGATTGTGCATCACTTGAGGTGCAGGCAGCTGTGCCGAGCAAAGAGGTTCAAGAGAAGAAGTTATATATGGTGGCAAAGGTATCGAAGGTAGCCACACCACCTGAAACGCTGAGGCTGCATGGTAAGGCTGCCAATTCGCGTAGAAGTGCAAATGAGGTGATCAAGGACAAGAAGACGAAGTGTGTGTCAAAGCAGGCTACAGGAACACGTTGGTCTAAGAAGAAGGAGATGTCAGCAAAGGCGAAGGTTCCTGTCCGTGGAAGCCATTCTGAAATGCCTGAGCAAGTGGCATTAAGATCCACTGAACAAGTTGCTGGCGAAGCTCCAATTGAAGCCTCGCTTTTGAAGAAGAGCACGAAAGGGACGAAGGCGACGGTGAAACTAAAGAAGAACAGACAGAGCGACGAGATGTGCAAGACGAACGACCCGAAGCGGGTTTCGAATATTGCAAGCACTAGTCGACAGCAGGATCAAAGCAGACGACAAGGTACTAAACAGTCTGCTCATAGTGGTGTACAAAGTGTAGGTTCAGTGACTACGCAACCACGAGAGTCAGGCGGTATTACTGCGAAAAGGAAGGCCAAACAGGTCCGGCAAGTGTACGTGGTGAAGACACTGGCGCCAGCTTCGGTCAGTGCGACGTTCACTACTGTGTAGGTATTGAAGGCAGTTAGTTGTACATGGGAAGAAACAGTGGCGTGTGTACAATATACAGGACATCTCATGTTGAAGTTGCCTTCAACATGAGGTGCACCAAACATCTGTGGCTGGGTGGGCCTCATGCCTTTGGGTGATCGGACCGAACCACGTCAAGACGACAACGCAACCTTGTTTACGGTTGCAGCTGTCAATTATACGACCATCACTAAGGTTTTCGTCGATGGGCCCGAGATAGTGGTACATGTGTCGACAGGTACGTTGATGGCAGCCATGAGTGGCATCAGCAAGCAGCTACAACCTTAGCTGCAAGAGAAACTGGCAGCCGTGTTTCGTTGCTGTTACGTTGACTGCAACGTGCGTATCCATTCGGTCCGATGATGGAGAATCCCACCGGAGATGGCCGTAGCAGATGGTGAAAATGGCAGCCTGCGTACTTTTCCACCAGTATCAATGTTGTATTCTCCTCCATAGTCAAAAGAGGGGCTGACAATATGCAGCTGATGGCTACAGTATTTGTTGAATCCGTATCTGCCACACGCAGTCATCAAATGGCCTTGCTATTCATTCACTTCATCTAGTCGTAGGATCAAAGATACGCTAAATCAGTGAAACAGTGATGGCCAAGCAATGACCATCGGCTCTTCTGAGTTAAAAGTGGTCTCCAGAAAAGCCAGAGTTGTGTACGCACCCCATCAGCGGGGCGTGTCAGCGTCACAGGATGGACCGCCAAGAAGACGCCAGAGTAGCGCAGTATGTAGCAACAATGAGCACCATTGTAGCCAGCATTTCGTTGGTGACGACCAGTGCAAAGATCCCTGACGTTCCTCTCACTCATGTTTGAATTTGCGTCGTCCAGACCAAGCGCCACTTGCCATGCAGTGCCAAACCAGCCTCATCTCTACCAAAGACAGCACTGCCGATGCAGTACCACGTGAGGTGGCACCATTTCTCAAGAGTTTGCGTCGCATGCTAGAGGATGAAAGTGCCGCTATTCTGCGCTGGACACCCGATGGTCGTGCTTTTGAGATCCACGACATGCACGAGATGATGGCGCACGTGTTGCCAAAATATTTCAAGCATTGCAAGTATACGAGTTTCCAGCGACAGCTCAACTACTTCAGTTTTCGCAAATGGACCAAATCTAAGGCCATTGTCTGCACTTTTTCCAATGACTTTTTCCTGCGTGATCAGCCCGAACTCGCATGGCGGATCACGCGTAAAAAGTCACTGAGTCCTACCAAGCACCGACCTGCTGCTGTTAGAGCCTCGGTCATGTCATACTGGAAAAAGGAGCCCAGTAGTACCGTACAAGTGGCTCCTCATTCGACCTTGGACAGCCCTTATATGCTGCTACCGGGCGACGCTAAATGTTGCGTACCCTTCTTGTCCTCAGCGGACACTGACTTTATGCTCAAACAACACGATATCCGCCACACGCAGCAGGTTCGACGCAGCTACGGCTTCAATGTGGTGGCACCAACTAATGTATACCCGAGATGCTACGACACAGCGACTACTGGCAGCGTGGAACAGACGGAACCTCTTGACTGGATTGACTGCTTGCTACCGCCAATGGACGAGACGTACATGTACATGTACCCACCACAAGTCGCCCCAATTGCGCCGTACACGACAACCTCTTTCAACATGCACAAAAGCTTTGAGTTTGTGCCTTCCAGTAGTTTGTGAATGTCCATGTAAATAAGTGAATGTCGTCGAAAAGAGAGAGAGAAACAAATAGACGTCTGTAAGTAATGAGCTTTTGATTTTATGTCTCACTCTTAGGGGTTCCATGTAACAAGCAGCAATGGCCATCTCACTTGAATACGAGACTTTACCAGTCAAGAATCGGATGCTCTGAGGTTTCGTCTTGGCAGCAAAAGTCACTGGAAACGCTTTTCGAAGACTGCGTGGGTAAAAGTCGATCTACGGTCAGAGGTATTGATTAAGCTGCTGTGATCACCACTTATTCCTCGCCAGCGAGTGAGGCGCGGCCATTATCGATAAGTGAGCAGGTTAGTAGACACAAAGCGCTAGAGCTCAGACTCTCGCTGTCGCTGCTGCCGCTCCGTGTCTGCCGTCTCTCGCACAAAAGCACTCACCAACTCGCAATAACCTTTCGCCACATCGGCCGTGGCCCGCGTGCTATGCTCGAGTGAGTTGGCGATGGCCAGCAGCACACGACGCTGATCAGCTAATGAATGAGTCTCGCTGTCATCCGTCGTCACCTGTTGCTCCAACACTCGACACCGAGCTGCTTCTTCCTGGAACATGGCAGTGAGGTCCTGGAAGCCTCGTGCCATACCAGCAGCAGCCACCGAGCTCTGCTCCACGGACCTGGCCAATGACCAATCACAGTCACCACCGCTTCGTGTAAAGACTCTGGATCGATTCGCATCATCGTCATGCTTCCGTTTGTGGTGAAATCTGAGAGAATCTGCTGTCTCCACTTCATCCATCTGCTGTGTTACTTGTTCTGTCTCTTGATCGTCCTCATAAAGCTCCTTTACTTGCTCTTCATTGTCTTCATTTGTCTCTTCTTCATCCATTTGCTGCTCACGTTTCGATTGATAACCAGTCACAATAGCTTTCATCTTGTCTTCAAAAACCCATGGCAATTTTCCTTTAAAGGCATGAGCCTTGTGTCGACGTCTCTTTATATCTCTCCACCAATCATCACTCAACCCCACACCGTCTTCTTGAAATCCCGGTTGACTGCTAAGCCACTTGAGCTCAACATACTCACTACGAAGATTCTTAAACTTGACAGCCACTTGACCTTCAGTCCATGGCTGTTCTCGGGGGAAGCTCTCATTTAATGCATTTGTTAACTCCTCACGTGCGTGTTGTTTTAATAAAATACCGTTATTTGTTACATTACGTGGATCATCACGCAACGCCTTGTACAGATCCAGCAGTCGTAACGTCTCAGCCACAAGGAACAAGACCATTTGGAGCAATTGCAACAAAATGTCACGATTCTTAAGTAACAAAGTTGACATTAGAGTCTTTAAAGTAACTTTTCAGGACGTGCACTGTCTGCTTGATTCCCAGCTGGTTGGGTTTGGTAGCTCTTATTACTAACTAGAATCGATTCTTTGGTTTTATATTCCAATCAAGAGAGACCCGATCGTTATCGACATCACTTCAAGCTGAAGTGTCAGCGCTTGAGGCTGTCGCCACCGGCGTGTCGGACGAATGGGCTGCATCCTGACTAAAGTCTGTCACGATAACGGTATTTACCGTTTCTTTTCTTACCGTTGTTAACAGATATTTATATATCGAAAACACTCATAGAATTCTTTTTTTACAAGACCTGGTGAGGGAGGACCACGATCTGCTGTTACTGCATTCCCACCGTCTCTCAAGTACCAAGACGACACTCTTATCAATGGATCTAAAAGACATCTCGGTAGCTACGTGGTTGCAGAAGGAAGAGATGGAGAAGACAATAAGGCGGAATTTGCTCGTGTATGGAGGAGGAATTCCTGGTGTTGCATTGGATGATGACAGAGTAGACCTGCCAGAGTTTACAGGTGTCCAAGAAGGAGGTTACAAGTCTATTAATTGCCGACTTTATTGGGGTGTCCGGACCAGAGCTGGTAACGACCCGCTGAAACGCCGCAAGGAGAACCAAGACGCCTTCTGTGTATGTGATGCAATGGCTGACGACGCACGTGCTACTTTCTTCTCTGTTTTTGACGGGCACGGACCTCAGGGAGCTTTTGTGAGCCACTTTGTGAGGGAACAGTACCATCGAGCGGTGGCAGAAGCTTACGCCGAGCTGTTTTCATCCGTGTCCAATAAGAACAGAATTGGTTTCGGAGCCAAAAAAGCAAGTGTTACGTGCGATATTGTAGCGGTACTTTTTCAGCAGGCGGTGCGGCGGGTTGTGGAAAAATTGGACGCTAGCATGATCGACATCAGTGTCAGCGGCACCACGGCAGTGGCCATGCTTGTGCGCGAGAAGGACGTATTTATGGCCAATCTTGGCGACAGCCGAGCTGTCATCGCAAGGTATCTGGAGGAAGAGCAGCACTATGTCGTACACTGCGAGACGAAGGATCATAAACCGGATGAACCTGAGGAGCGCGCGCGGATCGAACGCAACAACGGGCGTGTATTCGAGTGGGGATCTTACCGCGTGTGGTTGCAGGATGTAGATATGCCTGGGTTAGCGATGTCGCGATCGTTTGGCGACTTGGTGGCCAAAAGTGTGGGCGTGACTGCCGAACCGGATGTAACGATTGTGGAAAAAATGAAGTTTAGCAGCACTGACAGGAAGAACAGGGACCGACCTGCGGCGTTTGCGGTGCTAGCTAGTGACGGATTATGGGAGTTCATGACAACAGCCGAGTGCATTGATTTTGTGGCTGCTTGCATTGTCGACTCGGGGAAGTCACCCCAGGAAGCATGTAATGCCCTTATTGCGGAAGCGTATGACCGATGGGACGCAGAGGAGGACGTGGTGGATGATATCACTGCAGCCGTTGTCTACTTTTGAGTGCGTATTGTGAATTGGAAATATGGTGTTTCTCGACTATCGCCATGAGTGTAAAAATGGGGCTAGACTTCAATGTTGACACAGCCAAAAAAGCTCATTGCTACAAAGAATCAATGGGAGGTCAAGTTTGATTACTTGTATCGAATGGTCTTGCTGCAAAGAACCTCTGAATAAAAAGATGCTAAGGCTGAGGTGAACGATGTGCCTTCTCAAACGTCGACGAGTAGTTTCCAGCATTCTTGTTGACTACAACGCGAAACATTTTCTAAGTTCAAAGAACGAGATCGACCATACTTTTTTGAGGCAAGCGCACTAAAGAAGAATATTTATTTGATGCGATTTGAAGCTTGATCTGTGATGCCGACTGACATCAGTGCGCTGTTTAATGGGTGTGCTTAGCTGTATCTTGCGTTTTCGGAGATACAGCGAAACGGATGTGGTGGCGGTGATCTGACTGTCTTTTAAAATCAGTATGGAACGAGATGCCGACTCCTGAGAACAGGTGAAGTTTTGTTTGAGATTGCAAACTTGTCTACTTCGGCAAATAGATTTCCGTTGTTCAAGGCACTACAGCAAACGTGGCAGCAGCAAGCTTCGCGAGGTATCCTTTACATTTTGCTAGGGTGCTTCAGTCCTAGTTAACTTCTTTCGACATGTGGTAAAGGGCCGTACACCACGATGCCTGGTAAACCGGACTTGTCACTCAGTCGATGTAGTTAGCAGCTCTTCCGCATTTGGACTACAAAACGTGACATGTCGTTTTTGTGCGTCTTTTGCTCAACTAAGTGTGAGTTATTCAAATGAGCTCCGGAAATTAGCAACATGATGATGCCGAAGAAAAGCAGGGCAAGACCGACGCAACAACAGCAGATGCGGTGTGCCATGAGCAATGGCACATGGACAATTATCTTTTATGGATGAAGTATAAGCCTAGTATATCTGGTATACTGCATTCTCTGGAAATTGCTGATGCAGTTCACTTTTCGTTGACAACATGCCACCGTCCGCATAGTCTCTTGTGACAACTCTCACCATCAACAATCTGGCTCATACTAAGTGGTGGTGGAAGGTATTCGACAACGGGCAGCTCAGAACACTGCTTTGTGAATCAAGGATGATCATCTTGGCTGAGATGATCATACTTGTGTTTTGTGCGTTATGGTGTAGTAGAGCGGATATGTGGCATGGTGTCAACAAGCTACATATTTGGTAGAAGCAAATTGAAGAAAACGTTTACAAAAGCAAAAATTGATTAGAGCGTGAATGTGGTCCTGTAACAGGGCATCTAGTTACACGTAAACATTAAGTAATTGTAACGGGGTTACACGACGGTTGTAGCGTCTTTCCGAGAGTTTACGGTTGAATGCCCCGTTTATTGCATATAATGCATTTTGATACTTCTCTTTAGAAAGGTATTAAGTATATTCATTAAAGATACGGTATCGGTAATACCGTATCTTATCGATTGAGATTCGATAAATCACTAACGCTGTATTAAGTACATCATACACAGATGTTTAGACGATACGTCGACCAATAGCAAAGTCTGCATATAATAATTACTATTATAGTAATTAATCTAGTGTAGTGTACTTGGAGTAGGACTATTCATAAAATCTTAAAGCATAAATATAATCAGTTCTCCTTTTGAGTTTAAGATCGCAAATCGTTCTGACTTGCTCTCTTGTGCACTTCGTGCGTTGGTTCTCTGAACCCCTAAGCTTCTAGCTTCTCTTGCACTCTGTGCGTTGGTTCTCTGAACCTTAAGCTTATTGCTTGCTGACTAAAAGTCTCTCCTACTTCCTTAGAAGAGGGTGACTTTAAAGTCGTATAATTAGTTCCTTAGAACTAAGTGGCTTCTAGCCTTAACTCTATTTAGTTCTCTAGAACTAAGAGGCTTCCAGCCGAAAGTCTTCCTCTGGCTAAAGAGCTGTGCAGCTCCGCTACAGTAATATACTTAATGTTTGGTCTAAAAGTATCCACGATTACTTTTGACCTGTCACTTGGGTGCGATACACAAATGTGATCCACCCTCGTGAATGTGATAGCCATTGATGGATTCGCATGAGAAGGGATGACGCTAGTTGAAGCTAGGCATCGCGACGTCTCAGAAGGACGTCAGTTGCGATCTTAGATCTAGATTTAAGATCATGCGACAGGATACGCTTCTAAAGTGTCGCGTATCCGATCTATATATATATATATAGCCAATCAGTAGTTAAGTATATATATAGTTATAATTAATTAAATATAGCTCAGTGTTGAATTTGCTAAATCAAAAGCACCACGCACGAGAAGCCGAAAAGCTTCTACGTGACGTCGATGTCTTCTTGTCTTAGAAATTCGTTGCACTCTCGATTAAGCGAGAGGCAACTGGTGGTACGACTGCTTAAGCAGTCGATCAACCTCCCAACCACCCTCGCACGCGAAGGTAAGACGGTCTAACCGCTTCCTCGCTTGTGCATAAGGTGTGTGCTAGTAGCACGAGGCAACTTCGTAGAAGTGCCCGTCTACACTTGGTAGCACTAGTAGTCCTTCCCACGACACCCGTCTCTCTGAGCGTGCGTGTGGTTGAGATGGTCCTTGATATGGACTGAAGTAACTTCCCTCACCTCTCCCAACATCATAGGGAGTTGGCAGAGCATATGGGGCAGGGACTTGGTGAACAAGCCCTGGTCAATCTCTTGCATTGTCCTCCTGAGCAACATGTTGCTCAGTTGGAGCAATATGAGGCGTTTGTGTTCGGACAGCGTAGAAACGCGTCCGAGGTAAACAGCCAAGCCACCGCTGAGTCCATCACTAAGACTCAGGATGAGCTTAGGCTTGAGCAGGCACGTAATGGGGCGCTCAACAGAACTGTTGAGACGCTCTCTGCTCGGCCTGCTCAACCGAGGCCCATTCGGATGGACCGTCCGAAGTTCGATGGAACTAGCCCTCACACGATTGTTCACTGGCTATTAGCAGTGGAGCAATGTGGAGTGGCGCAGCTCATCGAAGACAACACCAGAATGGTGTCGTATGCCATGTCCAACTTGCGTGGCAAAGCGTCAGAGTGGGCATACTCTGCGCTGATGGCTAATGCTGATGCATTTCCATCATGGGCGATCTTTAAGGCAAAGATTCGCGCCATGTATCAGCCTCCTAACAACGAAGTGTTGCTTATGGTGCGCTTCTTTGGAGCACGACAGACGAAACGATCCTTGCAAGAATTTGTGCAGGAGATGCGTTCGCTGTCGGCGTCCATTAATGGGGAACCTATACCAGAACGTATCAAGGTGGCCACGTTCATGAATGGACTTAGGCACGGCCCATCGCGTCAGGCCATTTTCAGAAAGGTGCCAGCGACGATGGAAGAGGCAATTGACATTGCCTTAGTTGAGGAGCAATCCTACAACAGCGCCTCGGCGACAGCCTATTCCAGGCCGTCGTCCGAGAAGTCTGATGCCACTTTTATGGAGTTAGGCAATGCAGATGTGATCTGCTACAAGTGCGGCAAGCGAGGCCATATGATGGCTCGCTGCTATGCCAAAGTAGCTGCTGGTGCTAAGGCAGCCAGCAAAAGGTCTCCCAACCCGGAGGGAGGTGCGAAAAACCAGCGTGCACGACGCACGGGTTCAGCACCTGCCCAAGATGGGTCGGGAAATGTGGGAGCGCAGTAGGGGCGGGATGCCCTACTGTCGCGGACTCTGAAGCTACCCCTAAGTTCAGAGTGATCGAACAAATGGGTAGCATAGTCCCTGAGGTTCCGAAAGGTAGGACCTCAACCCTTTTGGTCTATAGCGCTCGAGTACGAGGCTATGACCAAGTGATGACCCTTCTCGTGGATTCGGGTGCATCACAAAACTTTGTGAAACTCGCGGCTATGAAAAAGAGACCGGCGAGTTATGAGTTGCTTTGCCAGGATGTCAAGCGAGAAGAGGCGATCGTTCTTTTAGCGAACGGCGCGCTCGTCAAATCGGAGGGAGTTCAAGTTGAACTCGCCTTCAGTTTCAGTGACTTCTCCTGTAAAGAGAAGTTCACAGTGCTAGGTATGGAGAGTCCGTATGACCTCATCCTAGGCATGCCTTGGTTGGCTAAACACCAACCATGGATAGACTGGCGTACACGCACAGTCGCTAGCTCTACGCAAGACACCGGAAAGGATGTGCTCTTGCGAGAGGCTTATGTGGCTGATGCTGTGTCCAACACAGTCGAGGGTGCGATTAAGGTATGTCAATCGACACCAGGAACTACCCAGCTCGAAAGGAGTGGTGTTGTTGGAAGTGCACTGGCGGAAAGCCAGTGACACATATTCCTACCCAGGTCGAAAAGACTGGTGTAGTCAATGGGGCTATGACAGGTAGTCATGCGTCCAATAGTCCTGCACAGAGCCGAGAGCCTGTGGCAGTTGATGGTGGGCTGACAGGAAGTCAAGCGCCACAAGAACCGGCACAGAGCCAAGAGCCTGGTGCGGTTGGAAGGAGTGCGTTAGCTGAGATAGCAACGACACCTTCTTCCAGGTCAAAGGTCGTGGTGACTCGAAGAACGAGCACCAGACGTATTAAGACGATCAAGGGCACGTCGAAACGAGTGACCCTTGGATCAGTCTCGGTCCAAGAGGACGGACCTACGAACGAGTTGTTCGAGGCCGTCGAAGACAAAATGCCGGAGGCATCCTCAGTTGAGGTGCTCCAACTTGTCTTGGCATCTGCCGAGGAGATAGTAAATCTCTCGGAGATGACGTGGGATCTGTTCCTGTCCGAATTAAAGGAAGGAAAGATCCACGAGATAGTCGCACCAGTTCCAGAAGAGAACGTGGTGGACTGTTGCTCTTCATCCACAATGGATGAGAGCGTCTTGGAGACCGACAAAAAGAAACGGTTTGCTGCTCAAGGCTGGGATGTCTTGAAGGACAGCCCGTTATATGATGCTCTGTGGAAACACCGTGATGTGTTTCCAGTAGAATTGCCGATCCGCCTACCGGCCGATAGGGGCATCAGGCACGAGGTTGACCTGGAACC